CAGAGGTATCACAGTAACACCAACAATCACCAAACTATTTGAATATGTTCTGTTACCACGTCTTACCAAAAACTGTATCCAAGCAGACATGCAATTTGGTTTTACAGAAGGTCTCTCTATGCTAATAGCTGCCTTTCTCGTATCAGAATGTAAATCAGAATCCAAACACGTAACTTTAAAACCCTTATATATGATTGCAGTAGACAGCCAAACTGCATTTGACGTGGTTTCTCACATCATTCTTCTAGATAAACTGTATGAATGTAGCATAGTCAAAGATCTATATACAGACATGTCCTCAAAAATAAAATGGAAAGGTGAAATAAGTGACAAATTTCCATTACAACAGGGAGTGCGACAAGGTGGAGTCCTTTCCACTCACCTATATAAGGTTTACATTAACAACGTACTGAATGAACTAATGAAAAGCCGTGTAGGTATGAAAATTGGAAATATTTACACTGGCACACCAACATGTACAGATGATATAGCACTTCTGTCTGATGATTGTGAAGAATTACAAATTATGCTAAACACTGTTCTACGAAATGCCAAACAGGACAGGGTCACAATTCATCCAACAAAAACAAATGCTATTATCATCAATAAAGGCAAAACTGTAAGAAAAAACCTACAATGGAATCTCGGCACCACTTGTATACCACCAACCAACCAAACTAAACATCTAGGTATAATAAGAGCTGAAATTAAAGAAAATAACATAAATGTAGAGGACAGACTGTCCCTAGCTCGCAGGACACTCTACTCTTTAATTAACAGCGGACTTCATGGATCAAACGGCTTAAATCCCATCACCTCTTACCAAATATATCGGAGCTATGTAATACCTAAACTTCTTTTTGGACTTGAAATACTACCACTAAAACAAATAGATATTCACCGCCTTAGAAAGTTCCACATAAACTGCCTAAGAAAATTCCAATCACTGTCTCAAAGAACAGCCGTCTGTGCCGTCTATCTACTTATTGGTGCACTACCCATAGAAGCAGAGCTCCACAAACGTAAACTGAGTTTTTTATATAGCCTTCTAAACAATGAAAATGATAGTATACAACAACTTAATCAAAGACAGATCTCTATCAACATCAACAACCCAGGAAGTTTTTATAACATAGTATCCAAAACGTTGGAATTGTATAACCTACCGAATCTAGAATTCTTACTAAATAATCAAATGAACAAATTACAGTGGAAACATCAATATAAGATAGCGATTAATAACTACTGGTCAAAAACCTATAAAGACCAATCAGCCAATAAATCAACACTAAAACATCTCTGTGTAGATCAAGTGGAAATAGGAAAACCGCATCAAATTTGGCAATCTATTGGGTCATCCGTCACTGAGGTGAAAAGGTCTATCAATCAATGTCGTAAACAACAGGAACATACCTTCTACAAACCAACATAGCTAAATTCAGTAACAATAAATAAACTGCAACATGTCCATTATGTGGTCTAGAAGAGGAAGATATGATACACATGCTCACAAGTTGTATACTGCTACATGATGTCAGAAAAACACATCTATTACGATTAAAAAACATCATCATTGGATACATTGGACTAAGACAATGGAATGAACTCTTTTTTGATAAACAATCAATAACACAGCTGATAGTTGATCCCAGCTATTACAGTAAAACAATGAAATCCTCATCAAATTTAGTACATATAACAAAAGCAACAAGTGAAATGTGCTATGAAATCCATCATAAAAGACTGAAATTAAAATTAGAACTCAATATTACATAAAGGTTCCCAACCAACAAACAGCAATCATTCTTAGATTTTAAAGATACTACTTTTTAACAAACAGTATAATATAGTAACTTATCCTTCTAAATATTTGAATGCTGCATGAAAGTAATTGTTCTATGTTTTAACAATTCTCCACATTCATAACGTACTTGTGAGGAAACCAAATAGTGCTTTTGAAATATAATTTTATTTTATGGTGAACCGCATGAAATAAGAATAACGTTTTAACTGTACAAAATCTTATCCGAAGGAAAGAAGAATTTTGCTAGCTTTGAACATGAGCTATCTTTTAGACAATGTGCTTACTCTTATAAACATTTTAACCTTCCTGTAGCATAACCCAAGGATATGGATGTATATATGTTGCACATGCTTTGCACGATAGAGTTGTATATATATTAGTGGATGACACTTTTTATCTTGTACATGGGGGTTGGAGTTGTTCAACAAATTTTTACATTTTAAAACTATCCGATGTATATAGTACTATAAAAATAATCTTAAATAATACAAGTGAAAACAACTCCGTTTCTACTTGGTGTTCCTAATTGGAAGGAAATACGAAGAAGAAGAAGTATTTCTCGGGGAAAAATAGTTGGAAATCTCCTTCACCCTCATCGGGGAAAAGCTACTATATATACAAGTTTTCCTCGATCACTGTATCGCCTTTAGTTTGTTCATATCGGGATTCGTACAGTGCAGAAAAATATGTTGTTTTGGTAAACTATAGCAAAATGTTGGAGGAGAAATTAAATCCGTGATTTATAATTAATAATTAAAAAGTTTCTGCCTTAGAATCGTTCATTCATTGTGGCGAAAATAGTTTAAGGTTTTACTTTTCTGGCGATGGCGGAAACTGCAAATACCTTAATATATATATATCACGAAAGAGAAATAACAAGGTTGCCGAAACCTTATGGCATACAAAAATCAAAAATAAACTCATCACAGATACCAGACCAAGGAATTGTATATTTAGATTTTTTAATATACAATTCCTTGACCAGACTAAGAATCGAAATGATTGTTTATTCTCAAAGATATTCAATATCATTAAAGGTAGTCAAGCACTTTACATAACTGTTTAAAGACAATTTTACTACACTATTGCTGACCAAGGTATTTTAGAATTTTGCATTGATGGACATGTTAACCAGAGTGAACTAAATCGTATCTGTAAGACAATAAATAGGATATAGCTTTACTTCGATAAAATTTTGGTATTTCTAAAGGTCCTTTTCATCTTAGTTTTGGATAAGTTATACTAAACACATGCCAAAATCTTCAAAAATTGCAGTGTTGAATCATCTTAAGCATCCTTTTTTTATTAGAAATAAGACAATGTTTGACAACTTCAAAGTACATAAATAAAGCCAAGACTTTATAAGTAGGCACTGGCTACGGTTACATTGAAATGTAACAATAATAAAAATGATATTGTTACATTACCCTACCCTGCATTCCGTCAATTAGTCTCCAATGTAACAATAACTCTTTTATTATTGTTACATTTCAATGTTACCGTAGCCAGTGCCTTATAAGTATTTAGTATAGTTTGACCGCTTTTGAATGACCCTAGCTCATATAGTAGAATTATATTAAGGTTCAGCTGCTTTTAGGATAAGACTCTAATTGTACATAGATGTCGCATACGGATGTTCAGTTCTCATTAATCCAGGTATATAGAGGACGAAAAAGGAGTAAACACAATCAGATTAAAATGAACTGTAAACGGAGTGAGACAAGGTGCGTCAGCAGGAAGAGCATCTTCTGCTTTTATGCATTACTTCGAGTCAATTCCTGTGGTAAGTGTAATGACAATGAACATGTCTAAACCAGTATTGATCATCGGGTCTGGATAGGGTCTTCATTTGTTGATGTCATTTTCTGGTTTTGGTCCATTATTTTGTATTCTTTATACTTAAGCATCCAATTATTCTATATTCTGCCAACCTAATCCAGGCCTTTATTATATCAGGCGAACATTCATGTATACATATATATGGGATTTTTACTATTAATTTTAGAAATCGAGACACTGTAGTGATCAAGATTTCATGATTGAGATAAGCGAACAGGCTCTTGCATATCTTATTACCTAAAACAAATGAACACCATATGCTGGTATGTCCAAATAACAAAGTGTAAAACTGACAATAGATACACAAACAGAAATCTTGAGGGTTGTCATCGATCCTAGTTTCAATTATCCGTCAGCTTCAATTCCAAGAAAAAGATCTTGATATAAGCAGAGCAAAATGTCTTGCTTTGTTGTACAGGATAAAACTTTTTTAATTTCAAGTGTTTCTTTATTTGAAGTAAAGATAAATTCTGCACTATTTTTGTAAAATGTCAATTTAAGGGTGTATCCACCACTTTGACTTTGGGTTGTTTAATTTTCATTAAATTTTGACAAAATGTTGACAAAAATAAAAATTTCAAGAAATTTGAAGCACACAATTTACAGGAATCATTTCATTGGATTATATATCAGTTTGACAAACACTAATTTTGATCATTGAGAAGCTTGCTTTCTTCAACCTTATAGTATGTGATTAAAACGTTTCTGCAGATTTTCAAAGAGTTAACTCCTTTAGGTGTTCTGTACCCCTTAAAAAAAAAAGAGTATTTGGGGGAAATCAATGGTGGTATTACCCCTGGAGAAATATTCCAAAGGTGAAAACATGTGTGGATTTATTGTATGGTGTATTTACTTTGATTTTGCCTTGAAATCAAATTATCTGAAAATCCTTGGCTACGACAATTTAAGAGTCATCTAAATTTTTTCCAAATCAATGCAAAATGAAAAGTTTTTCATGTTTACCAATATAAGTGTTCTGGAAAAAAAGAGATGCCAACTACTGGCTGTTTTCTGCTCTTTGGTTGGGTTGTTGTCTCTTTGATACATTCCCCGTTTCGATTCTCGTTTCAACTAACACAAAATAATTGTATGATTTCAGGTCATTTATGTTTTCATCTTAATTCCAAAATTTAATCTAATCAGAAATATGGTTAAGATGATGTTGATATTTTAATAAATGGTTAGACTCTCCCAGATTCATCCTCACACCTAATTATATGGCTGTATGTTAATTATTCTGAGAATAATTTATTTAGCATGTGTTGTTTTTATTCCATACAAGTAAAATAATTATGCAAACATATTTGACACTATGTATAGAATAAACCTCTTATAAATATCTATAATGACAACTACATTATTATAAATTATAACTTTTATTTAGTAATGTTTATGCTTCTGCCACTATTAAGTCTCTTGCAGCCTGGAATGCAGATATCAATGAACTAAGTTGCATCTTCTCACTTGTTCCTGATGCCAATCTGTATCTATAACACAAAATAATATTAATATTATACAAGCATTGGGCACCCACTAACATATTTAACACCGCCACATTCTGTATGTGCCTGTCCAAAGTCAGGAGCCTTTAATTCAGTGGATGTAGTTTGTTGCTGTGTTGCTGTATATCATAATTGTTTTTCATTTGTTGTTTTTATACATAAATCAGGCTGTTAGTCTTTCTCCTTTGAATGGTTTGACATTTTTCCTTTCAGGGCCTTTTATAGCTTGCTATGGGGTATAGGTTTTGCTCATTGTTGAAGTCTGTAGTGACCTATAGTTACTATTCTTCTTATTTTTTTTTAGAAATACAGATCACCGATTCCTTATGCTATACTGTTTATACATAGTTTTGTTAGATTTATCATTTGAATTCTCACAGTATTGAGGTTAAAATTATTCGTTGTTGTTCAACCATGATGTCTGGTATTTTTTCTCATGAACATCAACTCGCTAATCAAAATGTTTCTTTATTTTTTCAGCATATTCTTTGCATTGCAAACAATCATGTGTTCCTGTACTGTGTATGGAATCTACTGTTAAGTATAGCCACTGATACAGGAGAATTTCTGTAACAAATTTGATGTATTGTAAATTCTAAAATTTTTGCAAAGGTTTTTCCATTATTGTGAACTTGAGGCCGGATAGTTTCACAAAAATAAAACTTGCAAATAAAATTTTAATGGCATTATTTGAAGGCAGCATTTCTTTAACTTGTATTTTTGTCCATGATCAACAATTGCAATAATACAAACATTTTTGAATTTACAGTATTTTTTGTTGTTGTTATAAATTTCATTGAAAATTTGCAGTTTTAATGGAAAAAAAACACAAGTCCGTATTAGCATGGAAATGCATGATAACCATAAGCATAACTACGTCAACAGGGTAAAAAAGAAAGATAACTTTTATTTTTATCTAAAATCATATACAAGAGTTTCTTTGTAATACTCCTACTGCCAAAGAACCCATTTTCACAGCATTACTTCTTTAATACTAAATTCATGAAATATTTGAATACAGATGCTGTACAGCAACTGTCAAGAAATTGAAAATAACAATAAAACTTGAATGCATGAAGATATGCAAATAAGGTAGGCTGTAAAGGCTACTTACTCAACATCTGCCATTTTCTCTAATAAATGGATCTTAACATGGATTGGTAAATCAACTGTAATGATAAAAATAAAATATCATTGATGAATTGGTAAATTTACCTGCCACTGTATTATTATGTATCCTTTCAACAAACTATCATTTAATTCTGTGGTTATCAACATCATTCAGAACCAGTTCGCACAAAGAAATACATTTTTGTTTAAAACACTAATATCTACATCTGAGCATATCAACAATGACAATTACTGGTGTTTTTGAGTTCAATTGCAAAAACAATTGCAATTATTGTCATCTTCTGTAACTTTAACTAGTTGTAGGTCTCAGGGAGAGGGTTTTTTTTTTATTATTACAATTACATCCATTATAATGTTTGATACTGTTTTGAATCTCTGATTTAAAATCTAAAATGTTAACAAACAGCTGGGGATCTGTACACAAATTAAAAAGTGACCTTAATTCACTGATAACTGTCATATGCACCTTAAAAAATACACACAAATACATTTTGTAAATATATATAAAATTACATCTATAGTGGTTTACATGAATATTGATATACTGACTTTGCTGTAGAGTATGGACCTGTCATAGTAAGAAATTTAAGCAATATTTCAGGTGGTGCCTGTTAGTAATGGAGAAAATGTTTGTTTTGATGGTGACAGAGCAATTGAAGCAGAAGATGGTTAGTACATCAATAGATAATACTTATATATGTAACGATGTTAAGTAATTTGATAAACAACAATACATGTATAAAATACTTACTTCTATGAACATAATTATGTATTTCAGTGAGAATGTCTTGTAATGCTAATCCTTTTTTTGTCTTTAAATCTGATATATCTATTGTCAAGTTAAGGTAATAAATGTTTCATTATTTACGCTGCTTCCAAGCAAGGATGCATGAAAAGCATTTAACGCCTATATTTATAAATAAAAGAAATGTGGGGTAATTGTTAATGAAATAACAACCAAACAATAACAACAAAAGCAACCAAATCCTTCATGACTTGTTTAGTGTTTTAAAATGACAGTTGATAGAAGAGAAAGCAATCATCGAAAAGTTTAACATAATCAATACTATATAAGTAAAGTGTTCTGAATCATATAGCTTTGAAAGATCTTCCAAAACACCCCAAGCAGGTGGGGACAATCCCATCTAAAATCAGCTTATATTTTTTTCTACTGTAAACCCTATCACATGATGTTAGCATGAAATTTACACATGAGGAGCTCTACCATGTAACTCTGTATTTTTTTTTAAAGAAAAATCTGGAAAAAAAAAAAATCCTGAATGGGTTCAATCAGGCTGTTAGTTTTATTAATTTTTAATTGTTTCCAATTTTGTTAATTGGGGGTCTTTTATAGCTTACTATACAGTATGGGTTTTGTTCATTGCCGTTAACCTGTATTTGTTAACATCCTTGTCTTTTGATCTTGAGTGGACAGCTGACATCCATACTACATTTTTTTTATATTACTAGATTTACTGCAATATGTTTGAGTTGAGAGGTAATCTATAAATATAGATTCTGAAATCAGAAATTCACTTTAAATGGTTGTCAAAGAAATTTGTATTAGCTTTGACCACAACAAACTCGTGTGTCTTCATACCAAATATGAAACTGAGGATGGATCAACAATAGTATATAAATAACACATAGCTGAGATGGTGATAGAGCAGATTATTACCCCTAGAAATCATTGTCAACTAAGGCGAAGCCAAGGTTGACAATGTTTTTGAGGGTTACCAATTAGCACAATCACATTCACAGCTATATGTTATTCAATTTACTATACTGAATGTTCTGTTATTATTGTCTTTAAAAATTTTCATTCAAATTCATAATCTATGACATCATTTACATAAAGATCATCTGTATTTAATAACAACCTCAAATTATCAAGTGTCTCCGTGAAGGGTAATAGAATATAAACCATGGGAAAGCGTGGAATGTCTCCCTCGTATTAACCAATCTAAATCTGGCATTTTCATATGAGGCATATCAATACATCATAATCTTTTTTTTATTGACAAACTAAATAAAATGTTATAGAAAGAAATACTACAAATTTAACAAAGGATACTCCTATAAGCAGTGGTAAAGTTTTCGTTTAAGACCCAGTTGACTATATTTTCAATATCTCTCCGTAACGGATGTCCAACACACGTATATACATTGTTTTCATTTACTTCCTCATAAGCCATATGTGTACTCTGAAAATACAAATACAATGAAAAATATTTCACACATAAAAGTAATCAAAATCATGGTTTTTAAAATAACATGTAAGAAGCATTTATAGAATTTTACTTTAATTGTACTAATTAAATACACTTTGTCTTTGTTCTTATACATCCTAGGCTTTGAGCAATCCTGGTGAAGGTAAATCTACAGGAGAGCTTTGGACACATGAAATGTATAACCTGTTGTTTTCATTTATTTTTGTTAAGGTTGTTAATTTTATCCATCATGAAGGTACTTTTGTAAATTTATTTTGATTCATTGATTGATTCACTGATGAAAGTTCAATTAATAAGTAGTTTTTTCAACAAACTTTATAATATGAATTCGGTAAAGTTTGGTTAACAGTTCCTTCCTATTTTTATGAAAGTTATTCAAATAATTTTTCAGCTGATAATACCTGCATAATATTAAGTGCTTTTCTCATATCACCTTCTGCCAGTGTGACTAAAGCCTTCATACCATCATCTGTTATTGTTACCCTAAAAATAAACCACATAAGTAAGGACTTCAATAATGACAGCTATATATGGTCTTGTTACCATTTTAATATAGTGACTTTTTTATGACATTACAATCTTGAATATCATATGCTGGTGATGAACACATTAAAAATAATCAGTCATAATTTAAGAAGACGAATTATTTCCCTGACCAATCTGACCGTGATAATATAACATGTGTCTGCTTAAATTACCATATGGTAAAAATTAAATTATTTAATGCCCAAAAAGGCGCAAGCCAGGGCCGACCGTGCAAGGGCTGTATAGCCAGTCAAGGATGTTAAAAACTTCCATTTGTTGTTGTGTCTGCTTACCCTGAACCAGTATTCTGATATTTTATCAATTACTTTAATTCCAGCACTTATTCAACTTAAATTCAAACTATATCATTTTTTTATTATTATAAATGTTTTCCTGCATTTTGTATAACTTAAAAAAATGCATGTTGTCTAAATTACATTATCAAACACAAATGTGTTCCTTAAGACCAAAATAAAAACAAATGAACAGTGACAGTCTTTTCATATAAACATACATAACTAAATTTGTATTCTTTTCAAATGGTTTTTTGGGATGTATAAATACACATCCACATTCATTTTCTTTATAGAGATTACTCTGTCTATATATAACATTATACATATTTATCAAAAAGTTAACTCCTAACTATCCTACTGCCTGTCGATACTTTTATTTTGGCATTGCACAAGTCATGTCTTCTTTGACTGTCCATGATGTTAAAACACTAAAACCCTGGGATGTGTTTTAGTTGATTTTAGATTCTGATGCATGATTTTTTATTATTGTTTTTGGCTTTTAACTAGCATTCAGTAACTGCGACTACTCTCAAATCATACTTTTGTTATTTACTTATTTAGTGTTAAATCTTGTCTCACCATTTTTAATATTTACCACCTGTGACAAGTGTTTAGTATGACGATAAATTTTCACTTCTGTTCTCGTACTATGAACAACAAAATTATTTATTTTGTAAAAAATATTTCTGTACTCCATGTATACCTTACAACAAAATTATTTTTATTTACCTGTGTTCGTTATTTTATTTGGCAGCATTTTGTCCAAGGTTATGGTTGTCTTTCTGATATTGTTTTGAATAGATATATCATGTTATGGAGGGGTATTTGCGAAAAAATACCCCTCCATAACATGATATATCTGTTTAATTACACCTAATAGATTTGGATTGAAACTCTTTGTACAGGTGAAGGGAAATATTTTTTTTTACTAGTAAGCTGTAATCCATAAACATATTTATGCATAATTTTGAGGATAAGTAAAGACTATCATAGTACCGCGGGAATTATACATGTATGTGTTAGCGCTGTCTTTATGTAACGTCATGGTATCTATGTGTAAACTTCATTTTTTCTACAGTTTTCGGATTACCTCTATCAATCAATATTGCTTAATCATGTTGCCTTAATAATCGGGATAAGGTGAGAAAGGTTCCGTATAATTTTGATGGGAAGAGGCTCGCGAGGGAAAAAAAGGAATATTCAAAATGGCAAATACCACAGCAATAGAGGGGAATTTGAGGCGTATTCATCGGCAGTGGTGAAAAACAGGCAAATTCGTTTGAAATGAGGAAAAAAGGTTAGAATATGCGAAAAATACACTGGCTACCAACCAATCAAATTTCAACATTCTTATATAAGGTGTAATTATACATCTAACCCCCTTGTTTTATTAATTTTGTATTAACATTGTGTCAAAGATCAAATTAATTTGTTCAGTGTATGTTCACTTGTCTTTTTTTAATATGTCTTTTGATTGAGTTAAGCCATTGCAATTGATATTTTATAGTGTGTCTTTCTATGTTGTGATGTTTCACTATTGTTTAAGGTTAGGGTGAAGGTTGGCACCTATTAAAATGTTTAAACCCGCTGCATTTGTTTGCACCTGTCCTAAGTCAGGAACCTGATGTTCAGTGGTTGTCGTTTGTTGATGTGGTTCATAGGTGTTTCTCGTTTTTTATATAGATTAGACTGTTGGTTTTCCTGTTAGAATGGTTTTACACTAGTCATTTTTGGGGCCCTTTATAGCTTGCTGTTCGTGACTTGGATGGAGAGTTGTCTCATTGGCACCCATACCAAATCTTCTTATATCTATAAACTGTATTTAAGGATGTTCACTACTCTGTTTCAAAATAACAAGATTTTACAAAGACTGTTATAAATTGATAGTATATAAATAACGGAATTAAAAAAGCAGAAAAAAATGAAAGGGTCCGTGTGCTTGATTTCGAGATATAAGCCATTAAAATTTTGGCGGGAAATGGTTCTCTCCAGATTTTTCATACATTTAACATTGGCACCTTTTTTCTTTCAAAAACTATGAAAAAATAACAAGGGCTTTATAAGATTTTCAAAGATGGCATTTTAAACTATATGTGATCAAATTATGGAAAGATAAAATGCTTCGCTGGGCGCAGCTTGATACGACCGCAGAGGTCGAACCCTGAACAGTTGGGGCAAGTATGGACACAACATTCAAGCTTGATACAGCTCTGAATTTGGATTGTGATTAAATATTTGACACAGCATAGGTTTCTGACACAAGAAGAATGTGGTCTAAGAACTTCAATTTTTTTAATTTACCTATTATGGTCCAATGTCCAAAATCAAAATACATGGTTAGATTCACATATCAAATAACCCCATATATTCAATTTTTGTTGAAATCAAACAAAGTTTAATTTTGGACCCCAACTTGGACAAACTTGAAAACTGGGCCCATAATCAAAAATCTAAACACATGTTTAGATTCAGCATATCAAAGAACCCCATATATTCAATTTTTGTTGAAATCAAACAAAGTTTAATTTTGGACCCCAACTTGGACCAACTTGAAAACTGGTCCCATAATCAAAAATCTAAACACATGTTTAGATTCAGCATATCAAAGAACCCCAAAAATTCAATTTTTGTTAAAATCAAACTAAGTTTAATTTTGGACCCTTTGGACCTTAATGTAGACAAAAAAACAGGACCCAAAATTAAAAATCTAAATACACGGTTAGATTTTGCATATCAAAGAACCCCAATAATTCAATTTTTGATGAAATCAAACAAAGTTTAATTTTGGACCCTTTTGACCTCAATATGAACCAATTTGATAGCGGGCCCACAAATAAAAAATCTAAATACATGGTAAGATTCAGCATATCAAAGAACCCCATATATTCAATTTTTGTTGAAATCAAACAAAGTTTAATTTTGGACCCCAATTTGGACCAACTTGAAAACTGGGCCAAAAATCTAAAATCTAAATACATGTTTAGATTCAGCATATCAAAGAACCCCATATATTCAATTTTTGTTGAAATCAAAAAAAGTTTAATTTTGGACCCCAACTTGGACCAACTTGAAAACTGGGCCCATAATCAAAAATCTAAACACATGTTTAGATTCAGCATATCAAAGAACCTTAAGAATTCAATTTTTGTTAAAATCAAACTAAGTTTAATTTTGGACCCTTTGGACCTTAATGTAGACCAATTTAAAAAACGGGACCCAAAATTAAAAATCTAAATACACGGTTAGATTCGGCATATCAAAGAACCCCAATAATTCAATTTTTGATGAAATCAAACAAAGTTAAATTTTGGACCCTTTGGACCTCAATGTGGACCAATTTAAAAACGGGGCCCAAAATCCAAAAACTTAATACACGGTTAGATTCAGCATATTAAAGAACCCCAAGAATTCAAGAATAAAACCCCATTGAAATTGATCAAGAAATAAGCAATTTATACGTAGTATCTTCTTTTGCACAATACTGTGCAATTGAATATTTCTTGCTATTGCGCAATACTGTACAATTGACAATTTCTTGCTATTGCGCAATATTGTGCTATTGGATATTTCTTGCTATTGTGCAATACTGTTAAATTGAAGATTTCTTGCTATTGCGCAATACTGTGCAATTGAAGATTTCTTGCTATTGTGCAATACTGTGCAATTGAAAATTTCTTGCTATTGCACAATACTTATTATATAATAATTTACACATCCTGTTTGGTGTGTATCTCCTACCATATCATAATTATTTGCTTTTAAATATAAATCAGAAATAACCAACTTAAAATGGAAAATTTTAAAGTAAAAAAAAAGGAAAAAAAGAAAAAAAAAAAAAAAAAAAAAAATCCCCCCCCCAAATTTTTTGAACACCCTTATGATTCATCACCCCCAAACTCAATCCCAGCCTTCCCTTTGTGGTATGGTACCTTGCAGTACAATTTCAGAGAGATCCATTCACTTGAACACAAGTTATTGTCTGGAAACTAGAAAAATGCTTATTTTTGGCCCCTTTTTGGCCCCCAATTCCTAAACGTTTCGGGCAATTACCCCCAAACTCAATTCCAGCTTTCCCTTTGTGATATGGAACCTTGTAGTACAATTTCAGAAATATCCAAACACTTACACACAAGTTATTGTCATGAAACTAGAAAAATGCTTGTTTTTTGCCCCTTTTTTGGCCCCTAATTCCTAAAATTTTGAGGCAATTACCCCCAAAATCAATTACAGCCTTCCCTTTGTGATATGGAACCTTGTGGTACAATGTCAGAGAGATCCATACACTTACACACAAGTTATTGTCTGAAAGTTACAAAAATGCTTATTTTTGGCCCCTAATTCCTTAACTGTTAATACCATAACCCCCAAAATCAATCCCAACCTTCCTTTCGTTGTATTGAACCTTACGGTGAAATTTCATGGAGATCCATACACTTAAACTAAAGTTAGAGTGCGAAAACCAATGTGTCTTCGGACGACGCCGGACGACGACGACGACGACGACGACGACAACGACGACGACGACGACGACGACGCCAACGTCATACCAATATACGACCAAAAATTTTTTAATTTTTGCGGTCGTATAAAAAGTAGGGGTTAGCGGGCGAATTTTTTAATGGCACTACTTTGATAAAACCAGAGGATTCCGAATATCTGTCAAAAATTCAAAAACAAGAGGAGTGAACATCCTTAATGCATAAGTAACAAACTAATTACTGAAATAACATTCAAGAAGAATTAACTGTATTTCAAAATTGGAGATACAGGTATGATAATTTATTTGTGAATACTCAACACTATTATTTACCCCTTTAACATGTCATTAACACCTCCAGGATTTCAAAACAGGTTTACATTATAATGACAATCTGTAGTTTCTGTGTCCACAAATTCATGGTAAGCCACATTAACCAAAACTTTAACCTGATACAGGATGGATGGATTAACTGACAGACTGGCTGATGGCTATCAGAGGGATGCATCGACCAGAATATATGCCACCTACTATTGAAGGCAGGGCATTAAAATTGTAAATGTAAAGCCCTTCCAGCTAAGGTGTACTGTCATGTTTTACCAATTCACGCGTGCATACATTTTTATAACCAGTCAAGATGTACCAAATAATTTTCAATACTAGTTCTTATAACATTTTGTGCACTCTTTTGTGTGTATAATGTACAGTACCAAAATATATCCAACATATTAGAAGAAATTTAACCATTACAACTTACCTCATTTAATTGTTGAACCATTCTGAATAACATTCAACAAACCCTCTCAAATGAACATTCAGACACACAAATGGACATATATAGCTATGTATCATGTTTATCAACATTGTATGGGCAAGGATGCATAAAGGCCCCCAAAAATAGTAATCATACACCTACCCCTCCTCTGTAACGACATGTTGAAGTCTAGGGACCATTTGATCTGTACCTAATGGTCCAAATCTAAATCTGGTACACCTTGACTGTAATGCTGGTATGATCTTTGATAAATAATTGCATATTATACAGAATCTGGTATTCTCTGTGAACTTCTCTATCACTGAAATCACAGGAAAACATGTCTTTTAAACCAGAAGGGACAGTAAGCCTTATAATTGAATGAAATTTCTTATAAATAGATGTTCAAGAAAAGGTCCAATGAATTGGAAAAAAATTAAGAAATATGGCTTTAATTATTAGATAGTTTAAGTGTTCATGTTCTATGTATGCATCAATGCTTAACAGTTTTACAAAATGAAAAAAACCTTTTGAACTATAAATAGACACTTGTAGTGTTGTAGATTGTATGATGACCTCAAGATAGCTTAAGGTGTCGTTTTGTTAGGTTGCTGTCTCAATGACATATACCCCATATCTCCTTTAATTCATATAGTCAAAAATAACTTAACTTAAGAAAACAAACTTATTCAAAGTAATGACCAAAGTCAAATTGTTTCTAAAAATCTGTTAATTTACTATACTGGGTATTATCTATATTTCTGATGGTTCTTTTTTAAAAGCCTTCACAGACATCTAGCATGCATTTTATTCATACAAATAAATCAAAATAATCTGACATACTGCCACAGAAAGCAAGTTTGTATCATGGGTTTTAAGAAAGTTTTAATAGAAGCCATGTGTTCCATGTGGTGAAATTATTAATGTATGCCTGTCATTTTATATCTGTATGTGTTTCAGATAAGACTCTTTGTAAAACCTTTAATTTTTTCTATAGATATTGTTTTGATAGTATGGAGAATAACAATAATTGTTCTTATGTTGTACTGTTACACCACTGTCCCAGGTTAGGGGGAGGGCTTGGCACCAAAAAAACTAGTTTAACACAACCACATTCTGTATGTGCCTGTCCCAAATTCAGTGGTTGTTGTTTGTTGCTGTGTAACATATTTGTTTTGCGTTCATTATTTTGTACATAAATTAGGCTGTTAGTTTTCTCGTTTGAATTGTTTTACATTTGTCATTTCAGGGCCTTTTATAGCTGACTATGCAGTATGGGCTTTGCTCATTGTTGATGGCCGTATGGTGACCTATAGTTGTTAATTTCTGTGTCATTTGGTCTCTTGTGGAGAGTTGTCTCATTGGCAATCCTACCACATCTTCTTATTTTTATATGATGTTAGCCAACACACATGTATAAAATAAGCAAATACCAAAATGGTGGTCATCAGCAGTTTATCCCACTATTTTATTAAGTTGAATTAAAAAATCTGGTCATCTGGGAATACAAAATTAGCTGAGATGGTATAATTTTTCAGGATCGCCATTTTCAAGTTATTTTCCTCAAGATTTATTCCTTTTACAGGCCCATTTAAACAAGCATGACAAGTAATTAAACACATGCCAAATGGAAAGAAATAATACAACATTTAAAGTAAAAAACATCAGTACATGATTGATTGATTGTTCTTTGTTTATCATCCAAGAACAAATAAATATGAGTATAAATACCTCTTCTCAAGGCATTCTGTGCATCTCTGGTCATAGCATCTGCCTCATCTAGTATAACAATCTTAAAGCCAGATCTGAAAACATATCAAACCATAAGATACTGGGGAAGTACTTTTATCTGTGGGTATCATATTTCACTGGAAATATCTTGTGTTTATGAAGTATCAAATGTGTGGAACATACATACTCAGTTTGAAATATTAAATCATTTAGTACTTAATGTTTTGGTAATCGGTAACAACTAAATCAACAAAAACTGGTACATGTACAATATTAATACTCTCACAGTAACCCTTTGAATTAAGGAACGAACATTATTAAATCAGCCACCCAGTTAACCAACTAGAGGCTCCAAGGCATATATACTGCTCTTCTAGCTTTTTATGCATAAAACTTTACTACATCAGAACAAGTGATTCAAGATGGAGAGTTGTCTCATTGGCACTCATACCACATCTTCCTATATCTAATCATGGTGGTGAAATCCAACATAACTCTAACCAGAAACACTATCATAGCAACCCTTTTAGTAATATTTGGTCCTTTAGCAGACCTATAAACATTTGTTTTGTATTTGGGATTATTTATACACACACAACTTTTCCAATTGCAAAATCTTTTTATCTTTTCAGATTTTTTTTTCAATGAAATATTTCAAAATTAATTTTTTAGTAACAAAAGTGATAATTCCTGAGGTGATTTAGGATAATAAACCATATTCCATGAAAAAGATCACAATTGTGAAATTAACTCAAAGTTTGTCACTTTAATAGTAATTGGCCCTCTACAAGATTTTCTATATATTTTCATTGAAGTGGTTGAAGTGATGAACCATAGTTCCTAAAGTGGATCATAAAGTGGTTGCATATTTTGATTTTTTACATTATTCTAAATGAATCTTTTTCCATAATTGTGAAAGCCATGTTTAATGGCTGCTGGGGTTTCCAGACATAGTTCTGAAGAGTTCCTTCAGCTCTTTGGGTTTTTTGTTGGAATTGTTTTACATAATGTCACAGTGGGGCCTTTTATAGCTAACTATAGGGTATGGGTTTTGCTCATTGTTGAAGGCTGTGCAGTGACCTATAGTTGATAAAGTCTAGGTCATATGGTATCTGGTAAATAATTGTCTCATTTGCAACAAGAGGCTGTCAGATTGATAGCAAACTGGACTTTCCAGCATGAAAATGATATTTGCAGGTCTACTTCTCAAAATTGATAAAAGCTACAATCGTGAAAATCATACAATGTTCAAAGTATCACAAGATTTCCATCTAAGCCTTTTCAAGTTATCGCATGGACAATGCTCTAGGTATCACTTTATGCTACTTAAAGGTCTACAATTCAACAACAAAAAAAGCTAAAATCGTGAAAATTGAACTTGACCTTCATTTAGTCACAGGAAACAACATATTTAAATTTGAGGCCTAAAATAAAATTTCATTTGTTTGGCATTGCCACCCAACCCACTGAAAAACTTGCCGCCCAAAAAAATTTATTTGTGTTTCAGAAATTTATTTTTTTTTATTTAAAAAAAATCGAAATTGTGCCGGAATTTGATCGTATCCGCAGAGTTTGTTCCTAGCTTTACTTATTTCAAATCACGATCTTAAAAGCACTTGCCTTACACTGTATTGGAAGCAAACAATTAAATGAAATGGAATAGAAAATGTCTGCCAAAGGTAATGTCAAAGAGGCCGGCAGGGGGAAGCATCTCCCTATGCTGCAATGCATTGGTTAAGGGAGATGGATTTTATCAAAAATCAAATTTTCAGCTATTCTTTGAAAGAAATGTTCTGAGAGACCTTGTAGAGGACTCAAATTTTATCTTTTGTAAAGCAGAAACAGTTGATGAGATAGATTTTCTCCAGGACATCACAGAACAAATATGCTTGGCTCTTACATTTGTTGAATTTATTAAATATTTGAAATTTATCATTGACAAATTTTCCCTTGAACCAGAGAACAAAGTATTTCTATAGTCAGAACCACAATGATGCATTCAAGATAATTATGGCTGAAAGCACCAAAGCTCAAAGACCAAAATGGTCCAAGATTTACAGGTTTATAGAAGTTTTGTACCAGTAGATGCTAGCCTGGTACAAAACATACATATTTTTAAAGACTAGCATCTTGTGTCAATTGAAGTACTTCCCCTTTTCTTGCCTTTCTTCTTAACATGAATAAGATGATTCTGAAAACATAAAAGATATTGACAGAAACATATTTATAAATGTATCTAGTGTACTAGTGATGAATAAAATCCCCTCCTTTTCCACAATTCTAGGGCTCATTAATTGATCTGTATTCATGTAATGCATGTCCAGATTTCTGTTAATCAAACAAGCATTACAACCCATACTTTATTTATCTGCAAAAATTGTCTGTCCTGCTGCATATTTCTATTTTGAATTTATCATACGTTTTAAACCTAGCCCTGAAAAACCTTGCACTTGGATAATATTAGTATAAACACCATGTCTATTTGTGCCAACCTTCCAAATTTTTAATATTTTGCTATCCTAATCTGGTACAGATCCTTTATCCTCAAAACTTATCAGGGGCAGTAGGCGTGTTTGTATGGTAGTTTGTCACACCTTACATGTATGACTACTAGCCTCTAGGTGTTGGTTTGAGCCCTAGTTGGGCAGTTGCAAAATTAAGGTTTGATTTTCATGTCATGTGATAAGGTTAGTCAGTTTCCTCCCGTAGGTTGGCACTTTCCTTCAGGTACTACGGGACATTGACGGTTGACCCCTTTCAAAGAAACCATCAGCATGTACACACAACAATGCTGCATTGCTTTAGACACCATTGATCTAGAGACTTCATGATTTACATGTAAAAAGCTTTTAAATATAAAAAAAATAATTTCCCTACCTACCTACCCACCTGCTGATAGTGTGGGTCGGCAATGCCAAACAAACAATTTTTTAAGCTAGGGTGGACTGAAATGATTTTGTCAAAGCATTTTCAAGTTATTGCAGGGCCACTGTTTGGCAGCCGCCCGGTCGACAGCCCGCTGTACATCACCAAATTAATAACCAATATTTTCCTTTGGAAATCCAGTTGATAAAACCACATTGTCATATTTTTATGTTATGAATCATTACCAACAATCTAGTAGTAATGGAAACAGAATTTTTCAGATTTTTAGCTTAAACTTTTTGCAAAGTTTTTAATCGATTAAAAGTTTGTTAAATATGAAATGAAGTACACAGGTAAGGCAGAATAATCAAAGCACGAAAGCGCTGTAAAGGCAGTTAATTACAGGTTGTGTGTATTTTAAGTCCAGTTATATCATTATCTTGCATAGTACAGTGTACTTATCAGAGGTGGCTTTCAGTATTTAAGATTTAGAGTTCTCTAATGATATTGAATAAGTTTTATGAATGTCATATTCTGAGCACTATATGAAGGCGATTGTTCTCACTTGTTTATGAACTAGTGCATTATGTCCCGTTTGTACCTTTTTTATCTATGTTTATAGTCAAATTAGTTATCAAAGGTACCAGGATTATAATTTAATACGCCAGACGTGTGTTTCGTCTACATAAGACTCATCAGTGACGTTCAGATCAAAATAGTAACAAAGCCAAACAAGTACAAAGTTGAAGAGCATTGAGGACCCAAAATTCCAAAAAGTTGTGCCAAATACGGCTAAGGTTATCTATTCCTTGGATAAGAAAATCCTTAGTTTTATCATTGGCAATCATAACACATCTCCTTATTTATATAATGATCTATATTCAACGACCTCAGGTACAAAAAAAATGTATGTAACTAAACTATGATGGGAAACCTTTGACTTCTTTCTTTATATAAACTTTTGATTTGGTACCATAGAACTATGTAGAGTAAATGTACATTGCAACATGTCAACTCTTTCAACTCCAAGCAAAATTATATTTCCAAGCATAAAGTAATTTATGAATGAAATAAAATGCTCCGCTGGGGCGCAGCTTGATACGACCGCAGAGGTCGAACCCTGAACAGTTGGGGCAAGTATGAACACAACATTCAAGCTTGATTCAGCATTGAATTTGGATTGTAATTAAATATTTGACACAGCATAGGTTTCTGACACAGAATGAAAGTGGTCTAAGATACTTTAAAAAAATTTAATTTACCTATTCAAACCATATCATTATTTTTTGCTTTTATATATAAATCAGAAATAACCAATTTAAAATGGAAAATTTTAAAGAAAAAAAAGGAAAAAGAATCCCCCCCCCAAATTTTTTGAACCCCCTTATGATTCATCACCCCAAAACTCAATCCCAGCCTTCCCTTTGTGGTATGGTACCTTGCAGTACAATTTCAGAGAGATTCATACACTTGAAAACATGTTATTGTCTGGAAACTAGAAAAATGCTTGTTTTTTGGCCCCTTTTTGGTCCCAAATTCCTAAACGTTTAGGGAAATTACCCCCAAACTCAAACCCAGCTTTCCCTTTGTGATATGGAACCTTGTAGTACAATTTGATAAAGATCCATACACTTACACACAAGTTATTGCCATGAAACTAGAAAAATGCTTGTTTTTTGCCCCTTTTTGGCCCCTAATTCCTAAAATTTGGAGGCAATTACCCCCAAAATCAATCCCAGCATTCCCTTTGTGATATGGAACCATGTGATACAATGTCAGAGAGATCCATAGACTTACACACAAGTTATTGTCATGAAACTAGAAAAATGCTTGTTTTTTGCCCCTTTTTGGCCCCTAATTCCCAAAATTTGGAGGCAATTACCCCCAAAATCAATCCCAGCATTCCCTTTGTGGTATGGTACCTTGCAGTACAATTTCAGAGAGATCCATACACTTGAACACAAGTTATTGTCTGGAAACTAGAAAAATGCTTATTTTTGGCCCCTTATTCCTAAACTTTTTGGGCAATTACCCCCAAACTCAATTCCAGCTTTCCCTTTGTGATATGGAACCTAGTAGTACAATTTCATAGAGATCCATACACTTACACACAAGTTATTGCCATGAAACTAGAAAAATGCTTGTTTTTTGCCCCTTTTTGGCCCCTAATTCCTAAAATTTGGAGGCAATTACCCCCAAATTCAATCCCAGCATTCCCTTTGTGATATGGAACCTTGTGATACAATGTCAGAGAGATCCATAGACTTGCACACAAGTTATTGTCATGAAACTAGAAAAATGCTTGTTTTTTGCCCCTTTTTGGCCCCTAATTCCTAAAATTTGGAGGCAATTACCCCCAAAAATCAATCCCAGCATTCCCTTTGAGATATGGAACCTTGTGGTACAATGTCAGAGAGATCCATACACTTACACACAAGTTATGTCTGGAAGTTACAAAAATGCTTATTTTTTGCCCCTTTTTGGCCCCTAATTCCTTAACTGTTGGTACCATAACCCCCAAAATCAATCCCCACTTTCCTTTTGTGGTATTGAACCTTATTTTAAAATTTCATTGAGATCCATTCACTTAAACTAAAGTTAGAGTGCGAAAACTAATGTGTCTTTGGAGGACGACGCTGGACGACGCCAATGTCATACCAATATACGACCACAAAAATTTTTTTGCGGTCGTATAAAAAGTTCTTAATTAAGAAATAAACTGATTCGCTGAGCGCAGCTGGATACACCCGCAGAGGTACTACCCTGAACAGCTGGGGCAAAAATGGACACAATATTCAAGCTTGATACAGGTCTGAATTTGGATTGTAATTAAATATTTGACATATTATAGTTTCTGAATAAATGTAGTCAATGAACTTGATCGGTTATATGAATTGAATTTATATTCAATTAAAGATTTCTTGCTGTTGTGCAATACACTGTGCTGTTGTGCAATACTTAATAAATCTGTTGCCAGACTATAAACAAATAAAGTTCAATTTCTTCTCAATGTCATATTTGAAATTTATGAAAATCAATAGGGAGATTACATCAATAGCTATAAATAATTCACCAAGGTTTCATGTGAACTGCTTAAAGCATTTTTGAGTTGTTGTCCAAAAACTGGAAAATCCCCCTTTTTTTAATGAATAAAACCCCATAACTCAGAAATGTAAAATCTAAAATTTATAAAATTCTAAAGGGAGCTTATGGATTGATAATTTAGTCTTAGATGCAAGATTTTTTTATCAGTTGTTAGTGGCTTTGAACTAGCTGTCAGTAACTGCGAGTACTCTCAGATTTGTACTTAGTGTCTTTTTGTTGTTTGGATGTACAACTACCCGACCACGTCCACTTGTATTTGCATTTATCCATCTGATGAGTTTAGCCTCTTTCAACTGATTTTTATAGTTCTTTCTTATATTGTACTGTTACACCACTGTCCCAGGTTAGGGGGAGGGTTGGGATCCCGCTAACATGTTTAAGCCCGCCACATTCTGTTTGTACATGTATGTGCCTGTCCCAAGTCAGGAGCCTATAAAAGTGTAATTCAGTGGTTGTCGTTTGTTTATGTGTTGCATATTTGTTATATTTGTTCATTTTTTTACATAAAATAGGCCGTTAGTTTTCTTGTTTGAATTGTTTTACATTGTCATTTCTGGGCCTTTTATAGCTGACTGTGCGGTATGGGCTTTGCTCATTGTTGAAGGCCGTACTGTGACCTATAGCTGTTAATTTCTGTGTCATTTGGTCTCTTGTGCATGTGTGGAGAGTTGTCTCATTGGCAATCATACCACATCTTCTTTTTTATATTTACATCAACAGATATAAAAAATTCACCAAAGTCAAGGTGAGACAACAAAACTTAGTTGTAAGATCTCTGAAATTATTTACAGGGTACGAGTTTTTCTCATTGTTGGAGATTGTACGGTGACAGTAACACCTGTAACTGCTTAAACCCATTTCTTATGCACTTTAGTTTGATAAACTCACTGAATATCATACCACATCTCCTTATTTTTATATGCATTACAATTTACATGTGCATGTAATTGTAAATATATATATATCAGAACAAAATTCATTGCGTCACTTTTATTTATGCATCCTTTGGCACAATACAAGTTCTAAAATTACACAACATAAAACAACTAAATGTTATTTCAGATGAAAGTTTTGTTTCAGTTCCATTCATAGGATTTATTAGAATTTTGTATGTTTTGCCAAGTCTAATAATTCGCTCTATGTGACATAGAGACATAGTTGACTAAACCACCAGGTGTCGATCATTCAAGAATTTTCAGTGTTTCTGTTTTTATTTGATGAAAAGGTTGCCTGAGCTCTAGGAGCTTTAGGTTTTATCACGGGATATTCTGTGCTGTCAATAATAATCCAAGTCGTAGGAAACTTTAATTTGAAGTTGGATGGTGAAAAATACCTGACTAAACCACTAGATGGCCAAGTGTTAGTTAGCCTCACACCACTGTTTAGACATAAAAACAATCCATGTATACACAATATTCTTAACACTAGATTCAATCTAGAATCTAGACAGTTCAAAATTGGTTGTATGATGCCTCAATTTCATCAAAGTCATAAAAAAAATGATTTTCAACTGACACCCTATCAATTTGAAAATATATGTATCTCAAACAATGTGCTGCTGGACCAAGTGTGGTCAAAACAAATAAAAATTTAGTATACAACTCTAAACCGGTATAAAAATGCATGGCTGTGTCAAGTGTCTTCATTTCAAAATTCTCTGCTGAAAACATAGGCATTGATGGTGTTTGCGTAATTCCATCTGTGAAGCTCAACATTAGCTCGGCAGTTGGTGGTGGACAGTCATAAATCCTTTCTGCAGTATGAATGACTTCTTCAGGAAAACCAACTTTACAATCAAAACTTTCCTCTAGATTTCTACTACAATATTCATCAAGTTTAGTTCTTTTGTTTTCACAGGAAACTGCCCTGATTTTTCTTTTTGTGGACGATTCAGTCTCTTGCTTGGTCCAGGAAAATAGGCTGGGAATTGCAGTAGACTTAAGTCTCTGTATGGTGGGTTTGCGCCCTGAAAAAGGTTATAAAACATTAGTTTTTATTATAATTAAATGAACTTCCATTAGCAATGTATACTTTGTACTACCTGGCGAAATATTAACTAGATTTATTCATTACAATCTGGATAAAACTATGTTTGCCTGATTCAATGTATGTTATGTAAATCCGAAGGACAAACAATGAGAGACTTATGCAACAAACGTACATTGTTTGTACCTAAATAACTATTATATAGATGAGAGCATGTCATTGTTTTGTTCCTGTTAACATTGTCATTGATATTTTTCAAGAAAGTCTATGAGGCATAGCTTATGCATTCCTGTCATTACTACATTAGCATAATTACTGCTAAAATAATTCTCAGTATGATATACCTCTTGTAAGAAATCATTATAATTGTAGCAATCACCAAAAAATCTCAAACAGATCACATTGAATCGTAATCCAAAAAATTATGACGTCTTGAAATACCCACCCCCTTTTATTCTAAAACGATAATTGCGGTTGTAAACAGACTTTGGTTTATTCGCATGGCGATTACATATATAACTATATATTTCACAAGGAAAATAGAGTTTTACCATGAATAGTTTCCTGCACGTAGTCGTTTTCAGTAAAACGTGCCTTGCAAACAACAGCTGATTGAGATGGACTCCACGATATCATCGTGTTCTCGTCCAATCTGCGTATGGGCCATGGCGTTGATCCAACTTTTCCTTCTTTTTAAGTCATTTGGAAATGCATGTCCTCCTCTTAAATGACATCCAGGTACACAACAACAAGTACTTGGCATCGTTAATTAAAAATATAACTGAAATAGTTGCACAGTGCAGAAACCGGAAGTAGAGGAACAGGATCCGCTACCACGGCGCCACCTATTCAGGAACGATAATTTGCTACTTTATATAACTGCGAAAATAACGTTAGACGGGTTCACGTGCATAACAGAAATGCGCTTTAAATTGTATAATATAATTCATGTTCAGTCGACCTTTAATTATTATATCAACGACTGAAATGATTTATAAACATCTAGATTGCAGATAACACTCGAAATTAACCCGAGCTCTTTCCACACGGAATTCAAATAATTCTAGTTTGTCAATCGGTTGACTGCTTATGATGCAAAATACTAATATATCAAAAGTTTTTAAAACTAACAAAACACAATGATCGTTTCTCTATTTCCCAATGTAAATGAAATGAAACAAAAAACATTTTATATCGCAATAAGAAGAGGAGAGAATTCAACATTTCCGGATCTACTTGGAGTCTAATGACCCCCCACGTAGATAAGTTGGATATCGCGGAAGGAAGGATTAACCCGGCAACTAGAAAGGCATTAAAGCACTGCCTTTAAAAATTGTTTTGGAACAATGCCATTTTAAAATTTTCTCTAATAACGATAAAAAAAATATCCACAATCACCTGAATATTTTTTTTATGCTATTGATTCCATATAGAGATAGTTTTTATTACATTTTAATGGTAAAACTACCTCAAAACCTGACATGCAACTTCCAAGAAACTGCAGTAACAGCTGACAGTACTGCTGATGTGAAATAAAAAAATAAGGTAAATATCTTATTATTAAGAAAATCTCTACACTGCATTATTTGTAAGCAATTTAATTGTTGATTAAATGCCTACTAAAACTTAATATCTCTATTATAATCTAAAATGTGACTAATTTGGTAGCACAGCCTACTCTAAATTTCATCTTAGTAAATAATGTTTTTAATTTTTAAAGAACAATTGAATTATGGTGAACAAATATATTATACCCAATATTAAATCTACAATAACTAGAGGCTCTAAAGAGCCTGTGTCCCTCACCTAGGTCTATGTGCATATTCAACAATGGATAAACTCTTGCCAACATTGTAGACAAGAATAGAATTCATGACTAAATCTCTTTTTTATTGATCATGTATTGCTGATCATTTTGTCTGTTCAGTTTCTCTCTAGCTTCTTTAGTTTTTGCTCAATACACAAAATAGGGTTATAAAAAATTCTCATTTAAGGGCAATCACTCCTATGAAGAATGACAGTCTACTAACTATATCGGCAAAATTTGACTTGTTTGTGGAGCTTGCCTTGCTGATTACTTTTGTTATTCAAAGTTTCTATTTATCTATTATAATTTTTTATCATATAAGACAATATGCAAAACAATTGGTAATAAAATGCTCCGCAGGGCGCAGCTTGATACGACCGCAGAGGTCGAACCCTGAACAGTTGGGGCAAGTATGGACACAACATTCAAGCTTGATACAGCTCTGAATATGGATTGTGATTAAATATTTGACACAGCATAGGTTTCTGACACAGAATGAATGTGGTCTAAGAACTTAAAAATCTTAAATTGGACATTCACCTATTATGGTTCAATATCCAAAATCTAAATACATGTTTAGATTCAGCATATCAAAGAACCCCAAGAATTCAATTTTTGATGAAATCAAACAAAGTTTAATTTTGGACCCTTTTGACCTCAATGTGGACAAAGTTGATAGCTGGGCCCAAAAATCAAAAATCTAAATACATGGTTAGATTCAGCATATCAAAGAACCCCATATATTCAATTTTTGTTGAAATCAAACAAAGTTTAATTTTGGACCCCGATTTGGACCAACTTGAAAACTGGGCCCATAATCAAAAATCTAAATACATGTTTAGATTCAGCATATCAAAGAACCCTAAAAATTCAATTTTTGTTAAAATCAAGCTAAGTTAAATTTTGGACCCTTTGGACCTTTAATGTAGACCAATTTGAAAACGGAACCAAAAATTAAGAATCTAAATACACGGTTAGATTCGACATATCAAAGAACCCCAATAATTCAATTTTTGATGAAATCAAACAAAGTTAAATTTTGGACCCTTTGGACCTCAATGTGGACCAATTTAAAAACGGGGCCCAAAATCCAAAAACTTAATACACGGTTAGATTCAGCATATTAAAGAACCCCAAGAATTCAAGAATAAAACCCCATTGAAATTGATCAAGAAATAAGCAATTTATACAAAGTATCTTCTTTTGCACAATACTGTGCAATTGAATATTTCTTGCTATTGCGCAATACTGTACAATTGACAATTTCTTGCTATTGCCCAATATTGTGCTATTGGATATTTCTTGCTATTGCGCAATACTGTGCAATTGAAGATTTCTTGCTATTGCGCAATACTGTGTAATTGAAGATTTCTTGCTATTGTGCAATACTGTGCAATTGAAAATTTCTTGCTATTGCACAATACTTATTATACAATAATTTACACATCCTGTTTGGTGTGTATCTCCTACCATATCATTATTATTTGCTTTTAAATATAAATCAGAAATAACCAACTTAACATGGAAAATTTTAAAAGAAAAAAAAAAGGAAAAAAAGAAAAAAAAAAAATCCCCCCCCCCAAATTTTTTGAACCCCCTTATGATTCATCACCCCCAAACTCAATCCCAGCCTTCCCTTTGTGGTATGGTACCTTGCAGTACAAATTCAGAGAGATCCATACACTTGAACACAAGTTATTGTCTGGAAACTAGAAAAATGCTTATTTTTGGCCCCTTTTTGGCCCCCAATTCCTAAACGTTTCGGGCAATTACCCCAAAACTCAATTCCAGCTTTCCCTTTGTAATATGGAACCTTGTAGTACAATTTCAGAAATATCCAAACACTTACACACAAGTTATTGTCATGAAACTAGAAAAATGCTTGTTTTTTGCCCCTTTTTTGGCCCCTAATTCCTAAAATTTTGAGGCAATTACCCCCAAAATCAATTACAGCCTTCCCTTTGTGATATGGAACCTTGTGGTACAATGTCAGAGAGATCCATACACTTACACACAAGTAATTGTCTGGAAGTTACAAAAATGCTTATTTTTGGCCCCTAATTCCTTAACTGTTGGTACCATAACCCCCAAAATCAATCCCCACCTTCCTTTTGTGGTATAGAACCTTATGGTAAAATTTCATGGATATTCATTCACTTAAACTAAAGTTAGAGTGCGAAAACCAATGTGTCTTCGGACGACGACGACGCCAACGTCATACCAATATACGACCAAAAAATTTTTAATTTTTGCGGTCGTATAAAAATTGTCATTAAAGGGCAATGCTCCAATAAGGAGTTGCCGGAAAATTTCCTCCATATCATCTTAAATGTAGATCTTGTCTTAAAGTTTCTTTCTATCTAATATAGTTTTAAAGATCATAGGCAAAAATGAAAAAAAAAATTGCAAAATTTGTCATTTAAGGGCAATAACTCCTATAAGCAGTTGTCTGACAGTTTTGACGTCAATGAACAACTGGTAGAGCTCAACATTCTGAACATTCTTGCCCTATCAGATTTTCTTTTTCTATAATGGTTTTCAAAATAATAGACAAAACTTGCATTTTGCCCCATTGTACTATTTTTAGCCATGTCCGCCATCTTGGTTGGCAAGCTGGGTCATCGGACACAATTTTTAAACTAAATACTCCAATGATGATTGTGGCCAAAATTGGTTAACTTTGGTCAAGTAGTTTCAGAGGAGAAGATTTTTGAATAAGTTAATGGACGACGCCATTTGTGGGCCAGGTGAGCTAAATCTGATCGGAAAAGGAAAATCAAAGCATAGTCAGTGCTGTGATCCAGCCAATTATTTAGATAGTCAGACATTTTTTTTGACTCATGTTCAGTATTTTTTTTCTTTATACCAACTCCTGTAACTCATTTCAAGACAGCCATCAAAACATGGGATAAGTGAGTTTGGCCCCAAGTGTAAACTTGAGTATTGGACACAATGTCTAAAAACAAAGAAAGAGAGAAGATAACGAGGGACAATCTAAAATCTTTTTGACAGTTGACAAAACATTTAGGCTTTTCACCCTAAATGATTGCTTTTGGAATAATTATTTATTTATTTTTGAAAAATAATATGACATTGAAGATGAATGGTTTTTAAAGGTTATTTTCATTTCTATAATCTTATTATAAAGTTTTTATTCCATAGCCCAAAGATGGAGAATTTCTTAATATTGATATAAATTCTTTTGATATTTCAATTTTAAAAGGTGTACTGATTTTTCACATCTTTTTTTCTTATTTGAAAATTTTATGATTTTGATATGGATGGAAAGAAGTATCTACAAAGGAAGGCGTAGAATATTTTTATAGAAGTTTTGCAAGAATGAAATATTTTTTCATGACGATCCAAATTGATTTTGATTCCCTAATTATTACCTGAATTGCCTATCGTTACAAAGTCCAAAGAGATTAATAAAGAGCTGGGCCATGAGCGCATGATATGCCCGTCGCTTTTTCAAAGAATAAAGTTCCATAACTCCTCAGTGGCATATCAGAAATGTATAATAAACTAAAGGGAGGTTATTCTAATAGATATAAACCAGTCACCAAAGTTTCATGAAAACTGCTCAAAGTACTTTTGAGTTATTGTCTGAAAACTGGAAAATCCCCCCTTTTTTATGAATAAAATCCCATAACTCGGAAACGTAAAATCTAAAATTTTATAAAAATCGAAAAGGCGCTTACGTCAGTAGATATAAACAATTCACCAAAGTTTCATGAAAACTGCTCAAAGCATTTTTGAGTTATTGTCCGAAAACAGGAAAAAACCCCTTTTTTAATGAATAATACCCAATAACTCGGAAACCTAAAAGAGGGCCAAATTTTCTACATAAAAATGAGATATACCAATACATCTGCATACCAAATATCATTGACCTACCACTAACGGTTCCCCTTAAACTGACCTATCACATGTAAACTAGGCAAAATTTCAAAATCAATAGACCATAACTATGAAAATTGTAGAGTGCTATGCATAGAAGGTTTGGAACACCATATGATATGATTTCAAAACCATTTTCCAAGAAGAAAGTTCCATTGAACCATGTCAGGAAGAGGTCTTTTGTTTCATCTTGCTTTGCCCTTTTGTCAGTGAAACTTGATATGTATGATACTTCCTGTACATTTACTATTTCGTGGCAATAAACCTTTATAAACTTATTTATTCCAGAATCTGTAAAAAGATGTCAGTCATTATGGATGCCAAACTTATATGCATTGTGTCCTCTTTGATTTGTATGGCAAACTCAGAATTAACTAAGGAACTCAAGAAACAAATAGTGGATGGCCTAGCCAAGGGATCAGATATTGTTGATGACCTTACCAAATATCACCATGACCAAGTTTTCAATACCATTCATAAGATGTCCAACTTCTTAGGTCATGTCAATGGATTTGTGTCCTCTCTGAAAAATTATGACCCGAAATGGACAAGGATGACTTAACTAGAATGAAAAATGTCTTTGTAAATGCGAGTGAAAACCTGAAAGAAATTACAAGATCAAGAAAAATAGAACCGTTTCTTAGACCTGTCTTCTATGAAATACGTAGTACAGAGTTCAGCTTTAAGCTATTAAATAATTTTTTGGATAAGATTGAACGACTCTCTTGTAAAAATAAGACAGACTGCTACACCAAATTAAAAGAAACTATGGAACTTTTTGAGTATGATTTTGATATCAAAGAACATTTTAATTCACTAATGGATATATTACTTGCAAAGAAATTTTATTCTAAATCTTCACAAAGAAAGGATGAATCTGCCTGCAAAATCATTGAAATAATGAATACAATGAGGAAAGCCTTAGTTACTGCATTTAAAGCTGAACAAATTATCATGTTTTACAAGAAAATCACAGTTGAAAATTTTGATTTCATTCAAGAAATAAATCAATGGAATAAACTCATGTATGGCCTACGAGGTAAGACATATGACATCATTGGTCAATGCTATACCGTAGAAAAATGTCAACGCCAATGTGGTCGAGGTCAATGTGTGAAATGGCAGGATATAGAAAGACCCACATGTGTATGCCCACCATACAAAGAAGGACAGCAATGTCAGATTAGTAATCAAATACATTTAATTGAAGAAATACAAGAAATTGTATCTTTTTCTTCAAAGATCCCGCAACTCCAAAATACTGCAAATCACATAAAACATTTTGCCCTAACACCAACCCATTGCATCCATAAAACTTTTGAAAATGTCAATAATGTTATTCTCAAGATGATAAAACAAGAACCAAAATCTGCTATACACCAAGAAGAGCTAGGTATTTATTATTCAACATTTCTCAGATTACAATACTTTACTTACAAAATGAAAAGTTACGTCAACTGCAAGAACTCAAAATCCTTAAATAATACTGCTCTTTCTCAAATCAGAATGTATGCTAGGAGATTACCAGAGATTCTGTTCAACATACATAAATTCATAACAGGCAATGAAGATTATTCCCTATTTAATGAAGAACCAATCATGATCAAATTTATTGTTAGAAATTTCAACAGTGTTGAAGGATGCAGCAATAATTACAAACAGTTAATTGATTCTTTCTGGCAGAGGGTTCAACTTTTACAACTGAGAGGATACTTAATGTGGTTGCAAGCATCTAACTTACTATCAACATCAACAGATCATGTCTTAATGCTATACACTGATAGAGTTCAATCACAACTTACCACAATGAACAAACTAACATGTTCACCCGAGGTTAAGAACTCCCAAAATATCCACTGCGGTGGTGGATATTATGTGACACCAAAGGTACATCTAGCAACTGATTGTAAGCCTGGTTATTATCTAGTTGGAAAGCCTGAGGTTCAGTGCTTGCAGTCACTGCCAATATGCACACCTTGTAACTGCTACAAGGCGGGAACAATTTCAATAAAATGTAAAGATTCCACTGGAAAATGTGATTGTAAACAAACATATTATGGCACCAAATGTAAAAGTCGTGATTGTGTTTGGGGAAGCTGGACTGGATGGTCATCCTGCGACAAATCTTGTAATTATGGAGGCTCACAGATGAGAACACGAACCTTTGCTATTAATCCTCTTGGAGGTGGAAAAAAATGCCAAGGATTAGAAAAAGAAAAACGTCAATGTTTTAAGGGTTGTTGCAGGAGCCAGTTTCACTGTTCTAATAACAAGAAATGCATTCCAAGCTCTCAAAAGTGTAACTATATAAATAACTGTGGTGATAACCAAGATGAAAACAGCTGCTCAGAACACTGCTTTAGTAAATCTACTGGATCCACTATAGATGGTGGAAAAGGAAATACAGTATATCTTGATAGGCAAAGAGTCAGCTGTGGTTCTCCACAGTATGCTATGAAACAGTTCCGTATGATCAGAACTAGCAACACCCATATCAGCTACCAAATTACATGTTGTAAAATGTTGCAAAAAGTCTGCACTACTCAAACCCGTCATAATGGATATACAGCTGAAGGTAAAGGAAATGTCCTTTATCTAGACCGACAGTCTGTCATTTGTCCTAAAAATGGGTTTCTTAGTCACTTTCACCTGAATCGAGTAGGAGGAGGAGGGGCTTACAGATATACATATACATGCTGTCAGACTTATTCATCTTACCAAATTAGGATGTCATGCTACCATTCCAGTACAAGAGGAGACTCAGATGGCAAAGGGAATTTTCTATACCTAGACAGACAAAATGTGAAATGTAGAAATAGATATTTCATCAGCAGTTTTCAACTCAGACGACCAACTACATCCACAATTAATTATAACTTTGCATGCTGCCGTATTCAACCATGATGATTTGGAAATAAATAAACAGACCATGTACTAATATGTATTTTAATACAATATCAATCTTTTGACCTTTTAATTTGTGAAAAATATTTGGAGACTTGCTTTAGAGAGACTATTGGTTTGTGAAGATAAATGTATGATAATTTTCCATTTTAAGGTTAATAAAAATGTATTTCGAAGCATGTGTTTCTAGGAGACATATTATTTGTTTCCACTAGGCTCACACATTGACTTTGAATATAAGCCTTCTTAAACAGTTTTGAAGACATACCAGAGGTATAAATAATCAAAGAGCATGATCGCTCTGAGGGATACGATCGCACTGCTTCCATTGATATTAGTATTCTTTCTCAAAAATATTCAACTGCCTATAATGGTTTACTTTTATAAATTTTGACTTGTATGGAGAGTTGTCTCATTGGCACTAATACCACATCTTCTTATATCTATATATTCCCTATTTGATTCAATCTTAATATAGTTTTTCAACTTTAAAAAATAGCCAATCTCAGATACAAGTGTATATTTATACATGAACATTGTATTGTGTTTTAATTTTTGCTCTGCATTTGCTTCATTCTTGGTAATTCAAACAAACTCATTTCAAAAATATTCCTTCTTTCTTTGGCTTCAATTTAACAAAAAAATCCTAAAGAGTTTCACTAAATGCTGTTTTTTTATGTTCTTCAACTTCATATTTGATTTAGCTTTCTTACTGTTTTGATTCATGCACCACTAATTAGTCTTATGTGGCCAAAACACACTTCTTACTAACCCAATTATCTACAAAGTATTGTAGATGAGTTTGTATTATCCTTGCGTTTGATGCGGTCAGTATAAAACAATCAACCTTTTTCTTCAGATACAACTCTTGATCATGTTCAATGTTTGTTATATTCAATGAAAGTTTAATGAAGATAAAAATACTTACAATTCATTGAAGTCTAAATAACTTTAACCTTAAACTATCTAAATGTAAACTGCAAACTAACAACTAATATAAAAATAAGGAGATGTGGTATGATTTCCAATCAGTCAACTATCCATCCAAGTTCAAATGAGTGGATGTAAGCAATTATAGGCAACCGTACAGCCTTCAACAACGAGAAAAACCCATACTATATAGGCGGCTATAAGAGGCCATGAGATGAAAAATATGAAACTATTCAATTGAGAAAACTAATGGCCTAATTTATAACAAAACAATTTATGAAAAACTTCTGGAGGAGTTAGAGTCTATGAACTTAAGATTCTAGGAGGATATTATGTCCTTATCTTCTACAAAGTTTCAGGAAATTCTGTTGGGCGGTTTCAGAGGAGTTGCGATGACAAACTGATGCAGTAGTATATTAAGGCCAAAATTTTAAGTTCAAAGGGGCATAGAAAAAAATAGAATCATAATTTCCTGTCGATATGCACATCTACATAGTATGTTCTTATTATCTACAAAGTTTCAGGAAATTCTGTTGTGAGGTTTCATAGGATTTGCGATGACAAGAACAGGACTGGCGGACAGACTAATGGACAGACAGACTGACAGATGGACGGGTCAAAAACATTATACCTAAAAAGTTCTGTGGGGTATAATAAATGTCAAAACCATCATAATCAAGTGTGAACCGTCTTTCATGGTCCATAAAATTGTTTATTACAAAAGATTTGGTCTAGCCATTTTATCATTCTAATCTGAAAAAGGAAGAACACTTAAAGTTTAAGGTTAGTAAGGGGTATAACTCTTATAATGTACATGTCATTTATAGCCCATGATATTGTTAAAATTTTAAAAGAATTGATCAAGCAGTACTTTAATTATCATCCAAAAACTTCAACTTGTGACGGACAGAAAGCAAGACAGGACAATTTTATAAGGATAACTTTTATAATAATATATTGTTGAATTTGTTAATGGAAGTATTTAAAATAAAATTATATAAAGCACAAAACAGTTGCTATGAAAACATTGGCAGTTGGACCAGTATTATAGGTAATAAGATGGCTTGAAAGACATCTTTTCCCAAAAGGCAATCATTTTATTAAGTTGGAAAAGTAACTTTTTGAATGACATTAAGTTTAAGAATTGTTGTTATTTCTTATGATATTCAACTGTACAAAGTTTTCACAATAAACTTTAAAATAACATCCCACCATAATGGAGAGGGCCATTTGAGTTTGTGGGGGGTTGGAAGATATGCTAATAATTTTTTATCCATATTTGTAAGAAAATTAATAAAGGTACCTGGCACTAAAGAAAAAATAATATTGGTCTTTATTTCATTTTGTACTTCATAATTATAAAGTCAGACACTGTAATTTTCCTTTAATTTATTTCAATCTGATTAAAATACAGGTCCCTGTGTCCATGCTTTGTTTACAAAGATATGGCTATAACTCCGTTTTACTTTCTGTTCTGGTATAACTTATTTCATCAGCCAATGAAATTTCAGCCTTCAAATTTTTCAAGGTGTGTTTTAATCTGACACAAGAGTGCACATGCTGAAATGTCTCACCTTCTTTACTAACCATTGATTTTATGTTGATAGTCCTAAATACAAAGCTTTACTACAAGTAACACATAAACTTAACATGATCCAAGAAAATGAGGTCAAGGTCAGATCAACCAAACAAGAAATACATGTACACCTTACAATCATTCAATAAACCAAACATAGTTGACCTATTGCTTATTGTTTCTAAGAAAGTCTTAAACAAGAAAACTTAACATTGACCAATGAACCATGAAAATGAGGTCAAGGTCAGATGAACAATGCCAGACAGACATGTACACCTTACAATTAATTTAGGCATTAAATATAGTTGACCTATTGCTTATAGTATCTAAGAAACAAACTTAACCATTATAACTTAACATTGACCAATGAACCATGAAAATGAGGTCAAGGTCAGATGATACCTGCCAGACAGACATATACACCTTACAATCCTTCCATACATCAATACAGTTGATCTATTGCTTATAGTTGAAGAAAAACAGACCAAAACACAAAAACTTAACACTGAGAAATGAACCGTGAAAATGGGGTCAAGGCCAAATAAAACCTGTGAGACTGGCATGTACATCATAAAATATTTCCATACACCATTTATAGTTGACCTATTGCATATAGCATTAGAAAAAAAGACCAAAACTCAAAAACTTAACTTTGACCACTCAACCATGAAAATGAGGTCAAGGTCAGATGACACCTACCAGTTGGACATGTACACCTTACAATCATTCCATACACCAAATATAGTAGACCTACTGCTTATAGTATCTGATATATGGACTTGACCATGAAAACTTAACCTTGTTCACTGATCCATGAAATGAGGTTGAGGTTAAATGAAAATTGTCTGACAGGCATGAGGACCTTGCAAGGTACGCACATACTAAATAAAGTTATCCTATTACTCATAATAAGAAAGAAATTAACATTACAAAAAATGTTGACTTTTTTTTCAAGTAGTCACTGAACCATGAAAATGAGGTCAAGGAAAATGGACATATGCCAGACGGAAACTTCATAACATAAGGCATCTATATACAAAGTATAAAGCATCCAGGTCTTCTAGCTTCTAAAATGTAAAGCTTTTAAGAAGTTAGCTAACGCTGCTGCCGCCGGATCACTATCCCTATGTCGAGCTTTCTGTAATAAAAGTCGCAGGCTCGACAAAAACCAGAGGATCCTGCCCTGCTTTCATGATATTCATATATTCATGAATTAGGAAGAATATTCATGAATATTCATGAATATTCCAGTTTTATTCATGGGTTCTATTCCAGTGTCAAATTTATTCATGAATAAGAAGCATGAATAAACTGGAATATACATGAATTTTTAATAACTGTATGAAGACAACCAAAAAGAATTGTTAAAATGCCTAAAGCTTACTATAATGAAGTTTTTTTCTTTCTAAAACTAATTTGGGGACAAAAGAAACCTTTTTTTGGGACATGAATAATCATGAATAAACTTGAATGTTTGGACTTAGAATTTTTCTAATACATATAACATGAATAAGGATGAATAATGATGAATGAAATTTGGACTTAAAATATTTCTCGATTGTGTGACAAACATGAATAAGCATGAATAAAGCTGCATGAAAATGACTCAGAATTATGTGTGACCAACTGCATTAATATTATCGATGAAAAATGTAATTTGTTCTAGGATTTTGTTGTTTATTTGGACATTTTTTGGCTGATGAAAAAAATCATGAATATTTCATGTGACATCAAGCCCTTATGTTTGGTTTTTTCAATGACCCCATCCTAAAACTGCTGCTTTGAAAAATTGGATGCCCTTTTCTTAATATTTCTCCCCCACCTGCTGCTTCTTTAAATGAAAGATATCCACTTAATTGAAAAATTTGATTTATTATTTTAATGCACTTGATAGATCAATTAATGGAAGTAAAGATGAAAAAAATAATTTTCAAAATATTTATATTTTAAGTGTTTTCAGGTTAAAAAATAATTAAAAATAATATTCTGATATGCATTTGCATTCAATTTGTTTTATATTTTTTTTTTTTTTAGAAAAAAACCAATAAATTTAAGGAATATATTGTGAAAAGGTGATAAAACAGGGGAAGTAACTGAAACATTTTTGAAATACACAAATTATTTATGACATAAAGCAAAGTTATTGGTGTTAATTAACAATGTGTTTGACACCAAAGCTGTCATATGAAGCCCTGCACTTAATGGGTCACTTAATTTGACAGTTTACACAGCTAGCCGAACTTCCTGTTCATGGAAGAATTACGAATTTCAGTTTGACGGTAATTCAAAGTCAGAAAAATGCCGAGATTTTCGCGATAAAAACGACAGGGCACCCGGGAAACGCCAACGGCTGTTTTGCCAGACAAGCTGGATCGTTTCTGATTTTCTACCTGTTGTCCGGCATTTAAACAATTTAGAAAAATTATCAGATCAATGATAGGCCAACGATCGACATCGTAAAACCTTGGTTCTCAACTTATGTAAAATGTAAACAAGTCATGACTACGTCATTTTTTTGTAATTGTACTGAACAGTCCGACCCTAGAAAATACTGTCCTAGATAATGAGGCCACTAGTTCATCCGCATGCACCCTGTGCCGATTAAACAAAAGTTGTTTTTTTCTTATTTTAAAAAAACTGGCCAGTAATAAATACTTTTATACGACACCCTTGATTTATTTTTATAATACCGTTACGGGGATGGATCAACTTCTGGCCGATATAATATGGGGCGAGATTGTCACCTTGACGTTAGCGTACTTGATAAAAACGTCATCAAAATGTGATTACGCTGTTGCAGAATCGAAAACATAGAAGATGTGAAGATGTTTTCAGATAAGTGCATTAAAAATTTAAAATTTAACATGTGTATATAATGAGATTATAAAATATTAATTTATTGAGGAACTATGATTTTTTTTTATGGTTTTTATTAATATTTGAGCAAATCAACATCAGAAAGTCTGAAAGCATAAACTGAAAATATATTTAGTTTTAACAACATTGAATAATCTTGTTGTCACATAACAGGCATAACTGGTAGATATGTAAAAATTTAATTGAATTGTGTGAATGGTTATTTGGTGAAATAATAAGTAGCTAGTTTTTTATCTTCAGGGGATAAATAAAAGGGGGAGGGTAATTAATTTGATTCCAAATGGCTTCCAATGTATACTGTATAAACATGCAATAATATTTCTGATGAATTTATTGCTTCAAAACGTCTAGAACAATTGATTCTTTGTGGATTTTTTTGATACTTTTAGGGGATTAAACGATTAAATGGAGCTGCCAATTTTGAAGGTAAACGGATTGCATGCAGATTCCAGTTACCTTTACTCAAGAATACTAGTTAGAAGTACAGAGACAGCAAATTTAATTACAGAAAGGAGGAGAACTTCACATGTATCCTTTATATCTGACACACAGTTTTAATATTATAATACTGAATATTATAATATTTGAAACTGAACAGCGAGCATCATTAAGGATGATCGCTACTCTTGTTTTTGACTTTTTGTCAGATATTCGGAATCCTCTGGTTTTATCCATGTAGTGCCATTAAAAAAATTTGCCTACTAACGCCTACTTTTCTTTTCATAATTTGATTACATATAGTTTAAAATGCCACCTTTGAAAATCTTATTAAATCTTTGTTATTTTTTCATAGTTTTTGAAAGAAAAAAGGTGCCAATGTTAAATGTATAAAGAGAACCATTTCCCGCCAAATTTTCAATGGCTTTTATCTCGAAAACAAGCACACGGACCCTTAATTTTTTTCTGCTTTTTAAGTTCCTTTATTTATATACTATCATTTCAGAATTGTCTTTTAAAAATCTTGTTATTTTTAAACAGAGTAGCGAACATCCTTAAGCCATGGTGAACAATGCATATCTAAATACAATTAAGACAATGAAATGCTTGAAGGTGTTAGTGAACTTTGGAGGAGAGGGTGGGGTAGGTACCATTTTAATGTTCTAAATTTATTTCTACATTCAATATTCAAGAACATCTATTTCACATTCATGGTTATTCTAGAATATTCAAGGATATTTCACATTCATGGTTATTCTAAAATATTCAAGGATATTTCACATTCATGGTTTTAGGATACTTCACATTCATGGTTATTCTAGAATATTCAACCATTCAATATTCATGGACATCTTATTTCACAGTAATGGTTATCCTAGTCAGTATTCCACTATTCAATACTCATGCCAGTCATGGTCATCCTTTTTCACATTCAAGAATATTCTGTAGATAAATATTCATGTTAATTCTTGGTTATTCAGTTCATACAATATTCATGTATATTCAAGGTACCATTTAACATTCATGAATATTCATGCATTGTAACCTTGAATATTCATGAATATTCATGAATATTATTCATGAATGTTCTAGAATTATTCTGGAATATTCATGAATAATTCCAGTTCATGAAAGCAGGGAGATAGGTCTTCAAAATAGAGAGCAGAATGGAGCATTTTCTGATTCTTGTAAGCAAAGATTGGACGCAGGATCTGTACTTTAATCTGATTGTTTAAATTTTCTGTTAATATTGGGAAAGGATTATCTGAAACGTAACATCTCCAAAGACATTAACTGAAAAATTGTCAAGTCCAAAATCAACTATACCAACCTTTGGCATCAAACTTGTAGCTAAACTGACTACAACTCTCTTGGTTCTGGAATCATGACAGTTCATTTGTTAATCAATGAATTGTGGAACGGTACTTACTTGAATATTGTTCTTGTACTTGCAAAACTAAGTATTTGTCCTCTAACTATTCCTATCCCTCGGTCATCTGAGGCATTCAACTGTTGAATTAAAGTAAATCAATATTGTAAGTAACACAAATATAAGGAGATGAAAAATCAGCAAAGACAATAGCAGGATAGAATAATAAAGCTTGTCTTTGGTTTTAAATTTTAAATTTAAATTGTTGTAACTTTTCATATAGAACAATGAGAAAAATAATTTTCCTCTGGAATGTCTTTTTGAATTAATGGCAGTTAGTGCATTATTTTACAATTCTAAAATTACATTCTTCTTTTGCTTTAAAGCAAAGCCATGCTGTTTTTCCAATATAACATGGGGTGCACCCGATTTACATCAAAATTAAAATTGCAACGCCAGCTGTATTCTGAACAAAACAGGGAATCAAAATGGACATATGTGTTGGTGTTTCTCCCTAGGAAATTAAATTAAATCATTCTTAAAGTAATTTTACATGTATGTGTTTATTTTCTATCCTAAAACAGTTGATTTTTTTATAAGGTTTTGGCTTCATAAAATCAAAATGACTACCTTTCGAATGCTTCAAAAGTACAAAAGTTCTAAATTTTTCTGATAAAATTGAAAAAATTCTATCATGCCATGTTCTATGCTCATTTTAACATGGGTATTATATTTGTCAACACTTTACACTTCCCTAACACTCTGTATAAAGATTTGACAAAAATATAAAGCATACCCATGATAAAATGAGTATAGAAAATGGCACGAAAGATTTATTTCTTAATTAAATTTGTAATACTAAATTTTCAAAGAAGGAAGTTCAAGTCATCTAAATTTCACAAACTAACCAGAGCCATAACTCTTACATTTTTTTTGTTATGAATAACTTTCAAACCTTTTTAAAATTGTCTGTTTATAAATTTTGAAATTATTTAGAAACTAAGGTTTCAACTCCCTCAGGCGAAGTTGATCTTATATGGATTTGGCTGTTTTTCGTTTTTGTATACATCCTTGGCTTTCTAATATTTGGCATTGAGCATTCCTGATGAAGGTAAATCCAGAAAAGCGCTTCGGACGCATGAAATTTATAACGTGTTGTTTTCATTTTTACAGCACTGGGTCGATACCTCTGTTGGTGGACTATCAGTCCCAGAGGGTATCATCAGATCAGTAGTTAATACTTCGGTACTGAAATGATTTATAACAAACATTTTTAAAATAGTCCGTTCATAAATTTGGAAATTATTTAGAAACTAAGGTTTTAACTCCCTCAGGCAAAGTTGATCTTATATGGATTTAGCTATTTTTTAGGTCCTTTTTGGTCATATAGCGCTTCAATTGTTTCGGTTCTAATACATCCTTGAATTTCAAATATTTGGCATTGAGCGTTCCTGATGAAGGTAAATCCAGAAAAGCGCTTCGGATGCTTGAATTTTATAACATGTTGTTTTCATCTTTTTAGACTATCCATTAGGCAACATTGATCCCAATAAATCCCAAATTTATGAGGTTTCACACAAACAGAATTTGTAGTATTCATCTAATACTACTGGTAGTAGAATGTTTAAAAATGCTGTAAATTCTACAAAATTTCATAAAATCACAGACTTTACAAATTTCAATTTTTCAATGACTCTTTTAACAGTTCTCCATACCTGGTACACATCACTTATACTCTCATTATACAAACCTCAAGCACCATAGAATTAAATTCTTTAGGTGAGTAGATCTGTTTAGCTACAGCCAATATAGTACTTGTCTTCCCTGTTCCTGGTGGTCCATAGAACAACAGATGTGGTAATCGTTCTTCTTTAACAAATTTGCCAACTGAAAAATAATAAACATAAAATCATCCCTTCACTGGAATCGACTTTCAACAACTAATGTTGTGAAAACATTTTTGGTTAGTATGGTGTTAAATTTGAAAATCAGAGTTAAGGAAAAATGTATTTCATCCACTGTATTTGGTTGGGAGGAAACCATGAAACCAAACAAACAATAATACTCTCACATAATTATATCTATCTGAATCTGTATAAAAACAAGAATGTGTCCATAGTACATGGATGCCCCACTCACACTATCCTTTTCTGTATTCATTGGACCATGAAATTGAGGTCAAAACTCTAATTTGGCATTAAAATTAGAAAGACCATATCATAGGGAACATGTGTACTAAGTTTCAAGTTGATTGGACTTCAACTTCATCAAAAACTACCTTGACCAAAAACTTTAATCTGAAGCTGGACAGACAGACAGACAAACAGACCAAAAAACATAATCATTAATGCCCCTCTACTATCGTAGGTGAGGCATAAAAATTGTAAGGGGTTCCACTGAACACTGTGTCTCACCTGTGATTTCTGCTGTTAGTGTATAAGTGTAATGTTGACTTAAAAAGTGAGTCCATTTATCAGTATAAAAATACAGAATTTAAAAAAAAATTCAAACTTTTTCTTAGGATGCTATTTCATGGTCTTGAAGATTAGCTTCTGTCGAAGTTTCAAAACAATCCATGAAGGTTTACAAATTTATCATGTCAAAAAAGTTTAATCCCAGACTGTCTGTAAATGTTAACTCTAAAAAGCAAAGTCCATCTATCAGAAAAATACTGAGACTGAAATAAAATATATTTTCAAACTTTGCTTCAGACATTCTCTCTTAATCATAAAAAAGCTTCTGCCAAAGTCTCATAAGATTTTGATATACAATGAATTACTATAAGTTATCTACGTTCATATCCGTAGATATGGATATTTTAACACCCTGAAGTATCCAAGTACACCCTGAGGCGAAGCCGAAGGGTGTACAGGGTACTGAAGGGTGTTAAAATATCCATATCTACGGATATGAACGTAGATAACGAATTTATCCCCGGTCTTAGTCCAAATCTGTCGATTTTTAGAGAAATTGGACCACAAAGTGTAACGTGAAAGCAACGTTTTTTTCATTTTCTAAAAATCTTTTATTGAAATTTGGGAATTTGACATATCTTTTACGGGGTGTAGGGTACTACCATTGGTAGAACCCTACAGGTAGTCAAATATAAGACGGTTTTAATATGGAGACAGAGAAACTGGAGTGGGTCGAATTTGGCGCTCAATGTTGTGAGAGTTACATCATAGACGGTGTGACATCAACGTGGGTCATTTGCATAGCTAGGTCAGTAGTCCCATTCATAGACAATGTGGCAGCCAAGTGATGCATTTACTAAAATGAGTGCAAATGATCGACAAAATAAGATAACATCGTTAGTGGATTAAATATTTAATTACAGACAACATGAATAATCTACAGAATTCTATATTTCACAAGGAACAACCATGGAACTAAGGAAAACGCGTGTGAGGTCCCCCTGGGTAATGGATAGCAATGTCTGGGTATATGGGTTAGCAACACCCAGGAGCTATGGGTTTTGTAACAACGTGCACTATCCAATCAAAATCCTAGAAATATACTAAGCTGGGGATAAATGTACTTATTACCTGAATAAAAATGCACTTGACTTTTGCAAGTGGCTACTCCCATTTGAGAGCTTTGTATTATACTGATGAATGTTTTATGTTCGGTTGAGGTTACGAATTAGAACATAAGTCCATTTGTCAGTTAAATACGGAAAAAATGAAAATAAATATTTTCAAAATTTTGCTCCGAATACTGTATTTAATTTTTAGTCATAATTAAGCTTCTGTCCAAACTTCCATAAAACTCCGTGAAGATTTGACAAAGTTATTGATGACTAAAATCAAAGTGATGGAAATCACTCATGGAAAGATTGGTAGAGTAGTTTGAATAAATTCAAATCATATTTAGGTATGATGTGGACAAAAAAAACATTAATACAGCACTATTACTGACAATTGCATTAACTGCAGGTCTTTAGAAAGATTAGCAATTTTTCAGTAGATAAAATGAGCTAAATGTGAATCAATGATTGCGGGAAATTTCCAAATAAAGATTCTTCTAATAAAGTTTATCAATTATCCTTGTAGAACATGGGACCAACAGATAGACTTTTATTAAAACTAAGATCTTTACTGTCTCCAAAAATTAATCTAAAAAGGTTGTTTTTGGGGCATTTTGTCAGGGGTTCAAATTAGCGGTGGTCCGAGGTCCGTGACCTTCCATTTACAGGTTTGGACCTTCCCATTGGTAGTTAGGTACACCCGATGGACTTTCGCATTTTTGCAGGTTAAAAGTTACAAAAGCATTTTGAACAAAAAAATATGAAATTGAGAATAAAAATAATCTTGAAATATGCAACTTTACTGAAAGGAAACTTATGTATTTGTTTAAATTCTTCACAACTGAATTGATGTAAAGTCATGCGACCGGTTGTCGTACAAGATCCCGGGAAACTCAAGAATATAATATTAAAACATAACCAGTAAACGGTATGAGTCTGTTAGGTTTTGGAGAGACCCTTTCCAAAAGAAAACCTGATGAAACAGGAGATACAAAGGGGATGATTGGTGAAATAGGGGATACAAGGGGGATTGATGAAACGACTTAACGCAGCCAGAAAGACAGGATCTGACTAAAGACCAAAAATATGACAGGGAAAAACAAGAACTTAAATGTTTCCCACAAACAGTGAAAGGGAAAGTGCCCTGTTTCATTGGACAACAAAAATATAAATCTTGACCCCATAAAATATCATGATGAAAAATAACCATCCAGCATCTATGTATCTTGCCAAAAAAAAAGTGGTTAAAAGAAACTGACCTTAAGTTTGAAAACAAAGTTGAGCTATTATCTGACACAAAGTTAGGCCAGTGTTCTTAAGCAGCAATTGAAACCAAACCAATTATAAAGGTACAATGTACAAAGTGTTGGAAAAAGGGGAAGCCTTTTTCTGACTGAATTTATCTCCAAGAAATTCAGAAAAAAATGAGGTTAATGTAGTAAACTGTGATGGGTGTTTTGTTATGGTAAGCATTTTCTGTTTTTATAAATTGAATTTTCAAAAAAAAATTGGACCTTCTCAGAATAATGGAGGACCTTTAAGTATCTTTTTTCAAAGGTCCTGGACCTTCCATTGATTAGAGTAAATTTGAACCCCTGATTTTGTAAGTTGAAACATAGGCATACTATTTTTCTCCTCTAAGAATTGCTTATTGATTTTGAAAACAATTATCCTGATTATATAACACTGAAGATTAAAAGTTGTAGAGTGTATTTTAATATTTTCCCATAAAGGGCATAGAACATGTACTTTTTCAACATAAACAAATTAAATAACTCATTTTATTGAAATCAGTGTTCCAGCTAGGATTTGAAAATAGAGGGGCGCGTTTTTAAAAAAGGGCACTTTAGCGCGTTCTCCTGAAAAAAATCAAATACTTAATATTACCACATAATGACATATTTTTAGCAAGCATGTAGCTAAGTTAAATACTCTATACTATTACATACATTGAAAATTGTGTAGGTTTGGTTGTGAATTTAAATAAGAGTGCCAATGAGACAATTGTCTTTATTTCGATCTTGAGAAATAGATTGATTCAACAAATAAGTTTGTTAATTCAACTTTGAAAGTTTATTATCAATTCAACAAGCATCTCCGTAAATTTCATGTTGAGCGTATCTAATAATATCAATAAGTTTGTCAAAACAGATTTCAATAAGAAAATTGATACAAAAATCGGACTTTCGAGAGCTCCGTAATCGGCACAATAATAAATTAATTCGACTTTGAAAGTTTATTATCAATTCAACATGCATATCCGTATATTTCATGTTGAGCTATCTCATAATATCAACATTAAAGTTAGTCAAAACGGATTTCAATTTAAGAAAAATGATATAAAAATCGGACTTTCGAGTGCTCCGTAATCGGCGGAATTTACAATAGAAAAACAATTGCGATATCTGATAGAAACCTTTCTTCTTCTCGATTTTTCATAAAGGTAAAGAATTAAATTATTTTTTAACCTTTGATGGTCATTATTCTTGAAAAAAAGATGTAATAGACTGGCATGTCTTTGATATTTTCTTCTTGTCATTTTCGAGTTGGTCAATTTTTCTTTTTTTCGTCGGCATTTTGCGTGTTGACGATTTACAATATACTATTGGAATGATTCTTTTTTAATGAACGTTATTTTATAAATAACAATTACAATAGAAATGAACATCGTTCACTTTTATTTTATAAATTCTATTTTGCATCGTCAGGTGTTAAAAAATCAATTCATTTAACTTGGATGTTTGGTGCTTCAGGGCAAAGGGATTAGACAGGGTCATAAATTTCACCTGATTAAGTAATTGACTCTAATCAAATAGGTGATTATATACAGGTAACAAGTGTTAACAATTTTAATCTGTTGTCTTAATGAAGTGTGTGTATAAAGAACTCAACAAAATGGTGACAATATGAGGAAAAAAGATCGTTGTCTAAACTTTTTTCAAAAGAGCACAGAGGGGCGCAGGGGCGCAAAATTTCGGGGGCGGGGCGAGGCGCCCCTCCATTTCATGCTAGCTGGAACACTGGAAATGGGGATTTGTTTTTTTTAAATAGCAAAAATACCCTTCCTGTATTCAACATTTGAATAACTCTTTTTATATATAGATTTCATATTTTGTCTTTTCTTTTGAAAAAAAGATCTTGTTAATCCTTAATCATTTATCTTTCAGACATAATTTATAGAATCACTTTATGTAATGTAGATCAAAAGTAATAGGCAATGAATAAATCTATCATTTCCATATATCAAACATCTTATATATACATTTGTGTATTGAGATGTATAATGAAGAGTCTGTTTAATTATGTAAGACTGAGGTTGATTAGTAATTTGATCAATATGATTGGCATTTAAGAAGGTGGGACATTGTAATTAAGGCCCCACCTTGTCTCTGTAGTTTGGTGATCAAGGCAGTTGTCAATCATACTGGTATTGTATTATTCCTCTTACCTAATTCAAAAGACCAAAATGGCCTGCAAATTGACAAACTTAAAGACATACATACTTAAATGAACTGCTTCTAAGATATAACCCTAATTTTTCATAGTTCATATGTGTATATATATGTACTGTACAGACATGAGAAATACAGGGAACTATATTTCAGTGTATGCATTTTGTAGATTTAGTAGCTAACCTGTGCTACATCTTGTTTGGGAAGCTGGTGCCTTAGGAAAGACTTGATACAATAGTTCCAATCTTTCCAAAAACTTTAACCACAGACTGAAAGAATCTACGATCATCAAGTCTTGCTATCGTGACATAAATCTCGACAAAAAAACATCAATCTGGAAAACTTTAGTCTATCACTCTTGACTTATTCCTTGAATGCCTACTCGTGTGAACAGAGCACTCATGTAGTGGAACTAAAAAAACATTTGATTGACTGTTACATCTTACTTGTTGATATTATATCTTTATGTGATATTAGGTCATCTAACTGTTTTGGTCTATATTTTTCAACCCTGAAAAAAAAATCATGTGGATATGATGAATGTATATATATTCAAAAAAAAATAAAATATCTTATTATATAAGGTGAGTTAAAAAAAAATATGTGCAAGTGTATTCAGGGCTGTCCAACCAACCCTAATGTTAAAGACAATTTTTCCTCATAAACTTTTCACCAAAATGGCAAATGTTGTAACTGCCAACTGGCAACAAACTATTATGGTTGCTGGTGCTATTTCTGGCTCCAACAATTTCATTTCATTTTCAATAGTACTTCATGATGGGTCTTAGACCCTTTGCATTTCATTGATGTAGATGTAGTGAATGCAGGGTTCTGTTATCATATATAATCTACTGTTCATACTTTATCTCCCCTCACTCTTCAAAACTGTAATGGTCTTGTATCAACATATTGTTCCCGACCTGATATTATACGGGTCATTTTTAAAAAAATGTCGAATTTTGAAATTGCAAAACAGACTTAAAGGTACTAATTCAAATAACCCTCTTCATAAGCAAATCAAAACAAACTGTACTTATGGAATAACATATAAAAAGATCAATCTTGATGATGTCATAGAATATATTGAAACATTTTCTAATAGGTGGTGCAATATTTTGTCTCTCCTGTTACCATGTTCAAAAGAAAATTCAGGTTATTCAGAATGGGTTTCGATATGATTTTAAGCTTGTTTTTCATAGCCAATAAGATGGTTTTCAAGAGTAAAAATGTCTATATATTTTCATTGTGTAATGATATATTTGTCAATTTTTTCATGTTGTACTGAAAAATACCTCTTAAAATTGGTTTTCAAAGGTTATGAAAATAACCACCAGCAACGCAAGTCTAAGTTAACATTTCATAATGTTCAGCATTTTTTTCTCATTCTAATAAACCCAACATCAAGTTATTCCCTCGAATACTGGATTACTTTTGTCTTCTTTTTTTTCTTGGTACAGGAACATACGTTACCGATTTATCGCCATATTAAGTTTTATCCTGTTACCCTTTTTGTCTATCCTGTTGCCGATAACAGTATTGCATTTGTATATGCTAAATTGCGAAGATTAAGACGTTGTAACCTTTAAATGAGTTCAAACAACCAACCATTTCATTATGTGTAAAACTATATGTAATTATAACCTTTTTAAAGACGTTTCTGTCAAATATTGGCAATCCTGTTACTGCAACCATAGTAACCATAGTAACAGGATAGACAATATTCTTCATTTATGAATGCTGTTGTGAAATAACCACTCCATTTGATGAAATGATGTTTATCTCCTGTGATTTTGGTTTCCAGCATGTAATTGCACTTTTTACAAGTATAATATTGGTGTAATTAATAAATATGTTAGTAACAGCATAGACATGACAAAATGTAACCCACTAATTTTTTTCACTAAATGTCTTGAATTTTCTTTTATCTACTCTTATGCAAGAAACGTGCTGCGTTAAATTTTTTGGAATCTTTGTGCTTTTGAAATCATCACTGAATAGTTCCCTATCTATAGGGAGAAACAATTTAACCGTTGATTTAGTAGCAGTAACAGGGAAGACATGCATTTCATGTACGCCTATTGAATTTAGTTTGTAGAAAAAATGTTACATAGAATAATAAAGAAGAGTTATTATTAACCTTATAAAATAGTTACTTTCGCAGATATCAAGGCAATCAGAAACTATAAAAAAAAAATCATTTAAAATGTGTTACCCTGACACTCTACGCAAAAACCTGACATAAATTTAGTTAAATCTTATCAAAATATATCTAAATCGTGTTTATTGATGTCCAGACTCATAAATCCTACAAACTTTCATTTAAATACTTACAACTGCATTTTTCTTTAAAAATAAAAATTTTAGCAAAGGTGTAATGAAAATTCAACATTTTTTTTAAATGACCCATATCCATGTTTCCTACCGAAGGTTAGTGGTTCTCTCCAGGCACTCTGGCTTCCTCCACCAATAACAACAAACCGCAATAAAATAGCACAATGGTGCTGAAAGTGACGTTAAACACCAATCATTCATATGCATGTAATGTTTGCCACTGGCACTGGCACTGGACATTTCACACCAATCCTACCATCCATCCATTTGAAGGTATTGTTAGGACGTTTGTTTTTTTAGATTTATCGTCACAAGACTGATGCGTAGTGTAAAATCGCCGTCGGTGTCAGGATGTGTTAATGTACCATATCAAGTCCAAGACCAAGATCCACCTCCCCCTTTTTTTCTTTTTACAATGTGTTGTTTCAATACGTCTATAGTCAAGCCATTTGGTGGTTTAATACATGTTTTAAGATAAATGACTAAAGTTGAAATAACGTAAATATCTTATAATACCATGGTAAATTAGGATTTGTAGCTTTTTCTTCTTTTGTTGTCATTTCTCTTTCCCGGCAAATTTTATTACGTCTCGTCTAAGTCACGTGACGTCAATTTGACGAGAGTGCTTGCTTCGCAATATGGCGGAAATCATTTTGGACTGTCAAAAAATAACAAATGACGACTATTTTGTCACTTGTTGATCATTTTTCATGTAAAAAAATAATTTGTTGCTAGGGAAGTTAAAAAGCATGCACCGCAATTTAGTGTATAGGTAACTTAAGGAAGATGGTAGACTCATCACAGGCCGAAAATGGAGAGATCAAAAGGGCCATTTCAATGTGCACGACAGCGCAAGATATGATCGACTTTACGGCGATTAAATTGAAAGGATTACGTGAACAATGCGATCCTTCAGAAGAAATTACACAAAAAGAAATCAGGGATACAGAGGTATTGAAATAAGGGTTGAAACGCCCCTGATTAGCTTTTGTTTACGTCTCCAAAATGTAAACATTTAACAGCTGACTAATGCCGGAAGGCATTTAACCACCCGTCTTGATTACCTTGTTAATTGCTACTACTTTGTTATTTGATCCATAATCAAATTAGGCAATTAACTAATTAACAGGGTGATTGATAATTGTTAGTCTGTCAAAATACAAATTGATTTGTATAATATTAAACATCAACATGTTAAACAAACCAGACTTTGTTTTGTCAAATTTAACATTTTAATTAAATATTTGGCTAATGGTACATGTACAATGCACTACAAATGTTTTATTGATAAATTACAATTATTCAGTTTTGAATTTAACAATACATACATTCATTGACATTATGCAGTCAGTGCCAAAAACCACTAGCAGTAACCTGTGACTATAGTATAGATTTGTTTGGGTTTGTGAATAACTAAAAAAGATGTTTCTACTTTCGGCCTTTTAGAATAAGGATTTTCTTGAAAAGGGCTTTAGGCTACAAGGTATAAAAGTTTTTGACACAAACTGTGTTTCATGGAAATCTTCATAGTAATAATTTTCATGATTGTAGTAATTAGTTTTTTTATTTTAAAAAAGTTTTTTGGAAAAAAAATATACATGCAAGTTATAAACTATCTAATTTGGTCTCTGGTGGAGAGTTGTCTCATTGGCAATCATACCACATCTTATTTTAATACATGTATATGCAGCCTGAGACTACTATAACACATGTTATAGTAGTCCCAGATGCAGTTAAATTTACAATGAACATGATGAATCTGTTTGTACTAATATTTCAAATTTTTCATGTTTTCTAATAATATCTGAAAGTGGTGTACAATATTGAGCTGTAAACAAATTATAAATAAACACCATCCAATTCTTGGAAGTTAATTGTCACGAACAGTACCTAAAAAAGTGGTTGAAAAAAAGTGTGATAGATTTAAAATAATTAGAACTCATTAATGACCAATTGGAATGCCATTTAGATGACATGTATGAAAAGACTGTGAAGTGTACACAAATACTTTTAGAACTTTTAGAACTTTAACATTTCAAAATAGAATGTTTAGCATGTTTAAGGAATAACAAAATTCTCATGCTTCAAATATAAAATTTCTATGTGTACAAGAGAAAACCATGTATTAATTTTAACACTTTCTGCAATAATACTTAACAGAAATGAATCATTTGTACATGTACCTAGAGAGCGATAGGTCTGATTGTAATCAAAACTTGAATTAGAAGTATTTAGATCTAACATGTCTATATAGATTTTAAACTGTTGACATTTGGACCTGATTAAGAAAAAAAGGTTAAAATGATGTTATGTTGGGATGTACAAACTACAATAATGAATGGTATAAAAAGCTACATGTATATGAAAAAGTCATGTATTAGACTTCAATATAAGTGTTCATTTTTGTCTGTTTTATAAGTACAATGTATATTTGCCGAATCATATTGACTCATTTTGAGTAAAAAATTTCATTATTCAGCTTAAGCTTATAATTAGAACTTATTTGATAAAATGACTTCCTTTTCCAAACGATCAGGAAGACATCACTTTTCACATAAATTTACTTCTGAATTTTAGAAGTGGAAACATTGTAATTAAAAGTAGTCTTTGTAATAATGGTCTTGAATCTTTATATGAAATTGATAACATGTAATGATTTGTCAATTTGCATTTATTTTCAAGCAAAAGAAAAACCAAACACAAATAACTGAAATAAGCAAAACAATCATTTTGACAATTCCACAATGGATTTACATGTAGTTGATTTTAAATATTTCAATAAAATTGAGAATGGAAATGGGAATATGTCAAAGAGACAACAACCCGACCAAAGAGAAGAATACAGCTGAAGGCCACCAATGGGTCTTCAATGCAGCGAGAAAATCCCGAAGGTGGTCCTCAGCTGGCCCCTAAATAAAATTATGTGCTAGTTCAGTGAAAATGGACGTCACACTAAACTCCAAAACATATAAATGAACTAAAATTAAAAAACATACAAGACTAACAAAGGCCAGAGGCTCCTGACTTGGGACAGGCGCAAAAATGTGGCAGGGTTAAACATGTTTTGTGAGATCTCAATGCATGTTTAGAACTTTTGCTACATGTTCACAGCATTCTCTGCTATCAATTGCAAGTACAAAAATGAATGTCGGCATACTGAGTTTTTTTGCTCTATTCATTAAAAGAATTTTGATTTCACATAATTTCTTACTAAAAGCTTTTAGATTAGAACACATTTTGAAGTTCTTATGATAGAACTTTGTTAAAATCCACCATATTTATGCTACATTGTATTTACCCATAATTTGGTGAAATATTCTTGACTACAAAAAATGTTAAAATATGTAGTATTAGAAATCTACTTTATACAGAGAAGACCTTAAAATAATTAAAAATATATATTAAAAAAAATCCATATTTAGGTCAAGATTATACTTTCACTACTGTTACAATGTAGTGAATGTACATGTATGTACTTGAGGGATAATTTTTGGACTTCAGATATAAGTGGAAAATACTTTTAACAATTATACAAATTCAGATTCAGTTAGTGTTCTCTATAATACATGTATAAAAATATTAATGTGTATTATTTATTATGAAAACATTGGAAATTTGCAGTTACAAATATGAATAATATGCAAGTAGAAATTGTAAAATCCTAATTTACAATTCAGTACATGCTAGCCAGCCATTGTGTGATGAGGCAGTAAAGAAATGGTTTCACACACTACAGTTTATGCAAATACAAAAGTATTTTGTTCAAATGAGCTTAACTTTAAAATTACTGGATCTGCTTCATTTTTATACGACCGCAAAAATTAAAAATTTTTTGGTCGTATATTGGTATGACGTTGGCGTCGTCGTCGTCGTCGTCCGGCGTCGTCCGAAGACACATTGGTTTTCGCACTCTAACTTTAGTTTAAGTGAATGGATCTCCATGAAATTTTACCATAAGGTTCAATACCACGAAAGGAAGGTTGGGATTGATTTTGGGGGTTATGGTACCAACAGTTAAGGAATTAGGGGCCAAAAAGGGGCCAAAAATAAGCATTTTGTAACTTTCAGACAATAACTTGTGTGTAAGTGTATGGATCTCTCTGACATTGTACCACATGGTTCCATATCACAAAGGGAAGGCTGTAATTGATTTTGGGGGTAATTGCCTCAAAATTTTAGGAATTAGGGGCCAAAAAAGGGGCAAAAAACAAGCATTTTTCTAGTTTCATGACAATAACTTGTGTGTAAGTGTTTGGATATTTCTGAAATTGTACTACAAGGTTTCATATCACAAAGGGAAAGCTGGAATTGAGTTCGGGGTAATTGCCTGAAATGTTTAGGAATTGGGGGCCAAAAAGGGGCCAAAAATAAGCATTTTTCTAGTTTCAAGACAATAACTTGTGTTCAAGTGTATGGATCTCTCTGAAATTGTACTGCAAGGTACCATACCACAAAGGGAAGGCTGGGATTGAGTTTGGGGGTGATGAATCATAAGGGGGTTCAAAAAATGTGGGGGGGGGGGATTTTTTTTTTTTCTTTTTTTTTCTTTTTTTCATTTTTTTTTCTTTTAAAATTTTCCATTTTAAGTTGGTTATTTCTGATTTATATTTAAAAGCAAATAATAATGATATGGTAGGAGATACACACCAAACAGGATGTGTAGATTTTTATATAATAAGTATTGTGCAATAGCAAGAAATTTTCAATTGCACAGTATTGCGCAATAGCAAGAAATCTTCAATTGCACAGTATTGCGCAATAGCAAGAAATATCCAATAGCACAATATTGCGCAATAGCAAGAAATTGTCAATTGTACAGTATTGCGCAATAGCAAGAAATATTCAATTGCACAGTATTGTGCAAAAGAAGATACTTCTTATAAATTGCTTATTTCTTGATCAATTTCAATGGGGTTTTATTCTTGAATTCTTGGGGTTCTTTAATATGCTGAATATAACCGTGTATTAAGTTTTTGGATTTTGGGCCCCGTTTTTAAATTGGTCCACATTGAGGTCCAAAGGGTCCAAAATTTAACTTTGTTTGATTTCATCAAAAATTGAATTATTGGGGTTCTTTGATATGCCGAATCTAACCGTCTATTTAGATTCTTAATTTTTGGTTCCGTTTTCAAATTGGTCTACATTAAGGTCCAAAGGGTCCAAAATTAAACTTAGTTTGATTTTAACAAAAATTGAATTTTTAGGGTTCTTTGATATGCTGAATCTAAACATGTATTTAGATTTTTGATTATGGGCCAAGTTTTCAAGTTGGTCCAAATCGGGGTCCAAAATTAAACTTTGTTTGATTTCAACAAAAATTGAATATATGGGGTTATTTGATATGCTGAATCTAACCATGTATTTAGATTTTTGGGCCCCGTTATCAACTTTGTCCACATTGAGGTCAAAAGGGTCCAAAATTAAACTTTGTTTGATTTCATCAAAAATTGAATTCTTGGGGTTCTTTGATATGCTGAATCTAACCATGTATTTAGATTTTGGATATTGGACCATAATAGGTGAATGTCCAATTTAAAATTTTTAAGTTCTTAGACCACATTCATTCTGTGTCAGAAACCTATGCTGTGTCAAATATTTAATCACAATCCAAATTCAGAGCTGTATCAAGCTTGAATGTTGTGTCCATACTTGCCCCAACTGTTCAGGGTTCGACCTCTGCGGTCGTATCAAGCTGCGCCCTGCGGAGCATTTTATTGCAGTTCTAATTCCAAGTGTTCTTTATGTACATCTGTATTGTGTGAATTACAAGTGTTTTACATAAATTTTATATTATCTCTATTATTGCAAAAATTTTCATGTCAGCATGAACTTTGTTTCTATTGCAAGAACTTTTTACTGATTTTACCAAAAGTGCATTTATTTCGGATATTTCTTTTGTGAGAATGAAAATAAGTGAAAACAGTGTCATAAAAATACATTATATCTAAACATTTAGAAGGTTACAAGCTAAGATTCTCTTTTTTAGTGAAATTGCTCATAGAATTTGATCCCATATCAAATACTTATTGAAATTCAAAATTAAATACTGAATATGCGTGAATATGGACATTACAAATGTAAATGAACAACTCACAATGACAATTTGAAGATTTTTATATCACATCTGCACATGCTAGGAACATCAGAAAATGTAGTTTTGAAAACAGGTTTATCATAAGGAAAGACTGGAGAGTCAGTAACAAATATCACAGAACTTGTTCAGTTATGAAGTACTTGATAACATTCAATAAACCTACAACTCTAGGGTCAGTTTGAAGATTGACATAATTGAACACTTGTCTATTGTTGGAGGCCTTTATGTTGACCTTAATGTTGACCTTAATGTCTTTTGGTTTTCCTTTTATTATTTGGTTATAAGATACAAAAAAATGTTGCCACTTCTCAAAATTTATAGGGCCATAAATTAAAGGTTAATTGTTTACCTTAAGTGATGAAATTAACTGAAAAAACTGGATCTGACAGTGAAACTACATTGAAATTGCTTGTTTCAACATATTATTATTACTTAGTTATTTGAATTTTGAAATTGGAGGTTTTAACATACTGAATGCCAATGTAGGGAATGCATCATTATTGACGGGGGGAAAAATTACCCACCTACATGTCTCGTGGAAACTATAAGCATGGTAAGGGTGGCTATGTCAACCAGGAATTTTTTTTTTAATCCTGGGCCTGACAGTCAGGGGAATTACTTAAATGAGTGATTTCTTAAGTCACTGCTTCAGTAACATTTTGTCCAGAAATGTTGCAAGTAAGAGTTGTCTTTCTTTAATAATCACCCATTTACGTAGAACACATAAATCACTAGACTAAGTGATTTAATTTTATTGTAGCTTTAGATATATAATATTAATGATCCTGGGACTAATTATGTTGCTATAAGTATCAGAACCAACATCTGTGTTAATAGGATGACTGATCATGTCAGGTGACCCTGTACTGATTTTGGGATAATGACATGAAAATCACCAAATGTAAAACAATTCAAACAAGAAAACTTATAGCCTGATTTATATACAAAACAATAAACGAAAAAACAAATATGATATACATGTACTGCAACAAGACCATTTGCAACATATATAATATCTTAAATGTTGAGTTCCATATGGCACCCCACAGAATAAATTATAAGGTGTTACTGTGTTTATAATATCTTAGGGATGGGGTGCCATATGGAACTCTTAACCACTGTGAATAATTGTTGAGAAGGAACAATCAGAGAGTATAACTGTCTTGTTAAGACATAAACACCTGTCATCAGACCATACCTAACAGGCATGTAATTGATTAACATGTCATTAATATATAATAATTACATATGATTACATTACCTTTGATGTTTAACAAGGTACAACTACATTGTACAAATAATATATTTACAATGTACTAATAGGTGATCATGAATGCATTGCTATGCATATATATACATAATTTATATTCTTTGGAAATCCACATATATAAGAATAGAAAAATTTGTATCTGTCCCTGTAAAGATAGATATGTGTATGGCATTTAAATGTTTGGTGTAAATGTCGGTGACTTGGCATCCTCACAGAAGAGGGAAGAAAAAAAAATTGATATTTAACCTTTCACAACGAATATAATTTGCTCATGACCCTTTTCTACAAACTGTTTAGCATAAACATGATAAACAATTAAAGTCAAGATCATTATATTACATTGTACAGCTCATTTAATGATGGCAAACAATTATTTAAAACATATATTGTGTAGCCTGTTTTCTCTGGGAGAGGCACACAACTACAAAATAAGGCACCTGGCTTAGGTAGATTTTTAAGAACTTACATGTAACCCATCCAATTAATACCTTGACCAGTGTCGTAACAAGTTTAAACATTTTATTTGGCAATATATATTCTGGATTTTACAGGTAATAGATATTTTTACCAAATTTCAGTCTGACTGATTTGGAGCAAGTCTGATGAATAATTTCAGTTTCTGTGACCAAATGTCTGACAGTCCTTTGATGAATTCTATGACCTTTGATGTACAAGAGCCAAACAATTGTTTTTATAAATGGAAATAAAGCTTTCAACAATGAGGCAGCAACCAAGCAACACAAAAAATCAATATAGATCTAGAGGTCTTCTAGTCTTCAACAATAGACAAGTGTTCATACAATAATGCTCCATGTTGAAGGCCTCACTGTGACTTTGAGATGAAGAACAGCAATTAAAGCGCTGTTCCTTTGCTTTTTGTGTGTTTTTTGCTGTGCATGTACTGATTTTGTGTCATGGACAGATACCCCTTGTCCTTTGTTTTTCTATTATACAAAAAAAAACCTGTCTAGTTGTTTCTATTTTATTATCGCTTTACTTTACATACTTTAAGTTTTAAACATAAGGTTTATATATTTAATGTTTTATTTTCAGACAAAATTGATCAAGTTATTTAGTAAGCAGCTGGTAGCAAAAACACAATTGAAAGCTGAAGACAACAAGAAACATCTGTCAGAATATCCCAAAACTGAACAATGGCTGACGATAGTGGGATTGAAGAGTTACATCTCAGTAAGTAATCTCCCTTTATTAAGTAGTTAAGAAATTGAAAACCTTTACCTGTTTACATAATGTTTATAATTCTGTTTAAGGTTTACAGGCTGGTTCTACCAGGCACCTGCAAATGGTGTACTTTGTACAAAGTAATTCATTTTTCAGTCATAGAATTGATAGGGAATAATAGATTGATTGATTGATTGGTGTTTAATGCCACTTTCAACACTATTGTGCTATTTCTTGGTGGTCAGTTTTTATACGACCGCAAAAAAATTTTGTGGTCGTATATTGGTATGACGTTGGCGTCGTCGTCGTCGTCCGTCGTCATCGTCGTCCGAAGACACATTGGTTTTCGCACTCTAACTTTAGTTTAAGTGAATGGATCTTTTTGAAATTTGACCATAAGGTTAAATACCACAAAAGGAAGGTTGGGATTGATTTTGGGGGTTATGGTACCAACAGTTAAGGAATTAGGGGCCAAAAAGGGGCCAAAAATAAGCATTTTTTAGTTTCCAGACAATAACTGTGGAACGGTGTATGGATCTCTCTGAAATTATACTACAAGTTTCCATACCACAAAGGGATGGTTAGGATTTGCTTTGGGGGTTATGGCTCAAACCGTTTAGGAATTAGGGGCAAAAAAGGGGGAAAAACAAGGTTGTCCTGGTTAATGGACAAATACTTTAGTACAAAACATAATTTAAAGCAGTGTAAGGGAGATAAATCAAATACATCATTGAAATTATCTCCCTTACACTGCTTTTAAATTATGTATAAAGTAATGGTTAATGAACAATAAAGATAATTTAAAACAGTGTAAGGGAGGTAATCCAAATACAACATTTTGGTTACTTCCCTTACACTGCTTTTAAATTATGTTTAAAGAAATGCATATTTATAAAGGAAGACCAGTAAAAATATCTGCAAATGTTGCATCTTTTTTTTTTACAAAAAAATCCATATGAAAGATTTGACACTATATTTTTAATTCTATTATAAAATAGATTAAGTTAGCACTATGGTAAATTTAAATGGGTAATTATGGTTGCCAACTCCATTGGAAATTTGAATTGAGATTATGACCATATCTTGAGGGAAAGAATTTTTTGGGGGAAAAAGAGGGGGGGGGGGGGGATAAAAAGAAATTGTGGGGGGTCAATTTTTTCTCATTTCAGATTTCAGAAATTAAAAAGAATTATTCTTCAAATATTTTTTTTTTTTCAAATTTCAAATATTGAAAAATTTTAAGAAGTAATCTTTAATTGCACAGTATGGCGCATTAGATTTGTAAAATCTTTGATCACGTTTATTTATTTGTTATGCCGAATCTAACAGTGTATTTAGATTTTTAATTTTGGGTCCAGTTTTCAAATTGGTCTACATTAAGGTCCAAAGGGTCCAAAATTAAACTTTGTTTGATTTTAGCAAAAATTGAATATATGAGGTTCTTTGATACCGTAGAAAGGCTTGTATAGTCCGCGGTTTTATTCTCCAAAATTGGACCTTCCAGACGGGGTGCGGACTATAGAGTACAATAAGCAAGAAATAAGAGGAAAATTTCAATTTCGCGGTCGAGGTGGTTTGTTTACGTTCCGCCATCTTTGTTATTTCTATTGTAGAGGGCGCTCTTATCATTTTTCAAACTAATAATTTTAACTCATCCATATTAATAAGTTATTTCTATTCAATATCAAATTAATACTGATAAATATAAAAACTAAACCTTTCATTACAAATTTCTCGTTTCTTTTCAATGCATTGGTTGAAATAAACTGGTATCTGCTTGATTAAAACGATACAAACATAGTGAAAAAGACAACCGTAAACCAGCTTAGAATTTGTAAACTACAAAACGTAATCGGTTATTGTTCGTTCCGTTTTGGTGTTTCATACTGACTAATATGGTTTGTATTAGCTTAAGACCCTTCAAACATTAATGTGATAGATATATTAAAGACTGTTTTACAAAAGGATGGAACTGTTTTACTTTCAAAGTCGTATTATAGTGATATCTGTTATGTACGGATTTCGACTCTCACCGGTTAATTTCTTCTTTTACACGTGCTTTTTAAACTTCCTGTTTAAACATACACAAGTTTCTAAATTGTTTTTTAAGTGAATTAAACTTATTTTAACAATCATGAAGCGTTCTAGAATCATTTACAAGCAGTTTCAGCTTCTGTTTGATGATGGAAAACAGGTTTTTTCAAGAAAATACCGCAAACGACCGCACAGGATTTGAAATTACCGGAGTTTCATTAGACCTTTTCTAACGGTTACAAAAAGTTTTTTTACCTAAAATTTGGTGGGGAGAAGGGGGTGCGGACTATGTACCACTGCGAACTATACAAGCCTTTCTACGGTATGCTGAATCTAAACATGTATTTAGATTTTTGATTTTTGGCCCAGTTTTCAAGTTGGTCCAAATTGGGGTCCAAAATTAAACTTTGTTTGATTTCAACAAAAATTGAATATATGGGGTTCTTTGATATGCTGAATCAAACCATGTATTTTGATTTTGGACATTGGACCATAATAGGTAAATTAAAAAAAATTCAAGTTCTTAGACCACATTCTTTCTGTGTCAGAAACCTATGCTGTGTCAAATATTTAATAACAGACCAAATTCAGAGCTGTATCAAGCTTGAATGTTGTGTCCATACTTGCCCCAACTGTTCAGGGTTCGACCTCTGCGGTCGTATCAAGCTGCGCCCCAGCGAAGCATTTTATTATTGATGGAGGAAGCTGTAGAGAACCACCGACCTTTGGTAGGAAAACTGACAACCCTAGTCAATTAAGATTGGAGTTGACTAGACCTGCCCTGTGCGTGATTCGAACTCACAACCTCAGTGTTGACTGGCTAGTGATACAGTAGTTGGACTACTTAGACCACTTGGCTACCGAGAACCTTGGGAATAATAGATATGTGGCCTATAGTTGCTAATCGTCTACATCATTTGGTCTCTGGTGGAGAGTTGTCTCATTGGCAATCATATTATATCTTCTTATTTTTATATGAACCAAGGTTATTTTAAAAGTCAAGGTTCTGATATTTAAAAGTTTATCAAAGGTTAAAAAAGTTTGAAAAAATGGAAAACAACTGTCATATACATGTATCTTCTTTTTTAAAGAAAGTGTTAAGTTAAGTAAGACCTGAAACACCTTATCTAGAACACATCCCCAAAAAAATAACATTTTGTATAGTACACTGAATCAAGAAATAGGACGTTTTATAATATAATATAAAATTTAAGTACACTGTCATACATGTCTGTAACATGAAATAACATTTTACAGGGTACATAATGGTTGTGACCTATATCTTAACCTATTCATTAATATTGACCCTTATTTATAGGATATTGTGACGAGAGGACTGGCTTTGAATGCTTTACTGGACATTACTATCAGGGTACATACTGGTTATGACCTTTTCATTAATAATAACCTTTATTTATAGGATATTGTGAAGAGAGGACTGTCTTTGGTTGCTTTACTGGACATTACTATCAGGGTACATACTGGTTATGACCTTTTCATTAATAATAACCTTTATTTATAGGATATTGTGAAGAGAGGACTGTCTTTGGTTGCTTTACTGGACATTACTATCAGGGTACATACTGGTTATGACCTTTTCATTAATAATAACCTTTATTTATAGGATATTGTGAAGAGAGGACTGTCTTTGAATGCTTTACTGGACATGACTGTGGAAGAACTGAAAAATCTACTCAAAAGATATGAAGCTAAAGAAGATGATTTCCACAAGCTGAATAATGCACTGCAAAATCTGAAAAATTGGACAGGTAAAAACATTTAGAAGACTTGGAGTACTTGTAAAAACTGGAATTAAAAACATGATTCACATGGTTTCAATTTTACTGCACTATTTGTTCATTAAAGAGACATTTTTACAGGAATGGCCTTTGTTTTGCATGATTTTAACAATGAAATTCTAAATATTATTGAAACTGATATGGTCATTCCTTCAAGCAGTGAGCTCTTAATTTGCCATTTTGTCTGACAAACCATATTTTCAAGAGTGATTGTGTTAAGATTTCAGTGTGAGAAAATATTGATTAAGACAAAAAATACAAAGCAACATCTTAACATAAGTTTGGTCATAACACATACTGTTAATAGATTAATGTTACATCATGAACATAGAGAATAAGTTATTCCCTGTTAGGATGTACATGTAGTTGTATGTATATCTGACGACATTTTGCAAAAAACATTTGGAAAGTACTAAAAAATTATTTATAAGGCATTTTTTTTAATTAAAAAAAACCCCCATGAAAACTGTATTGCATAATGAAACTCAAACGGTGATTTTATTGTGGAAATTTTACAAACACATTGTTCATGATGTACAAAAGAATGCTGAGTATAATAAGTACTTAACAGTTATTAAGATACATATCCTGGTTTATATAGTTTTATTAAATCAAGGTTATTAAGTTCATTTAAGTACATGTAACACTACTTGATTATATTACTTGGAGAATGCTCCATATTAAAACTAATTGTTTTTATGATTTACTGGAAATGTCACTGATCTGTAAATCTTGCTTCTATGTACAGTATCTGAGTCTATGTTATACATGTAATCCTCTTGTCAATTTCTTAAAGGATATTAGAGGGTGTACAAAATCAACATAGTTAAGCTGCATGTTTATTAAATTGGCCTTGATATTAATATTCCCTTTGTTAGACATGTTAAGTGGACGTTTAAAGAGGAGCAATTGCATTAACCAATTAAAAAGTTGGAACAGATAACGAAAATTTGACTAAAGACCTGTTTGATTTGGTTCTATATTTATAATAGCTAATAAGGAATCCAATTTCATGGTTAAGCTTACAGAAACTTAAGTTAATGCGAATCTGTGCCAAACTCTTTTGGCTTCTGTCTGACGTTCGGTCAGATAGTGTTGTAGGTTTAGTCTGACCAAATGTTTGGATCGACGGCATTGGCACAGACTGTTATGCAATTACTACACACTCAAATAGTTTGTCTATTTTAACCTGCAAATTGAATGTTTGATTTTGAATTTATCTGAAAACTTACCCACAGACAAACTGAATTTATATTTATGTTGTGTTACTTAAGGATGTACTTATGTGAAATTAAAAAAAATCTAGAATTAAAAATTGATACTATAATTTAAGTTAGAAGAGCATTAGTTAAGGGACAAAATAAGCTAAAAATATTGATAGATTATGGAGCTCCTTTTCAAGATATTTAATTTTTTTTAAAATGCCAGGAAAAGGCTGACTCAGACTTTTACATTATATTTAGCATTTGTAATATTTGGGTCTCAAATCGAAAGAAAAAAATCTAGAATCTGCTGAAGTATTGGTAAATGACCTTTTATGAGCTATTGAAGTCTTATATGAAAAGAAAAATGGATGTTATCAAGGTTATGGGGCAAAATATTTTACTCTGTATAGTAGGAATATAACCAAGGAGTCCAAACATCTGAAAAAATTCCTAAACCTGACTAAGTACATCCTTAAGCTACTTAAAGTTGACACCACCCACCCAATGTATATCAACACATGATCAAGTTGTAAAACTTTAAACAAGATTCTAATATGTCGCTCTTCAAATGCTTTGAGTACACACCCGTGGTAAACTATGAATATATTGATATGTCAGCTGATTGTCAAAGTCATGGATTGTTTGGGCTGTTTCAATCTTACTCCCATGTTGTTTGCTTTTTATGAATGACTTACCCGAGGTCAGACGGTGTAAATGACGTCATTGAACGATGACGTAAGAATATAAGCATTCTACGGGAAAATGCATGAATTTGAAACTGAAAGTCGACAAAACATGAAAACATAAACAAACAATAATAAGAATTTGTTGAAAGCACATTTTCTTAAAGAAGAAAAGTAATATAATCAATCAACTTCATCTAAACCTGTAAGTGTGTTATTGTAAATCATTTAAGCATGTTACTTATTCAGTTTTTTCGTATTTTCCGTCAATATTAATAGTGTTCAATTACAGGAACAGCAAACATTTCCCTCCACCTTGAGCGTTTCGAAACAAAAGAATTGGTGTCTTTGTTCTATTGGAATAGAAATAATTCATGGGGGCTTGAATTTATATTGATTTTACCATGGGTTGGCCCTTTATGCTGATATTTTACCCCTCAATATCGCTCGTGGTAAAATCACAATAGATTCAAGCCCCATGAATTATTTCTTAAATGTAGACCCTTTTTAGATAGTTTATAAAATGTTATGGATGGTTAAGTGTTATCTAATCAATTATTTTTACAGGAACTGTTGCATTTGGCAGTCAAAACATCTTCTTGCATATTAGTATTAAAAAATGATTTAAAAATCACCAACAGTGTATCATGTATTGCATCTACCTGACATCCTATTGATCAATTACTTCAGTAATCGATTCACAAAACAGTAATATTGTAATAATTAAACTTTACTCTGCAACAAACTGGATTCCTGTCATTTAAGTCTATCCTTTCATAAAATGTTTTGACATGTATGATGTGGATAGAATAGACCTGAAGATATATTTTTGTCGAGCCTTCGACTTTTGTCGAAAAAGCGAGACATAGCGATCCTACATTCCGCCAGTCGGCAGCGGCGGCCACAAATATTCACTCTGTGGTTAAAGTTTTTGAAATTTTAATAACTTTCTTAAACTATCCTGGATTTCTACCAAACTAGGACAGAAGCTTGTTTATGATCATAAGATAATATTCAAAGGTAAATTTTGTAAAAAAAAATTCCATTTTTTCCGTATTTTACTTATAAATGGACTTAGTTTTTCTGCCAGGAAACATTACATTCACTCTGTGGTTAAAGTTTTTAAAATTTTAACAACTTTCTTAAACTATTCTGGATTTGTACCAAACTTGGAAAGAAGCTTGTTTATGATCATAAGATAGTATCCAGAAGTAAATTTTGTAAAAAAAAAATTCCATTTTTTCCCGTATTTTACTTATAAATGGACTTAGTTTTTCTGCCAGTTAACATTACATTCACTCTGTGGTTAAAGTTTTTAAAATTTTAACAACTTTCATAAACTATCCTGGATTTTTACCAAACTTGGACAGAAGCTACTTACAATCAAAAGACAGTATAGAGAGGAATATTTTTATCAATTTTTTTCCTCATTTTTGTTGAGCCTGCGATTAACAGCAAAAGTAGGCGAGACACTGGGTTCCGCGGAACCCTTACGAATTGTATAAATAACTGTTTGAAGTATAAAGTTTTGTGTTACAGATAAGCAGCTGCATGGAGATAGTCGAAACATCAGCAATGGAGAGGACCTCAGTTGGTCCAATTATAAATCTGCTTCCAGTAGTCCATTTAGTAGTAGTTCTCCAAAATATTCAACAGCCAGTGGCCGTCAGTCTGTGTCGTCACTACCGTCAGAGGCATCCCAACCATTATCATTGCCAACACCATCACAAAGCACCCCATCATCACCTGTACCTTATATAGATAGAGACAGAATAAGGTAAGTCACCTGTACCTTATATAGATAGAGACAGAACAAGGTAAGTCACCAGTATCTTATATAGATAGAGACAGAATAAGGTAAGTCACCTATACCTTATACAGATAGAGACAGAATAAGGTAAGTCACCTGTACCTTATATAGATAGAGACAGAATAAGGTAAGATTGTTGATTTGAAATGACCGCGGTCATCTCACTATACATGTAGATGGAGATCTATAGAATAAGGTAAGTTTTTATTTTATTTAAAATGACCACATTGTCACCTGTAGCTAACCATTTAGTATGTATCCCATCAGAAAACTATGAGATCACACAAACTTATGTATTTTGTATTTGAAGCTATATATATAGCAGAGACCATCGTCTGTATTTTACATAGTCATAGAGATAGGATAATGTGATGTTCAACTAATATCTTCATAGCTGTATATTGTCAGGGGTAACATTGAGCAGTGTTTTTAGATGTCTGAAACTAAATTCTAATCTCAGCGGTAAAAGGATAATGATTTGATAAGGTAAATATGGACACCAAGTCTCATAAAATATTAGTTCATGTAATAAAGCACTTTAAACAAAGCCAAATATACATAGCAACTGTATTTTCCGGTATTTGATAATTATTCATTTTATATTTACAGGCGAACTCCGCCACCAACTCCTCCTTTAGTTAGACCAAAAGCTGCCAATAATTCACGATACCCTAGTACTCCTCCGCCAAACAAGAAAAATCATCTGATACCTGAATATCAACCAATCAAGAAGAGTAAATCTCATGAGTCACAGCTAGCCAATAAAGTTACAGATATTGACGGCATAAAAGCGTATGTATTTTAAGATCATTTATAATTTTATTATTAACTTTCTTAAAAAAACACACTATAGAAGAATCTCACATGCAGGCAAAGTAAATTTTCTGCAGTGTAGCCAGTTTATTATGCTTAAGGTTGCTTTAGTGGTCAAGGACAAATTCACAGGTTAAAGGTTTTCAATACCAGAAAGGAATACTGGACTAAAATTTGAATAAATTTTCTTATGATAGTATTTTTAACAGTACAAATACTTGTATGGTTTGAAATACTGTTGATTCATTTATTTTCATGGTTACCAATATTCATGGATTGAGGGATTATATTGCACTTTTGTGGGTATTTGATTTTGTAGTTTTGCCAAAATCTGCATACAAGCTTATAAAAAATTTGTTCCTTGTTGAGTATTTAAATTTGTTGTTCAAGAAATCCACGAAAATTGGTATCCCACGAATTTCAAATGAATCCACAGAATTAAAGAATTAAAGAATTCAAAATTGCTATTTTGATTTGGTTTACACTTGTATTGTAGTTAAAAGAAAAATCTTTTCCTTTATCAGTCAAGGGCTAACTTTAACAAGTTATTACAGAAAATAACAGGCATACTGTTATTGTGGGAATTCTGTCAGAGTTATCTCCTCCTGTCATGAATTGTGACAAAATAACACATGTCCGTTATTGTACAAAGAAAAAATGTCAGTAATAACGGGTTTCAGTTATCACAGACATTTTCGTCGGGTGAAATGCAAATCGAGTCAGATACTTTCAAATTTACCGCTGTTTGTTTTGTTGCTAAGATCAATCGAAAATGGCACAAATAATAAAGTAAACATGTTGAAATCACACAAGATCTTAACACCAAAGTAAACAGTGGTAAATTTGAAAATATCTGACCCAATTTGTGTTTCACCTAGAGAAAATGTCTGTAAATCTTTGATTATGTAAGTGATCTAATGTCTTTTAAAGCTGGTGTTTGGAAATCTGTGAACTCCTGTGTCATGTGATGTCACTTAGATGAAATGAATAGCTTTAGTTGACCATTTCAATCAAACTTAGTAATCAGGATAAAAATTAGCCTTAAGAAATGTAATTTCATAGTACAGGTTTTAAAATTAATATTGTATTACTACTTTTTGTTTGGTGTGAATTGCAGTGTAAATGGTGGGAAACACAGGTAAAACACTCTCTGGTGTGACCAGGTGCTGGTGTGAAATTAACACAGTGACAAAGTGTGATATTAATACTCTGATATCTACATCTCTTCTATAAGTTTAACACATTCTTTGGTTGGAATCTGAACACATTCAAAGATTGTCTTATACCTTTGTTTTATACTAAATACACTTTATATGAAATATAACTACATTTTGCAGTGTTCTGTATAAAATATTACCTTGTGTGTGTCATAGAGGACACCTGTATCAACACAAAGGTACAATATATCATATGAAAGCTACATTTCATAGAGAGAAAAAAGTGTGGTCTCAATTAAAAAGTAAAATCACACATACATTTTGCAGTTTGTCTCTGAAAGTAAAAAATAGGCATGTGATAATTGGGTTAGTTTGTTGTTTTCAAATTTCATATAAGTAAACTTGGTGGCCTTAAAATAGATAGGGAGTCTAAATTAAACATGATAGAACATTTTAATATTTTGCCAAAAAAAAGTTTCTTACATGCTATTTTTAAATAAAATGTATGGGTTATAGAGCTTTTTCAAATCATTACAATTATTTTTCAATGATAACTGTAGGTGCAATTTATACATATGATACATTAAACAAATGTTGAATATGAATTTTGTAATATTTACACAAATATAACTCAATGGTTTAGTTATATTTCATTTATTTAGGAGACTGATGTTGCTTCATTATAGTGAGAATGTGATGTTAGAAGTAAGGAGAATTAGAGACTATATAGTTTTTTTATTTCCATGGTGTTAATAATAGTTAAGGGAGCAAATCTACCTGTGATTGTTTTCCTTGAATTTAATCAAGATTCCAATCTATTTTTACTATTCTAACCACATTTTAAATTATATCCTTCACCATCACCATTAATCTGTAAACAAAACTGCCAAACATATTATTTTTTTTCTGACAAGGTTACACAAGCAGATAATCACCATTAAAGAAGAAGATATTGATAGTAGGTGAGGGGCCTGATGATGAAACTTTATTGGCCTTCTATCAAACCGCTTTTTAATGCTTGAATTTTTGAAAATCTTTTATAAACAGTTGCTTATAGGCTTGAGTAAAACTGCTGCATAAAGTATAAAATAGTCAAACAACTGGTGTGTTATTATCCTAGAAAATATTTATAGGAATTTTAATCTCCAACGGTATAAGGTAAAATATATAAGTTCCATACCATTAATGTTAACACATAATACTTATGACTGAATCTGCTTGTGTTGTTTGACATACTATTTATTTTCTGCTAACTCAGAAGTCATCTTGTTTTGCTCTGATTGAGAGTTTTCTTCTCACTCAGAAGTCATCTTGTTTTACTCTGATTGAGAGTTTTCTGCTCACTCAGAAGTCATCTTGTTTTGCTCTGATTGAGAGTTTTCTGCTCACTCAGAAGTCATCTTGTTTTACTCTGATTGAGAGTTTTCTGCTCACTTAGAAGTCATCTTGTTTTGCTCTGATTGAGAGTTTTCTGCTCACTCAGAAGTCATCTTGTTTTACTCTGATTGAGAGTTTTCTGCTCACTCAGAAGTCATCTTGTTTTACTCTGATTGAGAGTTTTCTGCTCACTAAGAAGTCATCTTGTTTTGCTCTGATTGAGAGTTTTCTGCTCACTCAGAAGTCATCTTGTTTTACTCTCATTGGGAGTTTTCTGCTCACTCTGAAGTCTTCATGTTTTGCTCTCATTGAGAGATTTCTGCTGACTCTGAAGTCTTCATGTTTCGCTCTCATTGAGATTTTTCTGCTGACTCTGAAGTCTTCTTGTTTTGCTCTGATTGAGTTTTCAGCTGTCTTCTAAGGCTTCTTGTTTTGCTCTGATTGAGAGATTTCTACTGACAATGAAGTCTTCTTGTTTTGCTCTAAAAGAGAGTTTTCTGCCTACCCTGAAGTCTTCTTGTTTTGCTCTGATTGAGATTTTTCGGCTGTCTTCTAAGGCTTCTTGTTTTGCTCTGATTGAGAGATTTCTACTGACTCTGAAGTCTTCTTGTTTTGCTCTGATTGAGACATTTCTACTGACTCTGATATCTTCTTGTTTTGCTCTGATTGAGACATTTCTATTGACTCTGAAGTCTTCTTGTTTTGCTCTAATTGAGACATTTCTACTGACGAAAGTCCTCTTGTATTGTTCTAATTGAAACATTCTACTGACTCTGAAGTCCTATTTTTTTGCTCTGATAGTGAGTTTTCTGCTGACTGAAGTCTTCTTGTTTTGCTCTGATTGAGAGTTTTCTGCTCCTTCTGAAGTCTTCTTGTTTTGCTCTGATTGAGAGTTTTCTGCTCCTTCTGCAGTCCTCTTGTTTTGCTCTGATTGAGAGATTTCTGCTTCTTCTAAAGTCTTCTTATTTTGCTCTGATTGAGAAATTCTTGTTTTGCTCTGATTGAGAGTTTCTGCTGACTCTGACATTTTCTGGTTTTACTCTGTTTGAGAGTTTTCTGCTGACTCTGACATCTTCTTGTTTTACTCTGATTGAGAGTTCCTGTTTTCTCCAACATCTTCTGGTTTTACTCTGATTGAGAGTTCCTGTTTACTCCAACATCTTCTGGTATTACTCTGATTGAGAGTTTTCTGTTTACTCTGAAATTTTCTGGTTTTACTCTGATTGAGAGTTTCTGCTTACTCTGACATCTTCTTGTTTTACTCTGATTAAAAGTTTCTGTTGACTCTGACATCTTCTTGTTTTACTCTGATTGAGAGTTTTCTGCTTACTCTGACATCTTCTGGTTCTACTCTGATTGAGAGTTCCTGTTTACTCTGACATCTTCTTGTTTTAATCTGATTGAGAGTTTTCTGTTGACTCTGACATCTTCTGGTTTTACTCTGTTTGAGAGTTTTCTGTTGACTCTGACATCTTCTGGTTTTACTCTGATTGAGAGTTTCTGCTTACTCTGACATCTTCTTGTTTTACTCTGTTTGGGAGTTTCCTGCTTACAAGCTATCAAAGCATAGAATGCATACATAGAAATATTGTATTCTATATATTTTTTTTCAATCTACAATTGAGATTTCCATTTGCTCTGTATTTATTTCTATTTTCTAAACAATAGTTTTACTTGTCATGGCAGAGCTGTTATAACCAAGATAACAAATAATTTAACGTAGTCAACATTCTGAGCTAACAGTTGATGTTTCAGGATTTAAAAATTAGTTAATAACATCTGTAATGTGTAATCTCATGTTGTTTTTTTTTCACAGCTACTTTGTTCAGGATCAAAACCATTCTTTTACAACATTGTTTTATGTTCTTGTGATACTTTGCTAGTTATTATACACCTTTTCTTGTTTGATACATCTCTGTCTACTTTCTTGTTTGATACATCTATGTCTACTTTACTTGTTTGATACATCTCAGTCTACTTTTCTTGTTTGATACATCTCTGTCTACTTTACTTGTTTGATACATTTCTGTCTACTTTACTTGTTTGATTTGTCTCTGTCTACTTTTCATGTTTGATTTGTCTCTGTCTACTTTACTTGTTTGATACATCTCTGTCTACTCTTCTTGTTTGTTACATCTCTGTTGACTTTTCTTGTTTGATACATCTCTGTCTTCTTTACTTGTTTGATACATCTCAGTCTACTTTTCTTATTTGATTTGTCTCAGTCTACTTTTCTTGTTTGATTTGTCTCTGTCTACTTTCTTTGTTTGATTTGTCTCTGTCTACTTTCTTTGTTTGATACATCTCTATCTACTTTACTTGTTTGATACATTTCTGTCTTCTTTCCTTTTATGATACATCTTTGTCTACTTTCCTTGTTTGATACATCTCTGTCTACTTTTCTTGTATGATACATCTCAGTCTACTTTACTTGTTTGATACATCTCTGTCTAGTTTTCTTGTTTGTTACATCTCTGTCTACTTTTCTTGTTTGATACCTCTCTGTCTACTTTACTTGTTTGATACATCTCTGTCTACTTTTCTTGTTTGATACCTCTCTGTCTACTTTACTTGTGTGATACATCTCTGTCCACATTTCTTGTATGATACATCTCTTTCTACTTTCCTGGTTTGATACATTTCTGTCTACTTTTCTTGTATGATACATCTCTGTCCACTTTTCTTGTTTGATACATTTCTGTCTTCTTTCTTGTTTGATACATTTCTGTCTACTTTTCTTGTTTGATACATTTCTGTCTACTTTCCTGGTTTGATACATCTCTGTCTTCTTTTCTTGTTTGATACATCTCTGTCTACTTTTCTTGTATAATACATCTCTGTCTACTTTTCTTGTTTGATACATCTCTGTCTACCTTTCTTGTATGCTACATCTCAGTCTACTTTACTTGTTTGATACATCTCTCTAGTTTTCTTGTTTGTTACATCTCTGTCTACTTTTCTTGTTTGATACCTCTCAGTCTACTTGTCTTGTTTGATACCTCTCTGTCTACTTCTCTAGTTTGATACATTTCTGTCTACTTTCCTTGTTTGATACATCTCTGTCTAGTTTCTTTGTTTGATACATCTCTGTCTACTTTTCTTGTATGATACATCTCTGTCTACTTTTCTTGTTTGATACATTTCTGTCTATAGATATAGGAAGATGTGGTATGAGTGCCAATGAGACAACTCTCCATCCAAGTTACAATTTATAAAAGTAAACCATTATAAGTCAAGGTACGGCCTTCAACATGGAGCATTGGCTCACACCAAACAGCAAGTCTACTTTACTTGTTTGATACCTCTCTGTCTACTTGTCTTGTTTGATACATCTCTGTCTACTTTCCTTGTATGATACATCTCTGTCTACTTTTCTTGTTTGATACATCTCTTTCTACTTTCCTTGTATGATACATCTCTGTCTACTTTTCTTGTTTGATACATCTCTGTCTACTTTACTTGTTTGATACCTCTCTGTCTACTTGTCTTGTTTGATACCTCTCTGTCTACTTTCCTTGTTTGATACATCTATTGTCTACTTTCCTTGTTTGATACATCTCTGTCTACTTTTTTTTGTTTGATACATTTCTGTCTACTTTCCTTGTTTGATTCATCTCTGTCCACTTTTCTTGTTTGTTACATCTCTGTCTACTTTTCTTGTTTGTTCATTCTGTCTGGATGTTGGTATATATATATATAACATACTGGGCTAAGGATAATAATGGTTTAATGAATTGAATTACAGGTTATAATTGGGATTTATTGTTACCTTTATTTTCCCCTGTATTAGTCTGTAGTTTCCTTATCATAAATATAATTTTATTTTAGAAGTACTATTTAACATATATTTACATATAGTGTATATACATTGGACATGTAATGAAATTATAATAAATATATTTACCAATACCTAGAAAAAGTTTTTAAAAAATGGCAGCCATATACTGTACATGTAGAGTTACTTTTCCATTGTAATCAATTATTTGGACAGACACGAATTTTTTAAGGAAACTTATTTTTGTAGTTATGACAATTTTTGCATTAAAGCATTTAGACATTTTTGTATTTTTGTTGAACACTTACCATATGCTTACATTTGTGATTAACTGATACCCTATTAACTGAGACCCTGTTCACTGAGACCCTGTTTACTGAGACCCTCTTCACTGAGACCTTGTTCACTGAGACCCTGTTAGCTGAGACCCTGTTAACTGATACTATGTTCACTTACACCATATTAACTGATACCCTGTTCACTGAGACCCTATTTACTGGTACCATATTAACTGATACCCTGTTCACTGAGACCTTGTTCACTGAGATCCTGTTCACTGGTACCATATTAACTGATACCCTGTTCACTGAGACCCTGTTCATTGAGACCCTTTTCACTGATACCCTGTTAGCTGAGACCCTGTTCACTGAGACCCTGATCACTGAGAACCTGTAAACTGATACCCTGTTCACTGAGACCCTGTTCACTGATACCCTGTTAGCCGGGACCCTGTTCACTGAGACCCTGTTAGCTGCGACCCTGCTCACTGAGACCTGTTAGCTGAGATCCTGTTCACTGATACCCTGTTAGCAGAGACCATGTTCACTGAGACCCTGTACACTGAGACCCTGTTCACTGATATCCTGGTCACTGATACCCTGTTAACTGATACCCTGTACACTGATACTCGGTTAACTGATACCCTGTACACTGAGACCCTATTCACTGATACTCTATCCACTGAGACCCTGTTCACTGATACTCGGTTAACTGATACCCTGTACACTGATAACCTGGTCACTGATACTCAGTTCACTGATACCCTGTACACTGAGACCCTGTTCACTGATATCCTGGTCACTGATACCCTGTTCATTGATACCCTGGTCACTGATACCCTGTACACTGAGACCCTGTTCACTGATCCTCTGTTCACTGATACCCTGTACACTGAGACCCTGTTCACTGATACTCGCGATCGGTTCACTGATACTCAGTTCCTATGAAATCCACAAAAGAATAGTGGGGAATAATAATTAATCTACAGAATTTGACTTTTTAACACTTCAGATTTTCAAAGTAACTTATTTAGCAAATTTATCATTAGGTATTCATGATTCTGGTATAAGTTTGATACAGATAAATGAGTATCGGTAACATCAGAATGGGAATTGATACAAAATAATATTGCACGGAATATGATACATTCGAATATGGCCCTCCTGAATAGTTAGTAGAAGTTGTTAAAGTGTCATATTAAAATTTTGGTAAATTTGACAGCTTTATGAACGGCTTTGCTAGAATGACAACTGCAGTCAGCGAAGAAGATTTAGCTTTGTTAGACATATTTTATTTGAACAAGTCAGACAATTAACTGGAGCCTATGACAAATACCTTTATTCTTTGCAACATCTTAAATGATAGTTTTTTATGACATACATCTTTATAACAGGTATCATGTGTATAATTATTTACATCATGTGAATGCAGCACACATTTTAAAAGTAAGAAGAAAAAAATCAAGTAATTTTAAAATACCATGTTTGAAAATAGATTCTGCTGATCTCAGATTATATGATTGGCAGAATTTAGATTTAAACCTTCAAGTATATTTTTGTTAGGAAAGTGAACATGAACCAGAAAGTCATAATTCTTGAATTTCTTCTATTATATGTAAGCCTAGGCTTCATGGGAGATAATAATATATTTTGAAATAAAATGATTTCTTCTTTTTATTACAAGTTATATATATAACGATCATATTAATGAGCTCTTTTGTATATTTTCAGGTATAAAAAGAAACCAAACTTGTATCTTCCTAACAATAATGAAATATTATTCCGACGACCTTCTGACGGATCAGAAGCAGGTGGTAGTCGTGGTCCTTCTGGACATGCCTCACCGATTCTCCCCTCTCCCATACATTCTCCTATATACATTGATGATCACAGTGAGTATGACATTAAACAAAGTAGAATTTTGTTGTGATGACCTAGGTAATATAAGTCCTTCAGACTGCAGGACAAATATGATTTCACGTAGATTATTTGATTGTCTGAAGTACAGTAAAAATAGCAAAGAGTATGAGATGAATATTACTCAGGAAAAATGCAGAACATGTAAGGGAACGATCATTTAACTTCAAGGGGGGGTATTGTTTTATCCTAAAAAAATATTCTGATCCCCAATTTGATAAAAAAAAATATTGTGGTCAAGCAGATGACCAAAAAAAAATAAAATATTCTGAATCCAAATTTTCCCCATACCTTATAGTGTTAAATTAATAATTTGATTGATAGCATCGAAAAACTAAAAAAGAAATGTTCGCGTTTTGCACGAAATGAATTTTCTGACTTAGACCAAAAACAAAACCCCACCCCCTTTGAAGTTAAATGGTTGCTCCCTAAACTGAAATATATAAAAAAAGATACCAAATCAGTGCTTACACAACCTACAGTAGGGTAGAAAAATCTTTAAATAGAAATGTTTTAACATCTTTAATTTGATGGAATATCAAATAAAATTCCATTACAACTAACAACAGGTAAAATATTAAACCCCCTCAAAGAGTTTTAATGAATTTTTATACGACCGCAAAAAAATTTTTGTGGTCGTATATTGGTATGACGTTGGCGTCGTCGTCGTCGTCGTCGTCGTCGTCGTCGTCGTCGTCGTCGTCGTCCGGCGTCGTCGTCGTCGTCCGGCGTCGTCCGAAGACACATTGGTTTTCGCACTCTAACTTTAGTTTAAGTGAATGGATCTCTATGAAATTTTACCATAAGGTTCAATACCACAAAAGGAAAGTTGGGATTGATTTTGGGGGTTATGGTACCAACAGTAAAGGAATTAGGGGCCAAAAGGGGCCAAAAATAAGCATTTTTGTAACTTCCAGACATAACTTGTGTGTTAGTGTATGGATCTCTCTGACATTGTACCACAAGGTTCCATATCACAAAAGGAATGCTGGGATTGATTTTGGGGGTAATTGCCTCAAATTTTAGGAATTAGGGGCCAAAAAAGGGGCAAAAAACAAGCATTTTTCTAGTTTCATGATAATAACTTGTGTGTAAGTGTATGGATCTTTCTGAAATTGTACTACAAGGTTCCATATCACAAAGGGAAAGCTGGAATTGAGTTTGGGGGTAATTGCCCAAAACGTTTAGGAATAAGGGGCCAAAAAGGGGCCAAAAATAAGCATTTTTCTAGTTTCCAGACAATAACTTGTGTTAAAGTGTATGGATCTCTCTGAAATTGTACCACAAGGTTCCATATCACACAGGGAATGCTGGGATTGATTTTGGGGGTAATTGCCTCAAAATATTAGGAATTAGGGGCCAAAAAAGGGGCAAAAAACAAGCATTTTTCTAGTTTCATGATAATAACTTGTGTGTAAGTGTATGGATCTTTCTGAAATTGTATTACAAGGTTCCATATCACAAAGGGAAAGCTGGAATTGAGTTTGGGGGTAATTGCCCTAAACGTTTAGGAATTTGGGGCCAAAAAGGGGCCAAAAAACACATTTTTTTTAGTTTCCAGACAATAACTTGTGTTCAAGTGTATGGATCTCTCTGAAATTGTACTGCAAGGTACCATACCACAAAGGGAAGGCTGGGATTGAGTTTGGGGTGATGAATCATAAGGGGGTTCAAAAAATTTGGGGGGGGGATTTTTTTTTTTCCTTTTTTTTCTTTTTTTCCTTTTTTTTTTCTTTTAAAATTTTCCATTTTAAGTTGGTTATTTCTGATTTATATTTAAAAGCAAATAATAATGATATGGTAGGAGATACACACCAAACAGGATGTGTAAATTTTTATATAATAAGTATTGCGCAATAGCAAGAAATTTTCAATTGCACAGTATTGCACAATAGCAAGAAATCTTCAATTGCACAGTATTGCGCAATAGCAAGAAATCTTCAATTGCACAGTATTGCGCAATAGCAAGAAATATCCAATAGCACAGTATTGCGCAATAGCAAGAAATTGTCAATTGTACAGTATTGCGCAATAGCAGGAAATATTCAATTGCACAGTATTGTGCAAAAGAAGATACTTCGTATAAATTGCTTATTTCTTGACCAATTTCAATGGGGTTTTATTCTTGAATTCTTGGGGTTCTTTAATATGCTGAATCTAACCGTGTATTAAGTTTTTGGATTTTGGGCGCCGTTTTTAAATTGGTCCACATTGAGGTCCAAAGAGTCCAAAATTAAACTTTGTTTGATTTCATCAAAAATTAAATTATTGGGGTTCTTTGATATGCCGAATCTAACCGTGTATTTAGATTCTTAATTTTTGGTTCCGTTTTCAAATTGGTCTACATTAAGGTCCAAAGGGTCCAAAATTAAACTTAGTTTGATTTTAACAAAAATTGAATTCTTAGGGTTCTTTGATATGCTGAATCTAAACATGTATTTAGATTTTTGATAATGGGCCCAGTTTTCAAGTTGGTCCAAATCGGGGTCCAAAATTAAACTTTGTTTGATTTCAACAAAAATTGAATATATGGGGTTCTTTGATATGCTGAATCTAACCATGTATTTAGATTTTTGATTTTTGGGCCCCGTTATCAACTTTGTCCACATTGAGGTCAAAAGGGTCCAATATTAAACTTTGTTTGATTTCATCAAAAATTGAATTCTTGGGGTTCTTTGATATGCTGAATCTAACCATGTATTTAGATTTTGGATATTGGACCATAATAGGTGAATGTCCAATTTAAATTTTTTAAGTTCTTAGACCACATTCATTCTGTGTCAGAAACCTATGCTGTGTCAAATATTTTTAAATCACAATCCAAATGCAAAGCTGTATCAAGCTTGAATGTTGTGTCCATACTTGCCCCAACTGTTCAGGGTTCGACCTCTGCGGTCGTATCAAGCTGCGCCCTGCGGAGCATTTTATTTCAGTTGTTAGAGTAATTTTATAAATATTAGAAGAAATTTCATTTTGTATCCTAAAAGAACATATATTATATTATCCAGTTACAATAGAATTTAGAATGGAAATAGGGAGTGTGTCAAAGAGACAACTACCCGACCAAAGAGCATAAAGCAGCCCAAGGCCACCAATGGGTCTTCAACACAGAAGAATATCCTGCACACGGAGGGGGCTTCAGCTGGCCCCTAAACAATAATGTATACTAGTTCAGCGAATTGGACACCACTCTAAAATACGAAACATATAAATGATCCAAAATTTAAAAAGAAAAACAAGACTAACAAAGGCTAGAGGTTCCTGACTTGGGACAGGCTCAAAAAAGCGACGGGGTTAAACTTGTTTTGTGAGATCTCAAGCCTCCCCTATACCTCTAGCCAATGTGGAATAAACAAACACACAGCAATACCCACAGTAAAACTCAGTTTAAAAGAAGTCTGATTCCAGTGTTAGAATAGGTAACAGAAGAAACTAAGCAAAATGACAATGATCAACTTAAATTAAGCATGATGTAAAATAAATAATAAGATAGAGTAGAAATACACATGTTCATAGAAAAGCATATTTAAGTTCACAGCATAGTTGTTCAACAATTAATGTGAAATCATGGACACTGTACTCTAACTTACCAAATTGAGGATTCAAAAGACCAAGATGTTCATGCAAAATTCATTCCATTATTCTGTAAACTTCTTTAAATGACCTCGAAAACAACATATAATCGGTATATCTCAGCTTAATGTCTTTAAAAAATAAACATCTGTAAGTCTTGTCACACTAAAATCTTGTGAAAAAAATACTCATAATTTATATGAATAAAAAGAAATGTGGACTATAAGTCAATGAGAGGGCAAACCAACAGCAAAAATTACCAAAAAAAATCTAGAGACCATTTTACAGTCTTCAACAATAGACAAGTGTCTTTACATAAATAGTCATGATTCTAAAAAGATTGAATATAAATTAATTGGAAACTGATCAAAGATCTGCTCTCAACTCCAAATTTCCCCCCAAAAACAAAAAGATATGACATTAAAAAACGACTGGTTGACTGATTTGTTTTAACATATCTATTATGTATTTCAGATAGCTTATCAGTTCCAAAGTCTCCTAAAACACCTTATATAAACCATTTCCCCTCAAATCATAGGTAAGATTCTGCTGAATGCAACGAGGTATATTTACGATCACTGAAAGGGTAATGTTAAGTGTATTTAAAGCTACCAGTATGTATTTTGAGATGAATGACATTGAGGATATCAAAACTTTACTAAAGGATACTTGGTCTGTTTCCATTTTAATGAAGTTTATACTTCCACATACACCATAGGCAACCTGCCATGGATTTCTGTCAATAGTAAATAATTCCTCCACATTCACCATAGGCAACCTGCCATGGATTTCTGTCAATAGTAAATAATTCCTCCACATTCACCATAGGCAACCTGACATGGATTTCTGTCAATAGTAAATAATTCCCACTAGATGGGGATGTTCTGTATCAAGAGCAGTCTTTATTGTTGAAGTAAGGGAAAAGGAAACTTAAAAAAAAAACAATTTAAATACATTTAAATTATATTACTTAATTTTCTATTTTCAAAGTTGAAGGAAAGTCATTTTTCTCCAGGCATTAATATAATTGAATTACAAAGTAATAAGACTTTTTTGTTCAAAATGAGACATAAATGAATTCAGAGTTAATAAAAAATATGTAATTGAATTGCACTTTGATTTGGACTTAACACTTGCCTATACTAAAGGCTACAACTACACACATTTGAAGGAATCTGCTATATTTCTAACATTTATTTAACATATCTACACATATTTGAAGGTATCTACTATATTTCTAGGTTTTCTAACACATTTAAGATCACAACTTGTGACTTCTGCCATAAACAGATGTTTCTAGGATACAAATGCAAAGAGTGCAAGTAAGGGTACCCCTCTAACCACAATGCTTGTCGCTATTGTTTTCTTCCATCAAATAAGTACCATACAATTTTCCTTTACTTGAGCGACGATTCATTTTCATTTACAGTTTCATTTTCGGTGAATGTTTTTATAGAATTCATTTGAAAAATAACTTGTTTCTTTTGTCAGAAATTCATTTTTTGGGGGGAAATTAATCACCAGAAATGTATACACCAAAAACTCATTAAATGTAATTGAAGAAAAGGAAAATTGAAATATTACTTATTTAAGGCTGAATTTAATTGTGACATCATAATAGTTGAAGTCATCTTTAATTTAGTCAACTCTTACCAAAATATTGTGAAAAAGCAGTTTACTCATAAAAATAAATGTGAAATTCAGTTTTGTTTAGATTTCTTTTTGTTAGTTTGATGAAATACTGCTTTTTGACATGTATTTTGGATATTAGCAGATTTTGTGTTTTTGAAGTAGTTGATGTCACACTTTACATGGAATGTTTCTTGATCAACAGGTACACCTTAGCACAAAACACAGGATCTGCTAATTTGGGTTCTGAAACATTTCACCTCTGTTGAATGGAAATTTTCCTTTATATTGAAATTATTATTAGCCACTATATAAATTCTTACCAGCTTTTGATTTGAGATTGTGTAAGTAAAAAGTTTAGCAAAATATTTCAAAATATTCTAAATCTAATAATTTTAACAAAAAATTGATTGATTTTGATTGAAAGAACAAATTATATCTGACTAAATTGATGATTTAGTATCTAATCATAATATATAATAAAAATTTCCATGTCTATTCTACTTTCACTTTACACGGTCTGGTTGTTTTTTTTTTTTATTTTTCTGTTGATGTTGTCATGTTTATTTATAGATTTGAGACAAAATTTTCTCTAATTGGAAGTATCTGTGATACGTGTCATAAACACATCCTTTTGCCTGGAAAAATTTGCCGGGAATGCAAGTAAGTCTATGAATGATCATTCTCTCATAGTTTCAATGCTTGATATTACTGCCATTAAATTTCTGCATGTGCTAATTACAAAAAGTCACAGAATACTTTTGAAGACTTCTTTAAATACTTTGAAATGAAATACTTAGTCTAAATTGAAATTATTGAAACATGGTAAGCTTCAAGCGCTAATATCATTAAAGATAAAAATAGATACAAAAAATGACCTAAATACATGTGTTTATACAGAATTTAAATGATCACAATAAAGATTTACACATATTCACATACTGGACCTTTTTCTAGTACCTGAGGAATTATAGATGTCATGAGATGTTGAGTTAAAATTGTTTTTATTATAACTGGACATACATATAGATTCTACCATGCCACTCTGTTGATAACATAAGATTAGCATGATTTCTCAGTGGTATATGTTGCAGTACATTCCTGAGAAATACAGGATCTCTGGGATAAGCATAGCATAGCCTAGGCAATAACCAAAGGGGAAACGAGATATGGAGGACTAGAAGTATTTATAGATTACAAGTTATCTTGGTTCTTGTGACTTGTTCAAAACTTTTGATCTGATATCTATCAATAGATGACTTTAATGAGTTGGACTATTTGCAATAAAAGACCATTCAAAGCTTCAGATCTTTTAAATTTTACAAGCAGTTGTTTTACTCCTACCACTGAATCTTGAAGCCACTGACTGATAAGTAGAACAATTTGATTTGTTTTTGAACACATTAGTTTGTAGTTAGTAGTAGTTTCGTAAAAATCATTTTGGATATATGGCCTCTTACTGTTTGAATCAATCATTTAAAAACAGTAACACTGAAATAAAAATAGCATCTATATTGAACATTGCATTATTATAGCCCTGACAACCAATTTGCTCAGGGTATAATGTTTTGGCCTCACCGTCAGTCTGTCTGAGATCACTTGATTGTGGCCAGGATAGCACCTTCATCTTTTGTTGAATCCTCTTCAAATTTGAACGAAGGAGGTTTCTACTCATCAAAAACCTCAGTTGAATTTAATAATCAGAAAAATGTGAAATGGGGAACCAATTTTTTGGGAGAGGATTTGTAAAAATATTCCAAATTAAGTGAGTTTTATAACACAAAAATCTGAAATGGTGGATTATTTTTTTGAGAGGGAAACTAGTAAGTATGTTTGGAGCATGGGATAAGTGAGATAACCCACTTAAAGGTTTTTTCATTGCTACAGTTTGTCAGTAGAAAAATGAATCATAACAAAGTTCATCAGATATATAATATTTGTCAGCATTTATCATATACATGTATTTTAGATTTATTAAACATAAAAATGGCTGGGAATTTAGAAAGAAAGGAAGAAATGCCAAATAAAGTATCCACAATAATAAGTTGGTTTACATCATTTTGATGGTAATGGTTTTTTTTACCACTTTTAAGAAAACGTAAATGTCTACTGTTAATTGTTCCATAAGATATTTGTCTTTTTTCACAGATTAATCCTAACTTTCTTTTAAAAAAAATGTTAACATAGATTTAAAGGTATAAGACAGTTATTAATTTATAGACTTATTAATACCTTATTTTATTATGGACCAAGAAATGTGATAATTGCAATAATTTATCATAAGTTAAAATATTGATTTTTATGCTTATTCCCTACCAGCTTGACAGTGGCTTGTATTAATATTTGTTAAATTTGTATATTTCAGATACAAATGTCATCGTGATTGTGCAGGCAAAGCTGCTCCATTGTGTGCTCCCAACTTGTACTTATTAGACCCTAATCGGCATGGTAAGTATTCAAAGACATATGTGATCATACACAAGTCACTGCTTTAAAGCTTTTGTCACTTATGGCATTTAAATGATAAAGTTACATGCATTTAGAATTTAAAATGTGTTTTAAGAAGTACGGGCCAGATTTTTCCAATCGTACTTCCTAATTGGATTGTCATGATGGTAAACAGGTTTCACAGTATATTGATTACAAAAAGTTATGTGTTCAAAAGTGTACTACTGTAAACTGTTCACTACATACAATTATAGCCTTTGTATGAGGTCGATACAAGGTTATCTAAGACCTAAGAGAAGCATATTGACTGACGACAAATTCTGAGGTCAATATACTTCTCTAGGTCGATATAACATCGTATTGACCTCAACCAAAGGCTACAATTGTTATAATATTAATCTACAACTATTGCATGAACAATGTAAAATTTGGGATTTCTAGAATGTATTTTTATTAACATGCTGTATGCCCTCTGCAATATGCTGTCTTTGACCTACGAAAAGCTAAACAACAGTATTGGCGTGCAAACTGAGCAAATACATAGGTACATGTGATCAAGTTTAACGAATCACAAATCCTTAAAAATATTCAATGAATAATATTACAGAATATATACAGAGGACTGAGATCTTAATTGATTTTGATTGGCAGTTTTCCTGTATTAGGTTGGTGGTTCTCAGGCCTCCTCCAGAAAACTAAACTTGTGGTCATAATATAGCTAAGAGTATTGAAATTGGCGTTGAACAACAATCAGTCATTACAGAATATAAACAACACATTCTCTATCACAAAATATTGATAACACGCATCAATGTGCCTCCTGACATTACAGAATATAAATAACACATTGATATTCTCTATCACAAAATATTGATAACACGTATCAATGAGCCTCCTGACATTACAAAATATAAAAAAATATATACTATAGGATTATTGCACTAATTTTGAGGAATATTGTCCCAAGAATGCGAGCGCAATAGGATATATTAGAAGGTCCAATTTTGATCAATATTAGTGCAATAATCCTATTATAATACAAGGACCAAATATTTAAGCAACATAGGTCATACTTGACAAGCTGATGCAATATGATATACTGCTTTGACTAATATTGCTCAATATAAGTTAAATAACCATTTTTAATACAATACCAAACATTTCAGTAACATTGATGACACTTTGTTTAATTCCTGCAGCTTTGATCCCTGCAGTAAGGATGCAATTATCATTTCTGCCATCTTGTTTATCTCTCATTTGCTGGTGTGCAAATATCGTGTTTCTCTGAATATCTCTTGTGCGTACCAAACTTATATAATGCAATATTGATCAAGATGCAATATTTTAAACTCGTCCTCAGTCTCCCATTTTATATGAATATTTATAAAGGAAGACCAGTAAAAATATTGCATATTTTTTTAAAAGAAATCTACCTGAAATATTTAAAACAATACAATTATTGACCTTTGATGATGTTGATACAATAATTTATGGTCCTTCCTTTCGTCTTTATCACCCTGCTCTGTGGCTCCGTCATTCTAACATCATGGCTTTGAGACATGAGCAGACATTATCAGCATTGTCACAATGTCTGAGGAGAAGTTAACAGCAACATCACAATGTGTGAGGAGACGTTATCAAGCTTACTTTCATCAAGCGTAAAACTTTCCAAGGGAGGAGGAAAAGACCAGTAATAGAATGATAAACAGACAATCCAGATTTTTACATATAGATTTCGTAAAATATCTGATGCTCAACACAATGTGAAGCTTTTTTGCTCGTTCACTGCGCTCATTAGCCAAAAAGGTTCACATTGTGGCTTGCGGCTGACATTTTATGATATCAATGTGTAAAAAACCTGATAATCTATACTTATGAGCTCGTGATATTAAGGGAGGTCAAGTTTGATTGATAAAAATGTATTCTTGTTTGCTGTAAAATCTAAAATTTGTGCATACATTTATTATTGCCATTGTTGGACAATAGGAGATAAATTATTACAATTTTAGGAAATTCTGCATGCATGGCAAACAAAACAGTGCAGAAATGTTAGAAAAGAGATATTTATCCCTTTGATTGATTAATTGTGACCTATGCTTGTAATTTTATGTAAGCTGTTTTTAATTTCTGGATTTGGGAGTATGTTAAATTAAGTAAAATCAGGAATGTAATGTGTTGAATTTATTCTTTTGTGTTATTTCAGGATCGCCAAGCATGGTACACAAGTTGAGACCAAACCATTCCTGTAATGAGTTTACTAAAGACTCAGAATCATCCTCATGTAATTCATCAACTCCTTCATCACCATTCCTTAATCCTCATAAAGAATCTTACACTCCATCACAAGGCTTAGCCTTTGAATTCCCAGGTATGTATACACTTATTGTTAGAATTCCATACGTTTCTAGAACCTTTGAAGGAAAAATTCACGATTTTTAACTTATAACTTAATATGTTCATTATAACATAAAATACATATTCACAAAGTTTTATTGATATATGTGCAGAAATAAAGAAGAAAATCAATAATAATTAACTTTTTTATTGACTACTTCCTGCAGTATGTGACGTTAACTCCTATAATTGCATGCCAGGATTTTAAGAACGATCATTTAAAGTCTTGTTCTCTAATCATATTTCAATGTAATGATAAGTGTTCCAATGACTGATTTTCATAGCTAATTACCATCCAATAATAAGAAAATAAAATGAACAGACATGCAACTTTTTACATCCCTCATGAGTTAAAATTTTCTGTGTTTATCGTATATATTTCGATTCTTAATATATAGGCAGCTCAAAAAGTCAATCTTTTAATTTGTTTTTTTAATATTTTCTTTTTCCGACTGATATGAAGAACAAATTAAAGTATAAAACTAATCTGTTAAGACAATAAGTGTAAGTATATTGACCTTTTAATTCAGGCAAACAATTTTTACGATTTGTGTATTATTCTCTGCCAATACCTGTGAAAGGCTTGTTTAAATAAAGGTAATTTACAGATCAGCATTTAGCCGGGCCTCTAGAGCACACAATGCCAGGTGTGAATGTCATTTCGAATGTATGATAAGACAGAATGTCGAGTTTAATACACAAAGTTAAAACAGATATTTAATCTGGTGGCAAATACAAATAGATCGCCTTGGAATATTTAATTATATTTTGGGTTAGGTCCATTGGAACTAAATCATGATATTGAACATGTATTTCACACATGTAGGATGAATAAATCCGATGCTATAAAGATGATAAATAATGTTTATATTAAATCTAAAGGAATAGTTATTAAAATCAAAATGATTTTTTTTTTTATTTGATCACTTTAAAATCTAAGAAATAATTTCGGGAAACTTGTAATCAAGTGTTATAAAAGAGTATAAACGCTTATCATTTGACTCATTAAAAAGAAAAAGAAAAACATAATTTTATAAAATTGGTTTATCTGTTAAAAGCGGTTTTGATTTACCTCATACTGTTATAAAATGTATAAATGTTTGTGCTAATTTAATCAATATCGGAAACCATCTTAAGGTCAACTTTGTCTATGTAGAATAGATCCGAGAAAATTACATAGATCGCTATGGAATATATTAAATACTTTTGGTACAATGTAAATATTCACATAAATGTATAATGCCTTGTTCACATGGTGAAAATGTACACTAGAAAGTAAATTTAAACGAACTCACAAAAATTAATCAACACAGAAATAAGTTTTAAATAATAAACTGATGCTCTTTTGGTAGAACATGGCTGTATTTATCAGTTCTTTATGCTACTTCAGCTAATGATCTTTCATTTTTTTATGCTTCAAAACTGTTAAATATTCATTGTTAAAGGAAAAACCGTTGTAACTGTATTGCATTCAAATTCAAAATGGGGATTTTACTTTTGTAATAAAAAAGGGAAGTTTCTTGATTCGAAGGGATTAGATTTGATATTTATTCAATGCTTAGTCTTGAATATATATGAAAACTGAAACTGTTGATCGGAGTGTATGGAAAAATCTGTTTGAACTATAACCAATACTTATTGATGACCAATTGTATGTTATACTGTTTTTTGGACTTTGTGGTACAAATGTAATTAGATATCACGTAATTATTAGAAACTGAGATGCCTTCAAGATGGCGAACGGACTTGGATCGGTAGTCAGATTAAAAATCAATTTTGTGCCTTTATCCAGTGGAATAAAACATTAATATTATTGAATTTATGTTTATTTATACAAAAGGAACACAATATCAATTTTTCATTTTTTTACAAATTTTCGCTTTAAAAGTAATTAATCATAGAATAATGAAAAATTCTAGTTTTTGACAGCAATAAAATTTCAGGAGGTTTTAAAACTTTCCAAAGCTCTTCAATTATATGTTTATTCTCCAATTGTCCTTCTTTATTATTTTAACTGTTTTTGTCACAGTGGCTGGTGGACGTTAGTAAGCATAAGTAAACAACAATTAACACTGACATTTACTTAATACATTTTGTCTCAATATTTTTTACAATAGGTAGAGATATCTGTAAACACCTTTAAAAATAGGTCCTACATAATTTTTACAATCAGTATTTAGTATGTCCATTTGGTAATATTTAATTTGACTTTAATTATATTACAAATAATCTGGTTTATTTTTTACAGATAATCCTTTAGAAAATGATTTAACTGGTTCCACATACTCTGTACATACAGTCAGAAATGGGTAAGTAACTGGTTCCACATACTCTGTACATACAGTCAGAAATGTGTAAGTAACTGGTTCCACATACTCTGTACTTACAGTCAGAAATGGGTAAGTAACTGGTTCCACATACTCTGTACATACAGTCAGAAGTAGGTAAGTAACTGGTTCCACATACTCTGTACATACAGTCAGAAATGGGTAAGTAACTGGTTCCACATACTCTGTACATACAGTCAGAAATGGGTAAGTAACTGGTTCCACATACTCTGTACATACAGTCAGAAATGGGTAAGTAACTGGTTCCACGTAATCTGTACATACAGTCAGAAATGGGTAAGTAACTGGTTCCACATACTCTGTACATACAGTTAGAAATGGGTAAGTAACTGGTTCCACATACTCTGTACATACAGTCAGAAATGGGTAAGTAACTGGTTCCACGTAATCTGTACATACAGTCAGAAATGGGTAAGTAACTGGTTCCACATACTCTGTACATACAGTTAGAAATGGGTAAGTAACTGGTTCCACATACTCTGTACATACAGTCAGAAATGGGTAAGTAACTGGTTCCACGTAATCTGTACATACAGTCAGAAATGGGTAAGTAACTGGTTCCACATACTCTGTACATACAGTTAGAAATGGGTAAGTAACTGGTTCCACATACTCTGTACATACAGTCAGAAATGGGTAAGTATGGCATGAAAATAAATATTAAAACAATCACTCTTTTACTTAACATTATATTGACGAAAGGACTGTCTCATTAGTTGGACAAATTCTTAAACATCGTTGACTTTTTTCACAAAAATTTTACCATTAATATTGATTTATAGTTTTATAACTGAAAAATTCATGACTTTCAAGTATTTTTACTCAAGATATTTTTGGTAAAGTATGGCTGAATAGTAGCACTGGTCTTCTGTGTGTTTGTATGTAACAGAATTTTGTATGTTTCATTTATATTTTACAATTTTATGAGCTATTTATTCCATACTTTTTTTTGTTACACAACACAAATATTCCACCCATCTCCAGAAAATCATCAATAACTGTTATTGTACAGTAAAAATAAAAAGAACAGTCCATTTAAATTAAAGGTATTTTTAACAATGGTAAAAATGATTAAAAAGAGATATAAGAAACATTATCAATTATTAATATAGGGCTGCTCAAAGTATAAAGTGAATTGATCAAATAGAGCAATTCAACAGAGACCTGAAAACAAATACAAAATTTTGTAAATTGACCGCTAAAATACACAGGGAAATTTTACTCTTGAATTGAACCTCAAACGAGCATAACGTGAAAAACACCTTTACAAAAAAAAATTGGTACTTTTCATGATTTTAATTAAATTTGAAAATTAAGATGTAGGTGAATTACTTGGAAAATTGCAAAGCTTGAGCGGGGGCATTTGTATCTTTAGATGAATTCTTCTTTTAATTTGTTTGTAAAGTTCATTTTATTCTATGACTCCAGGGACTTAGGTATATGACAGAAGGGCTGAAATCCATAACTTAACAGTAGCAACTATGACATTCACGGACGATACGACGGATGCAGCAAGTAATGACTTTATTCATTGTTAAGTCTGTATTCTATTTTCTGTGGTTTATCGATAATGATTCATGTACCTTGTTTAGCTAGTTGATTCTTGTTTAGGTGTTCCTCATGATTAAGTAAACTGTGACTTTGTTAGAACTCCTCTTTTTAAAGGTGATCTTGGTGATTCTTTTATACCCTGTATTTGTAGCTCTCTTGTTTAGGTGTTCTCTGGTATTCTTTTATACCCTGTATTTGTAGCTCTCTTGTTTAGGTGTTCTCTGGTATTCTTTTATACCCTGTATTTGTAGCTCTCTTGTTTAGGTGTTCTCTGGTATTCTTTTATACCCTGTATTTGTAGCTCTCTTGTTTAGGTGTTCTCTGGTATTCTTTTATACCCTGTATTTGTAGCTCTCTTGTTTAGGTGTTCTCTGGTATTCTTTTATACCCAGTATTTGTAACTTATTTCTTAACATACTCCTGCAGTGTTGACAACCTTGACAATAAACGAGACCTTCAGACTTGGACATTCCTATAAGATTGAAACAGACAATCCAGTATAACCAAATAGTATATCAATGAGTTTGCTGCTGACAACAAGATTATTTAATTTCTATTTTTTATTAATAAAATATATAAATAATTTGGCCCTTGGGAGTCAAGTACTCAGCAAAGGGAAATTTAGCTCCAGGCCCTGTCGACGACACTTGGTATAGATGGACCAAGCCCCATGGACATGGACACTCCGTCAACCAACCGGAACCAGATGAGTTCCTATAAGGGGATGAAGCGTTGCTCCATCTCATAGCAGGTGGCTACGATAAAAGGGGGTTAGATTGACGGTGGAGAGAGAAATAAATGTAGATGTATTACATTTAATGACTTGGGGGAAATGAGAAATTAGACCAGTGGTCAATTTCGAAAGGGAGTTTTGAAATTGAAGAAAACCACTGGTTTGCTGAGACTGCTCCCATATACAGTGAGTAGTTGAAGGTGATTAAAGGGAGGTGGGTGGGTATTTTGTAACTTTATGATAACTAATGTATGACTTTCCCTGTCAGCAGCAAAACTCAAAATGAACAACTACCTAGCATCCTGGGGAAATTTGAGAAGGGTATGTATCACTCCTTTGCCTTACAACCAAATAAGGAGTGATCATGCAGCCAGAGGCATGTCAGTACCAAACATTTGCTACACACATGCAAACTATGATGTGTCATCAATAAACAACACTTATACATAATATAAGCTTCTATTTATTCTATGACTCCAGGGACTTAGGTATATGACAGAAGGGCTGAAATCCATAACTTAACAGTAGCAACTATGACATTCACGGACGATACGACGGATGCAGCAAGTAATGACTTTATTCATTGTTAAGTCTGTATTCTATTTTCTGTGGTTTATCGATAATGATTCATGTACCTTGTTTAGCTAGTTGATTCTTGTTTAGGTGTTCCTCATGATTAAGTAAACTGTGACTTTGTTAGAACTCCTCTTTTTAAAGGTGATCTTGGTGATTCTTTTATACCCTGTATTTGTAGCTCTCTTGTTTAGGTGTTCTCTGGTATTCTTTCTACCCTGTATTTGTAGCTCTCTTGTTTAGGTGTTCTCTGGTATTCTTTTATACCCTGTATTTGTAGCTCTCTTGTTTAGGTGTTCTCTGGTATTCTTTTATACCCTGTATTTGTAGCTCTCTTGTTTAGGTGTTCTCTGGTATTCTTTCTACCCTGTATTTGTAGCTCTCTTGTTTAGGTGTTCTCTGGTATTCTTTTATACCCTGTATTTGTAGCTCTCTTGTTTAGGTGTTCTCTGGTATTCTTTTATACCCTGTATTTGTAGCTCTCTTGTTTAGGTGTTCTCTGGTATTCTTTTATACCCTGTATTTGTAGCTCTCTTGTTTAGGTGTTCTCTGGTATTCTTTTATACCCTGTATTTGTAGCTCTCTTGTTTAGGTGTTCTCTGGTATTCTTTTATACCCAGTATTTGTAACTTATTTCTTAACATACTCCTGCAGTGTTGACAACCTTGACAATAAACGAGACCTTCAGACTTGGACATTCCTATAAGATTGAAACAGACAATCCAGTATAACCAAATAGTATATCAATGAGTTTGCTGCTGACAACAAGATTATTTAATTTCTATTTTTTATTAATAAAATATATAAATAATTTGGCCCTTGGGAGTCAAGTACTCAGCAAAGGGAAATTTAGCTCCAGGCCCTGTCGACGACACTTGGTATAGATGGACCAAGCCCCATGGACATGGACACTCCGTCAACCAACCGGAACCAGATGAGTTCCTATAAGGGGATGAAGCGTTGCTCCATCTCATAGCAGGTGGCTACGATAAAAGGGGGTTAGATTGACGGTGGAGAGAGAAATAAATGTAGATGTATTACATTTAATGACTTGGGGGAAATGAGAAATTAGACCAGTGGTCAATTTCGAAAGGGTCCAAAAAGTCAGGTGTGAAACAGCTGAGTGACCCCCAAGGTAATAAATGGGAAAAATTGGGTTTTAAGGAATGAAACCTTCAACTACACACTGTGGAATTCTATTAAACACAATTTAAGCTGTACATAGTTTAATGATATAACACACAACTGACTAATTCATGAAAATAGAATGTGTAAGAGTTAACATGTAATCTTAGTGCTACCTAGATTTATATATATATATACATACATAATATACATAATAACTGTACAAATTTTAACTGTTACAAATTTGTTGCTGTGCGTTCTTAATAGAAGATTTCTCTGTCCTAACATATCGACAGTAACTATCAGAACTCCATCTACCTAATGTTTTAATTAAGTGATCTTCAATATTAGCTTTACCAGCACTGGTTGCTGCACCTATACGAAAAGAATGTCCATTATATAGGGCGGCTTGGTATCCACAGGCTTCTAATAAAATTTTTAAATTTGTAATAAAATATTTTCTTTCTAAAGCTGAAAGATTTTCATTAATGAACAATGGATCTGAAAGTGCACATTTTCCTTTAACTGATCTTAATTGTAAGTAGTTCTTTAAAGTTGTATAAGGGCATAGGATATTATTTAGCCTATGCAATTGTATATCAATGCCTTTCCTAAAAGGATCTGTTTTTGACTGCTTTAGGTGAAGAATTGCAAAATCTTCATAAAATGTAACATCAGAAACACATAAATTAGATTCTGAATCAAAGTTAGATGCATTATCTACAGTAAATTCACCACAACGTAAAAAACCATGAAATGCTACAATACAAACAGTTTCAAACATTAAGTCTATAAATTCTGAAAAAAAGCCTCTCTTCAGTTTAACACACATTTGCTTTAGTATGTCAGAAGTAATTGGAAATCTTGGCCTGACTGACTGTTTTTGTGAACGTTTAACCGACTTTAGAAATAAAGAGAGTCGAACCATTGATTTGTGGTCTCTGTCTGATGATTGAAAGGGTGAGGGAATATCGTCCTTGAGGCACATGTATCTAATACCACAAATATACAGCTTAATAGTAGAATATTGTAACTTCAGAATTTGAAAACAATGACCAACAAAATAAATTAAAAGTTCTTCAGAAATGGGAGGTAATTTGTTCCCATTCAGGTTGACCCCATTTAAAAGTAAAAATGTTTTGAAATGGTTATATCCTGTTTCATAAACAGCTCTTGTCCTCATAGCTACTGCATTAGACCATAGTGTGTTGACTGTGTTTGTTAAGACCACATTACTTCTGACACACTTGGGCATATATGAGGGTGCTGCTCTGCCTGTGGAGCCAGTTTTCGGAAGCGAGTCATCTGAAAACGAGACAAAGCATCAGAAATTTGGTTAATATGACCAGGTACATGTTTAGCACTAAAATGAAAATTAAACTTAGCTGCACACCATGTTAGTTGACGCATAAGTTTCATGATTTCTAAACATTTAGAGCGTCCCTTTCTGACAATAGCAACAGTAGCTTCATTATCACACCAAAATAATATCTTTTTACAGGGCCAGAGGTGGCCCCATAACAATGCTGCTACTACAATAGGGTATAACTCAAGGAAAGCCATTGACAAATTGTCAGTTAAAGTAGGTAAATTAACAGGCCAATATGAAGAGAACCATTTGCCTTGAAAATATCCCCCAAAGCCTATTGTAGAAGCAGCATCTGTATATAATTCAAAGTCATAACTGGATGTAAAATAACAATCATGAAACATAGTGATGCCATTCCAGTTTGACAAAAATCTCAACCAAAATTCTAAATCTACCTTACATTCTTTAGTTAAATGTACAAATTCATTTAAATGTTTAACAGTAGTTGACAAATTAATTAGGTACGACAAAAAAGATCTGCCAGGTAAAATAACTCTTGTGGCAAAATTAAAATGTCCTAACAACTGTAATAACTGTCTCTTTGTACAAGATGATTTTGACAACAATTTGGAAATAAACTCACATATTCTCTGTACTTTAATATTTGGAAGTCTTGCTTCCATTTTGTTTGAATCTAAAATAATACCTAAATACTCTAGACAAGTAACTGGTCCTTCAGTCTTGTGTTTGGCTATTGGAATATTTAAACGTTTAAAAATGGTCATCATTATAGCCATGCTTCTTTCACCATCTTCACTTGGGTGATCAATAGTAAGAAAATCATCAAGTAGATGTAAAATGTTCTTAATCTTATAATTTTTCTCTGCAATATGGCAAATTGCCTGTGACACTGTGTCAAAAATTTTAGGACTAGACCGGCAGCCAAAAGTTAATCTTACATAATAATAATAAAAAGACTGCCATTTGAAACAAAATAAAGGCCACTGGGATGGCAAGTAAGGACAAATTTTGAACGCGTCGGATATGTCATATTTACATAGTGTACTGTTCCTTCCTAATTTTAGAATAATTCTTATAGCGTCATCAATTTTAACATAAGACATGGAACATTCTTCTTTATCAATCATATCATTAATACTTAGAAAACTGTCATTGTCATGTGGAGATGAAAGATCTAAAATCAAACGTTTCTTCCCAGAGTATTTTCCTTCAGCAACACCCAGTGGACTAACTCTATAATTTGCAAAAGGTAAGGACTGAAAAGGTCCATGTACAAAGCCTTTTTGGCATTCAGTTTTAATTAACTCTGATACAACTAAAACCTGAGACCTTGCAGAAAAATTATTTTTACACTCTTTAGATTCTGAAATTTCCCCTTGAACTAAACAATCAAAACCTTGTCTCAGACCATTACATAGATATAATACAAAATTTTTATCAGGATGTGATGATAACTCTTCCTCTAATTTATCAACATTTATTGGTGTTGAAGCTTCACAAAAGAACTTTTCCTTGGATAGTCATCCTGAATTTGGTTTCTCCAATTTATTTCCCTTGGAGGACACTGAAGATGTTGAAGAATGAACAGGCACATTGCTATTGGATTTCCTACAGGTTGAGGCACCATGGCCTGTTGCACGACATTTTGTACACTTGTGGAGGAGATAACACACTTTCCTATAACAACCTTTAGGATTATTGAAATTATTGCACATTTCCAGACCTTCATGAAATACTCTTGAACGACCTTGCTTGTCTACGGATTGTAGGTTGCTAGATGAATATGATCTTGAAGAGGAATTTTCAACCTGGACTGATGATTGCAATGGGCAGTATTGTGTAGCATGATCAATTAAATTACAGATTTTACACACGTTTACTGAGGATCCCGCTGTTATCAAAGAAAGGATGTCACGATCACGAAGGCTCCAATCAACCTTAACATGCCTTTCCCTCAGAAGTGCTGCTGCCTTTGCTGTAAAAATTTTATGATAGTCATAAAATTTTGGGCCATAGAAATTATTAATGTTAATAATGTCAGCTTCATAGGCATCTAATTCATCCCGACGGTCTGGGTAGGCACCACACATAATTCTTTTGAATTTTCCAAAAGCTTGAATAAACTCTTGGATTGATAGATGCCTGTTTAATCTTGGGTCTGCTTTATTTGCTAAATTGACATGCACCCCGTCTGCAATTATGGAATGGTTTACAGGAGACTCAAAATTGGGAATAAGGAGTAACTTTATGATAACTAATGTATGACTTTCCCTGTCAGCAGCAAAACTCAAAATGAACAACTACCTAGCATCCTGGGGAAATTTGAGAAGGGTATGTATCACTCCTTTGCCTTACAACCAAATAAGGAGTGATCATGCAGCCAGAGGCATGTCAGTACCAAACATTTGCTACACACATGCAAACTATGATGTGTCATCAATAAACAACACTTATACATAATATAAGCTTCTAGTGAGATTCTCATGAAAATTTTCATGTGGGTTTCATATATAAGCTCGTTTGAGTTGAATTTCGCGTGCGATTCATGTGAAATTCTCATGAGCAAAATTTGCCTGTGTAAAAAGGTGGTGACAACTGCTGACATAGGTGTATTTGGTTGGCTTGGTCCTGACCATGCATGAAATATTTGCCACTGCACCTTTAGCAAACAACAATCCATCAATTTTTGCATTGGTAAAAGGACATAAACCAATTGCGAATAATTAACCCCATCCCTTAACTTTATATAAGCAGTGTCACAAAGTGAAAATAATTCTATGAAAAATGTATATGGACTTTCTTTTATTAATTGATTATTTAATTTAGAAATGACCAGGTTGCATTGTAACTCTTTACCATATTCATTAAAAAAAGTATCCCAGAAATGAAAGAACTGATGTTCATGGCCATGTTGCTTTCCTCAAAGAATTGTTCAGTCGTTGAAAATTGTAAAGGAATATAACTTAATTTCTTCAAATCACTTTTTTTGGCGAGCTACATTTTCTGGTAAAAATTTGAAATAGGATTTGTTGGTTGGCATATTTTGCTGGTCCTTAGCATGATGAAAAATTGGGGGATTGTTCCATAATTTTTTAATAACTTAAACCAGTCCGATATACCCCAACACCTGTTATATTTATTTAAGCTGCCTCTTGACCATCATATTTGGTCATTTTTTAATAACCCTTTGTGAAATAAGCTCTCTCAAAAATAGAAATACAGGCATTAAGTATCTTCAACCAAATTAATGTGTTTTATTTTTATATTTCAGTGATGTTATCGGCAGCAACACGTCAGATGACAGTAGTAAAACTCTGGAAGGTGTAAGTGTGATAGGCATCAATTGATTTATATCTTTCTCAGAGGTTCTGAAGGTTTTTCGGACCTCAGTGGTCTTTTGGTCCAGTAAATGTTCAAGCATTACTGGTCCAGTCAATGTTTTAGCAGTCTTTAACATTATGAGTATTACAAAACTCCTACATCTACACTGCTCATTTGGTCCAGTAATTGATGACATTTCACTGGACCAAACCATTTATTACTGGACATTGCCACATGTCTGACGGACCTTGGGAATTACTGTTTTTCACCAAGTTTGATTTAAAAGAAATGATGTAAATTACACGGAAGAAAAGTAATATAAATGGAAGAAAATCTTTGACATAATAAAATGTCAAAATATCTATAGGCTACTAGTGTATACTTTTAGTTTTAAAAAAAAAATCATTATATTCTGTTTTGTCCTTCATTTTCATGCAATATTTTCCAATGACCGTGAAACAATTGTCAATCAATTATATTATATTGAAAATAAGAATCTATTTATATTTTCAGAGCAATACATCAGAAAAGACACTGCCAGAACGAGTGAATTCAGTAGATAGTCAAGATGACCCATTAGGGGGAAATCTGTGGCGTCAAAATAGTGTAAGCAAAATTATCAAATTCTCACTGTTTAATTCTAGATTTCCATCAATAGGCAAAATGAGCAAACTGTAACAAGTTATGAACTGATTAGAATATAAATTAAAAGGTTTTAACTGTATACAAAGCTCTAAAATGTTCTTCAGTAAGGAAAAGGTTTTCAAAGGGACAATAAAAACCATAAGATTCATGAAAATTCAAAAATTGGTACTTATGTCAGCATGTGGCGTCTGTCATCCATTGCCGATGTCCGTCCAACTTTGTATGTACTTACCAATTACATATACAACAAAATCACCTGATTTTGTAATAATTAAAGGGGCATTAGCTGTCAAATTCATGTTCACCGATTTGACTCAAATTCTCATATTAGATACAAAAAGTATACTTATACACAATGCTTATTACTACACAACTGTTCTAGAGTTATGCGTGTTAACAAATAGAAAAATTGCTGAATTTTTATACGACCGCAAAAATTAAAAATTTTTTGGTCGTATATTGGTATGATGTTGGCGTCGTCGTCGTCGTCGTCGTCTGGCGTCTGGCGTCGTCCGAAGACACAATGGTTTTCGCACTCTAACTTTAGTTTAAGTGAATGGATCTCCGTGAAATTTTACCATAAGGTTCAATACCACAAAAGGAAGGTTGGGATTGATTTTGGGGGTTATGGTACCAACAGTTAAGGAAAAAGGGGCCAAAAATAAGCATTTTTGTAACTTCCAGACATAACTTGTGTGTTAGTGTATGGATCTCTCTGACATTGTACCACAAGGTTTCATATCACAAAGGGAATGTTGGGATTGATTTTGGGGGTAATTGCCTCAAAATTTTAGGAATTAGGGGCCAAAAAAGGGGCAAAAAACAAGCATTTTTCTAGTTTCCAGACAATTACGTGTGTTCAAGTGTATGGATCTCTCTGAAATTGTACTGCAAGGTACCATACCAAAAAGGGAAGGCTGGGATTGATATTGGGGGTAATTGCCTCAAAATTTTAGGAATTAGGGGCCAAAAAGGGAAAAAAAACAAGCATTCTTTCTAGTTTCAGGACAATAACTTGTGTTCAAGTGTATGGATCTCTCTGAAATTGTACTGCAAGGTTCCATACCACAAAGGGAAGGCTGGGATTGAGTTTGGGGGTGATGAATCATAAGGGGTTTCAAAAAATTTGGGGGGGGGTTTTCATTTCTTTTCTTTTTTTCCTTTTTTTTTTCTTTTAAAATTTTCCATTTTAAGTTGGTTATTTCTGATTTATATTTAAAAGGAAATAATAATGATATGGTAGGAGATACACACCAAACAGGATGTGTAAATTATTATATAATAAGTATTGTGCAATAGCAAGAAATTTTCAATTGCACAGTATTGCACAATAGCAAGAAATCTTCCATTGCACAGTATTGCGCAATAGCAAGAAATCTTCAATTGTACAGTATTGCGCAATAGCAAGAAATATCCAATAGCACAATATTGCACAATAGCAAGAAATCGTCAATTGTACAGTATTGCGCAATAGCAAGAAATATTCAATTGCACAGTATTGTGCAAAAGAAGATACTTCGTATAAATTGCTTATTTCTTGACCAATTTCAATGGGGTTTTATTCTTGAATTCTTGGGGTTCTTTAATGTGCTGAATCTGACCGTGTATTAAGTTTTTGGATTTTGGGCCCCGTTTTTAAATTGGTCCACATTGAGGTCCAAAGGGTCCAAAATTAAACTTTGTTTGATTTCATCAAAAATTGAATTATTGGGGTTCTTTGATATGCCGAATCTAACCGTGTATTTAGATTCTTAATTTTTGGTTCCGTTTTTGGATTTTGGGCCCCGTTTTTAAATTGGTCTACATTAAGGTCCAAAGGGTCCAAAATTAAACTAAGTTTGATTTTAACAAAAATTGAATTCTTAGGGCTCTTTGATATGCTGAATCTAAACATATATTTAGATTTTTGATTATGGGCCCAGTTTTCAAGTTGGTCCAAATCGGGGTCCAAAATTAAACTTTGTTTGATTTCAACAAAAATTGAATATATGGGGTTCTTTGATATGCTGAATCTAACCATGTATTTAGATTTTTGATTTTTGGGCCCCGTTATCAACTTTGTCCACATTGATGTCAAAAGGGTCCTAAATTAAACTTTGTTTGATTTCATCAAAAATTGAATTCTTGGGGTTCTTTGATATGCTGAATCTAACCATGTATTTAGATTTTGGATGTTGGACCATAATAGGTGAATGTCCAATTTAAAATTTTTAAGTTCTTAGACCACATTCATTCTGTGTCAGTAACCTATGCTGCGTCAAATATTTAATCACAATCCAAATTCAGAGCTGTATCAAGCTTGAATGTTGTGTCCATACTTGCCCCAACTGTTCAGGGTTCGACCTCTGCGGTCGTATCAAGCTGCGCCCTGTGGAGCATTTTATTAGTTTCTGTTCTCTACTTAAGTTAGCCTCAACCAAATGTTATGAGACTTACACACATGAAACTCAGATCTAGTTCAAATTTGGGTAGCGTCACTTTTAGTGTTCTTCAGTCACGTCCCTTTATAACTATATGATATGCAAGTGGGGGCATCATCTGTGTCCACATGTGGACACTATCCACATTTATATTGACAAAATTGAACCAAGTGGGCTGCTAAAAGCGAATTATTGTTTCACTATTTCACTTTCATCAATGACTGAACAAAAAAGAAATTTTTTTTCACATTTAGTTGCTAATGCCCCTTTAAAATTTGAAGTCAATTTAGGCCCTTAGCACACCTCCTCATTTGTGCTTGTATCAAATGTATAATGGTAATGGTGTATTTTCCCCAATGACTTAATTAAAGCTGATAAATTTAAAATATAAATATCATTAATGTCAACAAAATGTTCCTCGACACAGATCAAAGACTCAAATTGATTGTGAAGAAGATTGTTCATGGTTGAATTGAATTATTTTTTATGCCCCTACCGTATCGGAGGGGGCATTAAGTTTTACCCTTGTCTGTCTGTACGTACGTACGTACGTACGTCCCAAAATTGGTTCAGTTCTCTAACTATAGTTTGCCTCAACCAAATGTTATGAAACTTATACACAATGCTAATTACCACAAAACACAGATTAAGTTTGAATTTTGGTGGCGTCACTTTTACCGTTCTAGAGTTATGCCCCTTTACAAATTGAAAAATTGCTAAATTTTTAGTTTCCGTTCTCTAACTTAAGTTTGCCTCAACCAAATGTTATGAAACTTATACACAATGCTTATTACCACAAAACACAGATCAAGTTTGAATTTTGGTGGAGTCACTTTGACCGTTCTAGAGTTATGCCCCTTTAGAAATGGAAAAATTGCTAAATTTCTATTTTCTTCTAAATATCAAGTAATTTTTAAAATTGGAGTTATCTTCCTTTTTCCATGATTATAGTTGAATCAACTACAATCAATGCTTTATACAATGCAATGTTTAATTTTGACTTCCACTGATAAAACACAGATCAAGTTGAATTTGGGTAGTGTCACTTTAACCATTATTGAGTTATGCCCCTTTATAAATCGAAAGATTGCAAAATTTTTAGTTTCCATTCTGTAACTTAAGTTTGCCCCAACCAAACATTATGAAACCTATACACAATATTCATTACCACAAAACTAAGATCAAGTACAAATTTTTTGTTTCCGTTTTTCTAACTTTAGTTTGCCTCAACCAAATGTTATGAAACTTATACACAATGCTTATTACTACATGATACAGATTAAGTACGAAATTTGGTGGCAACACTTTTACCATTCTTGAGTTATGTCCCTTTATAAACATAAAAATTGCTGAATTTTTCGTTTCTGTTCTCTAACTTTAGTTTGTCTCAACCAAATGTTATAAAACTTATACACAACCGTTCTAGAGTTATGCGTGTTTACAAATAGAAAAATTGCTGAATTTTTATACAACCACAAACAAATTTTGCTGTCGTATATTGGTATGATGTTGACGTCGTCGTCCTGGGTTGTCGTCGTCCGAAGACACATTGGTTTTCGCACTCTAACTTTAGTTTAAGTGAATGGATCTCTATGACATTGTACCATAAGGTTCAATATCACAAAGGGAAGGTTGGGATTGATTTTGGGGGTTATGGTACCAACAGTTAAGGAATTAGGGGCCAAAAAGGGGCCAAAAATAAGCATTTTTGTAACTTCCAGGCATAACTTGTGTGTTAGTGTATGGATCTCTCTGACATTGTACCACAAGGTTCCATATCACAAAGGGAATGCTGGGATTGATTTTTGGGGTAATTGCCTCAAAATTTTAGGAATTAGGGGCAAAAAAAAGGGGCAAAAAACAAGCATTTTTCTAGTTTCATGACAATAACTTGTGTGTAAGGGTATGGATCTCTCCGAAATTGAACTGCAAGGTTCCATATCACAAAGGGAAAGCTGGAATTGAGTTTGGGGGTAATTGCCCAAAATGTTTAGGAAATAAGGGCCGAAAAGGGGCCAAAAATAAGCATTTTTCTAGTTTCCAGACAATAACTTGTGTTAAAGTGTATGGATCTCTCTGAAATTGTAGTGCAAGGTACCATACCACTAAGGGAAGGCTGGGATTGATTTTGGGGGTAATTGCCTCAAAATTTAGGAATTAGGGGCCAAAAAGGGTAAAAAACAAGCATTTTTCTAGTTTCAGGACAATAACTTGTGTGTAAGTGTATGGATCTTTATGAAATTGTACTACAAGGTTCCATATCAAAAAGGGAAAGCTGGGTTTGAGTTTGGGGGTAATTGCCCTAAACATTTAGGAATTTGGGGCCAAAAAGGGGCCAAAAAACAAGCATTTTTCTAGTTTCCAGACAATAACTTGTGTTTAAGTGTATGGATCTCTCTGAAATTGTACTGCAAGGTACCATACCACAAAGGGAAGTCTGTTATTGAGTTTTGGGGTGATGAATCATAAGGGGGTTCAAAAAATTTGGGGGGGGGGGATTTTTTTTTCCTTTTTTTTCCTTTTTTTTTCTTTAAAATTTTCCATTTTAAATTGGTTATTTCTGATTTATATATAAAAGCAAACAATAATGATATGGTTTGAATAGGTAAATTAAAATTTTTTAAGTTCTTAGACCACATTCATTCTGTGTCAGAAACCTATGCTGTGTCAAATATTTAATCACAATCCAAATTCAGAGCTGTATCAAGCTTGAATGTTGAGTCCATACTTGCCCCAACTGTTCAGGGTTTGACCTCTGCGGTCGTATCAAGCTGCACCCCAGCGGAGCATTTTATTAGTTTCTGTTCTCTACTTATTTATTTTTCAGTTATCTGTGACCCTTAAAGAATGGGATATTCCATATGAACAGCTGGTAATAGAAGAATCAATTGGTACTGGCAGATTTGGTATTGTTTATAAGTAAGTATTCCTGTGAAGAATTGTTAAACCAAGAGTGAGACCAATCACTTATAAGTTTTGACATTATATTAGTGTAGCATTCTTCATTTATCGTTGATTATTATGATCACGTGATTCAAAGGGTATTTAAGTATATTGACGCTATGTTTCTATTTATCCTGCAATCAGCCAACTATTATATGCAAATAACAGGTACACAAATAAATTTTTGCTTTATTTGTACTTATACAAATAAAGTCTCCTGTTACCCCTCTTCCATGTTGAGCAAGCGGTAATGTGGATATTTCTTTTTGCGTACCAGTTCATTTTGGGGTCCTCTTCGCGGTCCGCGTTTAAACTATGTCTATTTCTTTGAAAAATTATAGACAATGATTTAGTTTTTAACAACTAAAGTTTCAAGTGTTGGGTGTAAATTTCAGGATAAAAACAATATATGTACATTGTCGGAAAATATATAATTTATTTGTACTCGCTGCAAAACAAGAGAAAAGCTTTTCATCCTGTTTCTAAAGCTCATACAAATAAATTTTATATTTTCCGACAATGTACATATATTGTATATTTATATATATATATGTTGACGGTCAATATTAAAAATATTGCAAAATGCAACACAAATTACGCTATGTTTCTATATATATATATATATATATTGACGGTCAATATGAAAAATCATGCAAAATACAATGTAAAATACACAGAAAGAACATTGAAGTCGATTTCCCTAATACACTGTTTACATATGTAATATTAAGGACTTTCACTTAGTCAATACGTTATATATGGACCACGGTCAATATGATCTGAACATGTCCATATATAACGTATTGACCTCGTTAAAGTCTATAATGGATAAATAATGACCTGTGAACTAACCTTTCAGTTCACTTCCTCTGAATCGTAATAATTAGCATATTTCTAGGCATTTATTTTTGCAAGACTTACTAATAAGTTATCAGCACGTATACTTGCAGAGTTCACAATGGTGCTGAATGATTCACTGGACATTTGGTCTGTTGGATTACTAATATTTACTGGTCTGAACAAAATTTTACAGAACAATCAATAATTATATTTTATAGGAAATTTTATCCAGTAAAGTCTCATTTTTCTGGTATGACAAGCATTTTAATTGTTTTGATTGTTGGAATGGTGTCCCTCGCAATATCTGTAAATATATTCCATATACTGTTAGATTCAGAAATTATTGCGATGTTTTAATTAATGCGAAAAATGCATCAGTATCAGGTTAGCAATAATAAAAATTTGCATTCATATTTTCGGCATTAATTTTTCTTCACAAAATTTTTGTAACCACATTAATTTGATCTTGCATTTTTACCAATAATCAATGGTTTGCAATAATATGCAAGTTAATATATGAATTTACAGCATTTGGATTTCCTCTTTAAGAAATTTCAAGTACACGTTTTCTGTGCTTGGGGAAAGTAGCAAAAAATTGATTTGTTCTGAAATTCAATATTTGTGTCATAATATATACACCCAAACATTTCACATTTTATACAGCAAAATCTGTTTACACTAACAAGTGATTTTGTACTTTATAGGGGCCATTGGCATGGTAAAGTAGCCATTAAAATGTTACATATGGATTCCGATACCGATAACCAAGCTCAGCTGTCAGCATTCAAACAAGAGGTACGGTGTCTTTCCTGTATATAATTGTGATTTCATCACTTTTACTCCCTTTAGAAACTGCTCGTTGGAACTATACAGCTTTATTCTATATTTATAGTTTAAGGAAACCCTTAGTTCTATTCTAAAAGAATAAATAAAATTACTAAAAGGACATTGTATGAACTTGCAGAAACAGTTGAATATCTTGGGCTGGGTTAGCTGCAAGACCGTAGCTCTTGGGTCCTCGTGATATTTTTGGGCAACTTGTGGACTACACAAATCAGAAAAATTAATAAGGACCATTAAGTTTATGCTTCCACAGCTATGGCAGCGTTCCCTCCAGTTCAATTGCACCATTACATTATTGGTGACAAAGAGGGAAAGAGTCTGAATGGTATAGTGATACATTTAATATCTTGAACAAGCTTTGTAAATCAGTTAACCAATCTAGAACTTGACATTTAGTTATAGAGGGTACAATTTACACAACGCCAAGCTTCTTATCATTATATAAGATATTCTATATTTAATTGAAATATTTATTCTTTTTCCCCAGGTTGCAATGTTAAAGAAAACTCGTCATGATAATTTAATATTATTTATGGGTGCTTGTATGAAACCTCCACATTTAGCTATAGTTACAAGGTAAGAAATATATAGTGTATTACTCCATAGATTTCACCTGATCTGTTGTGGTTTAAAACTTATTTATGGGTATTCTTTTGAAAAAAAGATAAATAATGATACTGATTTCTTATCATCTAATGAATAGAGAATAAAGTCCTTATCACAGTAGAAAAACCAATAAGTAGAAAAATCAGTATGAAAATCATTATACTTGTGAATCCAAAATCTTTCAAATTAAGTTTTAGCTCTTTTGTATATGTTCAGACATCCATTCTGGGATTTGTTTTTTTTTTCTTGACTTTTTATAAAACTTCATAAAGAGGAATATGATTTCCAGCAATTTTTTATCTGATTACACCAAATAGGAAGATGCAATTTCCACCAGATTTGTATATCTGATTGCTGAAAAGTATGATGATGACATGCAATAAAAATATATTTTGTGCCCCTATCAACTTTTTCGATCCTATACAGATAAGTTTGATTTTGAAAGAGAGAATGATTTATATTTTTTGAACTATTTCTGTCAATACTTCTGAGATGATTGCGTTTTGCTTCTCAGGTCTGTGCATTCTTTTGATTTTCTTCTGTTTTTAAAGGCAGTGCTTTAATGCCTTTCTAGTTGCCGTGTTAATCTTTCTTTCCGCGATATCCAACTTATCTACGTGGGGGGTCATTAGGCTCCAAGTAGATCCGGAAAATGTTGATTCTCTCCTCTTCTTATTGTGATATAAAATGTTTTTTGATTCATTTCATTTACATTGGGAAATAGAGAAACGATCATTGTGTTTTGTTAATTTTAAAAACTTTTGATATATTTGTATTTTGCATTATAAGCAGTCAACCGATTGACAAACTAGAATTATTTGAATTCCGTGTGGAAAGAGGTCGGGTTAATTTCGAGTGTTATCTGCAATCTAGATGTTTATAAATCATTTCAGTCGTTGATATAACAATTAAAGGTCGACTGAACATGAATTATATTATACAATTTAAAGCGCATTTCTGTTTATGCACGTGAACCCGTCTAACGTTATTGTTATTTCGCAGTTAAATAAAGTAGCAAATTATCGTTCCTGAATAGGTGGCGCCATGGTAGCCGATCCTGTTCTTAAACTTCCGGTTTCTGCAGGGTTCGACATTAACTTTTATACCAACTTGTCCAGTTGGGCAAGTGCCCTATTACTTTTACTTGTCCGAAAGTGAAATCTACATGCCCAAACTTTTACATGCTATTTTTGTGGTTGTAATGTAGTACATGCAGATAAAATATAGTTATCATGTATATGGGGTGTAAATTGATTATGGAGTATGAAAATATACTATGAGGCATATACATGCATGTATGAGCCGAGGAGGGAGGGAAAAGATCGATGAGTATACGGGAATTGGATCATTTACATAGAGATACTTATTTCATAATAATTTATCTAAGAAATGCCATTTCAAATAACCCTTCTTGATAAACTGACAACAACTGACAAATTTGTTAAAGTTTAATTTCATTTTCTCTTTCAAGCTTTTACGTTTTTCCATCTTAGGGAAATACACATCCGATGTCAAATTATAAAGTTAGAACAATGAAAATAGACCTCCGCTTTCCATTGGTCGGTCGGAATAACACGTGCGTCGGAAACGCCCGAGTGGTGTCCCGATGGATAACGATAATGACGAAGCAACGCCGCGGCCGCCTGATTGGCCAATATTTTTAAACGTGATCTATTTTTGGTAAAATGGGGAATTCAGTGCGAACAATTGACGAAATAAACGCATTGAAGGGGGGTTATGACCACTTTACTCGACCGTGCGGTGTTATCACTGAGTAATCTATGGACAAAACAACAGACACTATTGATTTTGTGAAATTTTAATCATATAACACTTTTTTTTTCACTTGCCCGATCGGACAACCAAGATGATGTTTTTACTTGTCCGAATACGGCATTAGCTTGCCCCGGGCAATCGGACAACCGTAAGTGTCGGACCCTGTTCTGCACTGTGCAACTATCACAGTTGCATTTTTAATTAACGATGCCAAGTACTTGTTGTTGTGTACCTGGATGTCATTTAAGAGGAGGACATACATTTCCAAATGACTTAAAAAGAAGGAAAAGTTGGATCAACGCCATGGCCCATAGGCAGATTGGACGAGAACACGATTTCAGAACACGATGAAATTGTGGAGTCCATCTCAATCAGCTGTTGTTTGCAAGGCACAGTTTACTGAAAAAGACTACGTGCAGGAAACTATTCATGGTAAAACTCTATTTTCTTTTTAAAATATATAGTTATATATGTAATCGCCATGCGAATAAACCAAGTCTGTTTACAACCGCAATTATCGTTTTAGAATAAAAGGGGGTGGTTAATTCAAGACGTCATAATTTTTTGGATTACGATTCAATGTGATCTGTTTGAGATTTGTTGGTGCTTGCTACAATTATAATGATTTCTTACAAGAGGTATATCATACTGAGAATTATTTTAGCAGTAATTATGCTAATGTAGTAATGACAGGAATGCATAAGCTATCAGTATGCCTCATAGACTTTCTTGAAAAATATCAATGACAATGTTAACAGGAACAAAACAATGACTTGCTCTCATCTATATTATAGTTATTTAGGTACAAACAATGTACGTTTATGCATAAGTCTCTCATTGTTTGTCCTTTGGATTTACATAACATACATTGAATCAGGCTAACATAGTTTTATCCAGATTGAAATGAATAAATCTAGTTAATATTTTGCCAGGTAGTACAAAGTATGCATTGCTAATGGAAGTTCATTTAATTATCAAAAAACTAATGTTTTATAACCTTTTTCAGGGCGCAAACCCACCATACAGAGACTTAAGTCGACTGCCATTCCCAGCCTATTTTCCTGGACCAAGCTGCTTGAAGAGACTGAATTGTCCGCAAAAAGAAAAATCAGGGCAGTTTCCTGTGAAAACAAAAGAACTAAACTTGATGAATATTGTAGTAGAAATGTAGAGGAAAGTTTTGATTGTAAAGTTGTTTTCCTGAAAAAGTCATTCATACTGCAGACAGGATTTATGACTGTCCACCACCAACTGCCGAGCTAATGTTGAGCTTCACAGATGGAATTACGCAACACCATCAATGTCTATATTTTCAGCAGAGAATTTTGAAATGAAGACACGTGACACAGCCATGCATTTTTACACCAGTTTAGAGTTGTATACTAAATTTTTATTTGTTTTGACCACACTTGGTCCAGCAGCACATTGTTTGAGATATATTTTCAAATTGATAGGGTGTCATCTGAAAATCATTTTTTTTATGACTTTGATGAAATTGAGGCATTATACAACCAATTTTGAACTGTCTAGATTCTAGATTGAAACTAGTGTTAAGAATATTGTGTAAACATGGATTGTTTTTATGTCTAAACAGTGGCGTGAGGCTATTAACACTTGGCCATTTAGTGGTTTAGTCAGGTATTTTTCGCCATCCAACTTCAAATTAAAGTTTCCTACAACTTGGATTATTATTGACAGCACAGAATATCCGGTGATAAAACCTAAAGCTCCTAGAGCTCAGGCAACCTTTTCATCATATAAAAACAGAATCACTGAAAATACTTGTATGTTTGACACCTGGTGGTTTAGTCAACTATGTCTCTAATGCATATTGGTTGTACCAGTGACTGTGAAATAGTTGAAAGATGTAGAATAGTTCAATTATGTGATCCAGGTGACAGTGTGATGGCAGACAAAGGTTTAAATGTGCAAGATTTGTTTGCTCACTTTTTTCAAAAAAAGAAATAGAATTAGTTCCAAAACTCTTATACGGGATAGAAAAGTCTCCAATTAACACGTGCACATAGAGCTAATTATTGGACTTGGCAAAACATACAAAATTCTAATAAATCCTATGAATGGAACTGAAACAAAACTTTCATCTGAAATAACATTTAGTTGATTTATGTTGTGTAATTTTAGAACTTGTATTATGCCAAAGGATGCATAAATAAAAGTGACGCAATGAAGTTTGTTCTGATATACAATGTATATATATTTACAATTACATGCACGTGTAAATTGTAATGCATATAAAAATAAGGAGATGTAGTATGATATTCAGTGAGTTTATGAACCAAAGTGCATAAGAAATGGATTAAGCAGTTACAGGTGTTACTGTCACCGTACAATCTCCAACAATGAGAAAAACTTGTACCGTGTAAAAAATTTCAGAGATCTTACAACTAAGTTTTGTTGTCTCACCTTGACTTTGGTGAATTGTTTATATCTGTTGATGTAAATATAAAAAAGAAGATGTGGTATTGCCAATGAGACAACTCTCCACAAGAGACCAAATGACACAGAAATTAACAGCTATAGGTCACAGTACGGCCTTCAACAATGAGCAAAGCACATACCGCACAGTGAGCTATAAAAGGCCTCGAAATGACAATGTAAAACAATTCAAACAAGAAAACTAACGGCCTAATTTATGTACAAAAAATGCACAAATAACAAATATGCAACACATAAACAAACGACAACCACTGAATTACAGGCTCCTGACTTGGGACAGGCACATACATGTACATACAGAATGTAGCGGGGTTAAACATGTTAGCGGGATCCCAACCCATCCCCTAACCTGGGACAGTGGTGTAACAGTACAATATAAGAACGAACTATAAAAATCAGTTGAAAGAGGCTTAACTCATCAGATGGATAAATACAAATACAAGTGGACGTGGCCGGGTAGTTGTACATCCAAACAACAAAAAGACACTAAGTACAGATCTGAGAGTACTCGCATTTACTAACAGCTAGTTCAAAGCCACTAACAACTGATAAAAAAATGTTGCATCTAAGACTAAATTATCAATCCGTAGCTCCCTTTAGAATTTTATAAATTTTAGATTTTACATTTCTGAGTTATGGGGTTTTATATATTCATTAAAAAAGGGGGGATTTTCCAGTTTTTGGACAACAACTCAAAAATGCTTTAAGCAGTTCGCATGAAACTTTGGTGAATTATTTATAGCTATGGATGTAATCTCCCTATTGATTTTCATAAATTTCAAATATGATATTGAGAAGAAATTGAACTTTATTTGTTTATAGTCTGGCAACAGATTTATTAAGTATTGCGCAACAGCACAGTGTATTGCACAACAGCAAGAAATCTTTTAATTGAATATAAATTCAATTCATATAACCGATTTCAAGTTCTTTGACTACATTTATTCAGAAAATATAATATGTCAAATATTTAATTACAATCCAAATTCAGACCTGTATCAAGCTTGAATATTGTGTCCATTTTTGCCCCAACTGTTCAGGGTTGGACCTCTGTGGGTGTATCCAGCTGCGCTCAGCGGATCAGTTTATTTCTTAATTAAGAACTCCTTGTTGTCGAGACTGCGACTTTTGTCGCAGGAAGCTCGACATAGGGATAGTGATCCGGCGGCGGCTTTAGCTAACTTCTTAAAAGCTTTATATTTTAGAAGGTGGAAGGTATGGATGCCTCATGTTACGAAGTTTCCGTCAGTCATATGTCCAATGTCCTTGACCTCATTTTCATGGTTCAGTGACTACTTGAAAAGAAAGTTAAGATTTTTTGTAATGTTAAATTCTCTCTTATAAGTAATACGATAACTATATTTGGTATGTGCGTACCTTGCAAGGTCCTCATGCCCGTCAGACAGTTTTCACTTGACCTCGACCTCATTTCATGGATCAGTGAACAAGGTTAAGTTTTGGTGGTCAAGTCCATATCTCAGATACTATAAGCAATAGGTCTAGTATATTTGGTGTATGGAAGGACTAAGGTGTACATGTCCAACTGGCAGGTGTCATCTGACTTTGACCTCATTTTCATGTTTCAGTGGTTATAGTTAAGTTTTTGTGTTTTGGTCTGTTTTTCTTATACTGTATGCAATAGGTCTACTATATTTGGTGTATAGAATGATTGTAAGGTGTACATGTCTAGCTAGCAGGTGTCATCTGACCTTGACCTCATTTTCATGGTTCAGTGGTCAAAGTTAAGTTTTTGAGTTTTGGTCTTTTTTTCTAATACTATATGCAAGAGTTCAACTATATTTGGTGTATGGAAATATTTTATGATCTATTTGTCAGTCATGCAGGTTTTTTTTTACCTTGACCTCATTTTTAAGGTTCATTGCTCAGTTTTAAGTTTTTGTGTTTTGGTCTGTTTTTCTTTAACTATAAGCAATAGGTCAACTACATGTATATTTGTTGTATGGAAGAATTGTTAGCTGTACATGCCTGCCTAGCATGGTTCATCTGACCTTGGCCTCATTTTCTTGGTTCATTGGTCAATGTTTAGTTTACTTGGTTAATGTTAAGTTTATGTGACAGTTGTAATAAAGCTTTATATCTTGGACTATCAACATAATATCAATGATTAGTAAAGAAGGCGAGACATTTCAGCGTGTGCACTCTTGTTTCATTCATAAATTACTTTATACTTGGAAATATAATTTTGCTTGGAGCTATAGTTTCTAAAAAAAGTATTGTCATTGAAAGAGTTGACATGTTGCAATGTACATTTATTCTACATAGTTCTATGGTGCCAAATCAAAAGTTTATATAAAAGAAAGAAGTCAAAGTTTCCCATCATAGTTTAGTTACATACATTTTTTTTTTGTACCTGAGGTCGTTGAATATAGATCATTATATAAATAAGGAGATGTGTTATGATTGCCAATGAAACAACTATCATCCATACATTGTACTTACCAGTAACAAACCACATTTGCAAAGTTGAATAAAATACAGTTGATAACATTTACTTATTAATTTCTAAAAAAAAAATGCCAAACTATTTTAAACAGTATTTGACTATAAACATAGATAAAAAAGGTACAAACTGGACATAATGCACTAGTTCATAAACAAGTGAGAACAATCGCCTTCATATAGTGCTCAGAATATGACATTCATAAAACTTGTTCAATATCATTAGAGAACTCTAAATCTTAAATACTGAAAGCCACCTCTGATAAGTACAATGTACTATGCAAGATAATGATATAACTGGACTAAAATTACACACAACCTGTAATTAACTGCCTTTACAGCGCTTTCGCGCTTTGATTTTACATTAAAACGAGTCTTTGATGCTAATTTAACACAGGGTTTTACAAGAAAAAATATTATTGTCTTATTGGCAATCATACCACATTTCCTTATTTTTATATTACATCTAAGATCATTTATCATTGTACATATTCATAAATTTTTCCATTTCAGTTATTGTAGTGGCCTAACATTATATGCATATGTACGAAGTACAAAAGAAAAAGTGCAGATGAATAAAGCTATTCTGGTAGCTTCTCAAATAGCACAGGTAGGTCAAAGTGTACAGATTTCTAGTCAAATAGCACAGGTAGGTCTAAATGTACAGATTTCTAGTAATGTTCTGCTGTATTTGTTATATGCCTGTCAAAACCTGAGGCATTATGGTATACCATTGTTAGTTTATTCGTTTGAGGACATTTTGCAACAACTCAAATATGCTTAATCGTTTCTTTCTCAAATTTTTACACAATAACACATTTCATAAAGATACCTTTCAATTTTAATGAAGTTCAAGAGTTTGGACTATAAGCATTAAAAAATAGGCAATTTTTATGTCCCCGCCGTAGCAGAGAGGGCAGTAAGTTTTACCCTTGTCCATCGGTACGTCCCAAAATTGGTTTCCGTTCTCTAACTTTAGTTTGCTTCAACCAAATGTTATGAAATTTATACACAATGATTATTACCAGAAAACACAGATCAAGTTTGAATTTGGATGGCTTCACTTTTACCGTTCTTGAGATATGTCCCTTTATAACGTTATATGCAAGCAGGGACATCATCTGTGTCCCATGGACACATTCTCCATTTATTTATTTTTGGTTATCGGGACTTTGAGATGAAGGCTTTTGTCATGTAGAAATTCTGTCTAAGAAAGAAATACAAGATATCTACTGCTGCTGATTTTATCATGGTGTGAAGTATACCAAGTAGTAAGCTATTAGGTTAATGGCACTAAGATCTCTCTATTTTGTTAATTGATGATCATTTAAAAGTATACAATTTTCTTGTTATGTCTTTAACATTTTTAAAGTGTCATGAAATGATGTGAACCATTTCAGTGTTTTCAAAATATTTAATAGAGGTTTGGTGGATTTCACTAGGCTAAATGTTAAAATGAATGTATAAATGAGAACACAGTTTAAAAGCAAGACATCTTTCTTACCTTTTGACCTTGTTGTCATTCATACAGTAATCAATTTTCATTATGGTAAAATAAATCAATAACACATTCTTTTCTTTTCAGGGTATGGGATATCTTCATGCAAGGGGAATTGTACACAAAGACTTGAAGTCAAAAAATATATTTTTAGAAAATGGCAAAGTTGTGATAACAGATTTTGGTTTATTTAATGTGACACGGTTGTGTCATGGTAACAGGTAAGTAGTTGGTGATAGTTGCTGTAGAAATTTGTATTTCTTAGTACTCATGACCTCATTATTATAATCCATTAATATAAATTTGATTATTTATTTTAATTACTTAAAGTGACCAGTTGGCTGTTTGTATTAGTAACAATGTGCTTCCTTTTGCATTCTCTGAAAAGAAAGGAAAAATAATTATGATAAATAATTCTGAATACTTTATAATAGTGAAACATTTTACTTCAATGGAATTTCTTAGAACTGAAATTATTTGTTTCAGAAAGGTGATATAAAAAAAGAAATTTATGCTTCTAGGAACAGCAAGTGTATTGTATTCTGACTGCCAAAACTATACATACACATTTCAAATTTAAAAAAATTTTGACAGCATCATTTGTATGCAGCTTTTCTTGAAATCACAATGATTAATCTATCATTGTGTCATTTGTTTAACAATCACAAAGATATATGCACATAAATATTCCTGGATTTACAGTAAAATATTCATGAATTGATTTTTATACGACTGCAAAAAAATTTTGCGGTCGTATATTGGTATGACGTTGGCGTCGTCGTCGTCCGAAGACACATTGGTTTTCGCACTCTAACTTTAGTTTAAGTGAATGGATCTCTATGAAATTTTACCATAAGGTTCAATACCACAAAAGGAAGGCAGGGATTGATTTTTGGGGTTATGGTACCAACAGTTAAGGAATTAGGGGCCAAAAAGGGATCAAAAATAAGCATTTTTGTAACTTCCAGACATAACTTGTGTGATAGTGTATGAATCTCTCTGACATTGTACCACAAGGTTCCATATCACAAAGGAAATGCTTGGATTGATTTTGGGGGTAATTGCCTCAAAATTTTAGAAATTAGGGGCCAAAAAGGGGCAAAAAACAAGCATTTTTCTAGTTTCATGACAATAACTTGTGTGTAAGTGTATGGATCTTTATGAAATTGTACTACAAGGTTTCATATCACAAAGGGAAAGCTGGAATTGAGTTTGGGGGTAATTGCCCAAAACGTGTAGGAATAAGGGGCCAAAAATAAGCATTTTTCTAGTTTCCAGACAATAACGTGTGTTCAAGTGTATGGATCTCTCTGAAATTGTACTGCAAGGTACCATACCACATAGGGAAGGCTGGGATTGAGTTTGGGGGTGATGAATCATAAGGGGGTTAAAAAAATTGTGGGGGGGATTTTTTTTTCCTTTTTTTTCTTTAAAATTTTCCATTTTAAATTGGTTATTTCTGATTTATATATAAAAGCAAATAATAATGATATGGTTTGAGTAGGTAAATTAAAATTTTTTAAGTTCTTAGACCACATTCATTCTGTGTCAGAAACCTATGCTGTGTCAAATATTTAATCACAATCCAAATTCAGTGCTGTATCAAGCTTGAATGTTGTGTCCATACTTGCCCCAACTGTTCAGGGTTCGACCTCTGCGGTCGTATCAAGCTGCACCCAACGGAGCATTTTATGTGGTTGTTAGTTCCTCAATTGTGGAATAAAAGGAGATGAGGGTATATGTCAATGAGACAGCAACCCAAAGACACATTTAACCAAATGACACCCAAGTGTCAACATAGAGTTTTCAACAATAGATGGGTGTATTGTAAGAGTCTTCAACAATAGGTGTATTTACAACATATAAAGCTGTAAACTGTCAAAAGAGGAACAAAGTTGTGTATAAATTACACTGAAACTATCAAAGATCTCTATTCTGAATACTGCCTTAGTGGTCTTGTTCTCATTGTGCTCACTTTGAGAGCAAGAGGTTGTTGAATAGATACTCTAAAGGGTCAAACCAAAGACTAGAATTGGTATTTGCTACTTTTCTGCAAAGCACACTTCATTTGGAGATAAGAATAAAGAATGATTGGCTCTTGAGTTAGAATAATCTTAACCTTGAACACTTTCAGCACTGGTTTTTAGTTTCAATACTATTCAATAGGGATTTGTATACCTAAGCTTAATTTTTCTTCAGTAATCTTGTACAGTGTACATTTGCATTTATTATCATAGGCATGTAACATCAGGCTAGAAACACTTTTAGATTGTTTACAAACTGGAGAAATATAAGAACTGTGTCTGACTTCTGTGTTTGTATTTACAGGAAAGGGGAGTGGTTAAACATATCACCAGGATGGCTGTGTTACCTGGCTCCAGAAGTTATTAGACAGTTACAACCATTAAGTGGTAAACTAGATCTCCCATTCTCAGAAAAATCTGATATTTATGCATTTGGGTAAGTAATGTGTTTTAAACTTAAAACAGAATTCTTTAATGTTTGGACTGTTCCATTTAAATAGCATGTAAATAAAGAAAGGGAGATCAAATTAGATAGGTTAAAGTAATGATCTTTAATTTTGTTAGAAGTGGCTGACATGATCAAATGGAATATTAAGTGCAGGGTCAAAATTAATGAATAAAACAAACTCTATGCATTAAGTGTTACCCTTGTCCATCCCGAACGTCCCCAAAATTGGTTTCTGTTCTCTAACTTTAGTTTGCCTCAACCAAATGTTATAAAACTTATACACAATGCTGATTACCACAAAACACAGATCAAGTTCAAAATTGGGTGGCCACTTTTACCGTTCATGAGTAATGCCCCTTTATAAACATAAAAATTACTGAATTTTTCGTTTCCGTTCTCTAACTTTATTTTGGATCAACCAAATGTTATGAAACTTATACACAATGTTTAATATAACAAAATGGTCTTAACTATGTGAATCCTGCATCTGTATGTGGAAGTTGACTTGTGCATATTTTCAAGCGGGGCATCTGTGGCATATAGACACATTCTCCATTTATTTGTCAATAAATTGAAGTCAAGTAGGGTTTGATACCATGGTGACAAAAAAGTTTTCCAGAATAAAGAATTTAAAGGTATTTTAAGATATAAAGGTGTTGTGATTTTAATGTCTTCATATACATGTAGCAAAGATACAAATATATTTTATAATTTTCAGGACTGTATGGTATGAGCTTCTCTGTGGGGAGTGGCCATTCCGAAATCAACCTCCAGAAACTGTTATATGGCAGGTGGGAAAGGGACTGAAGCAATCATTAGGAAGTATTTCAGGAACCAGGGAATTTAAGGTAATATATATATATATATACTTATAAATACATTATAATGTCTAAAAGATTAGTTTGAAAAGTTTGAATCAATTCATGATATCAATTATTTTGTGCTGCTGCCATTTCCAAGTTAAGCTGTTTATGTACATAAAGTATAACCAATAATAATCAAAAATTCTAAATAAGTATTTTTCAAATGGAAAGTAAAAAACAAAAAGGCCCTTTAATCTTAAGTACTTATCAACAAATTAAGTTGCTTTTTAAATGTTATTTCCAACAATTTACATGAAAGTTGTAATGAAGAAAAAAGGATTTGAAAATGTCACATTTCTTTCTTGCTTTAATATTAAGTTAATCAATTTCAAATTCCATTGCAATTTTACCGCCATTAAGACATATATATACTTTTTCTATTTCAGGATTTGTTAATGATGTGTTGGACTTTTAATAATAGTGATAGACCTGACTTTGCCTGGATTTTAAAAGCCTTAGACCGTTTACCTAAAAAACCTCTTCATCGGAGTCCTTCTCATCCTATCCATATATCACGCAGTGCCGAATCAGTTTTCACATGACCTTTATCTGACCTTGTGATGGGCACATCAGCTAATTTATGTGATATAGCCATAGCAGAGGCTATAAATTCTGCAGGGATTCATCCCACAACAATAGACGAGTTGGCCAGTCATGTGAATGTCAAGTACATTTTTTCCATTCAGGATGAGGAATATAGTTATTTCACAAAGAATACATTCATGCAACCTCTATTATCTGGATTTGGAAAATTATATCTGACCGTGAATGTTTTAAAGGCTGCAAAACCGTCTCCACAGCTAGCAAAAGATAAATATGTGTTATTGCATGTCAAACTATGTCAAGCATTTGTTTGAATTTTCTGTGTCTTTTTTTTAACTAGAGAGGTTCGGAACATCAGTTTTCTTATTTATCACCTGTGTCTTTGAGGTCTTCCTTTGCCTGTAATTAGGATGCCCAAAATTAAGTATAAACAAATCACTGTTGGAAAAAAGAGTTCAGTTGGTCAAGGCTTTATTTTTAATTTACTACTTTCATTATTTGTTTTTCAAGAATTTTATACTGTATAAGGGAATAAAAAAAAATGATTACATTTAATTGCAAGCTGTTTAGCACAAATTGATATGGTTTAAAATTAAAATTAATCTTGATATCATATAAAGATGCAAATTTTGTGAAAGAAGCTGTCATATTCAATATTGTCTGCTGTTGAATATGACAGAATCAACTATAATTACTACTTTCATTTCTACAGAATTTTTTATGTATTGTGAATATGTCTGAGGTTAATTTAAAAAAGTTCAGTTAAAAAAAACAAGTTCTTTAGTCTTTGTAAAGATTAGTAAGTTATTTAAAGGGGGTTTTAAAAATAAGGAGATGTGGTATGATTGCCAAGGAGACAACTATCCACTGAAGTTCAAAGGAAGTATATGTAAGCAATTATAGTCAACCGTACGGCCTTCAACAATGAGAAAAACTCAAACCGTGTAGTCAGCTATTAATCTTTGTAAAAATTAATAAGTTATTTAAATGAAGTTAATCATTGTAAAATTTAATAAGGTGGCAGAAACCAGTTATTTTACATTAAATCTTTAGAATTTCATTGATTTCTGATTTGATTTTCCTGAAAAATCATTCAAGCTTATAAGCAAATAAAATTTATGGTTTCAGGTAACTAAGATATGTACATGCTTTTGTGAATATATAGAAAACCTGTAAATTTGGGTGTCTGTCCAGCATGGAGATTTTAAAATATATAAATGCTTAAAATCTAATCCTTTCCTGCAGAATCTTGCTAATTTCAGGCAAGAATTTTAGGCAAATTTCAAGAGATGAATGATATTCAATGAATTAAAGCCTTGTCCGCACCTATCCCTTCTATAAAAATCTCAAGATATTTTTGTTTACATAAACCTGAATTTTTCCCCACTTTGATTAGATGACATAAAAAGAGGAGACCCCAGTTTTGACTTCTGATTGGTCCCATATGTGGAGGAAATCCCCAACCAGTGTATGCAACTACTTACTTATGTAGTACAATAGCCTAGAATTTACATTCATTTGTTTTTTCAGTCCACATGATGCAATTATATATTTCATTACTTAACTATAACAAAATTTCTGCGTGGAACACATGTTCTGTTACACCAAAATCTGGTACCTGCCACCTAAGTTATTTAAAGGGAGTTAATCTTTGTATTCTTCATCAAAGATAGTTGATCTTTGTATTCTTTATCAAAGATGGTTAATCTTTGTATTCTGTATCAAAGGGAGATAATAATGTTCAGCCATGACAGCCATTTTCATTTTTAGGCCAGTATGAATTATAAAGTTTTGCCTGATATACATTGCTGTGAGACTTTGGTTTTATTTTGAGTTATATAGACTGGGGATTACTTAATCAAGTTGACAATATATTAACTGCAGACATAACTTATTACAGTTTGTTAATCTCATTATTATTTTTTTACTATGAGGATGACATTATGTTTTTAGTTATCTTTATTTCGTGCTTCATAAATACCAACAAATATTTTAAAGATTTTTATAAGTTAGTTATTGGACGGTGTTAAGTCATTACTCTACTATATGGTATGTAGACAGTATTACCTGGATTCTATTTTTTAAAGTATTTGTTTTTAACTTAACATTTCAGAACAGGATCAAGGAAGTGTTGGTATATAGTTAACAAGTAAACAATGAAGTTGTGGTCACATCAACATGAAGCTTAGTACCGATGTTCATTGTATGCTAAATTCAGGTTTTGACCAAGACTTCACAGTTCACTGAAATCAGAATATGAGAATGAGCCAGATATGGTGTCTTATTAATATTCTTATTTCCTTGATCTTGTTCCTGGAGAAATAACAAGAGTAATTTTTAATTCAATATCTGAATCGAAACATATTATTTTTTGTACTACAGAAAAAAGTTTAAGCTCTCAAAAATGTGTGCATAACCTCAGAAAATATTTTTTCCTGTGAACATTTTAGAAATGTCTTGCCTTGAAAGCTATGTAAATTTGAATTGAAACTTATTTAATACTTTAGTAATTTGGATAAAGTATGTAAATTAATGTTATTCTTGGTAAAATAAACAAGGATGTCAATTTTGGTAAAAAGTAAGTTCTCAGGTTTTCTAAAACAACCAAGCTGTACTTGACTTCTAGATTAGAATCAACGCATAGACATCAATTCAGTTTGCATGAATAATACTAAAAGTATAAGTATTGCAAAGCTTTCTCAGTTGAAGCATTGATATTTCAATTTCAAAGTAGCTAGTGTAATAATGTTAGTTAACAAATTATCTATTTATTGTAAGAATAATTTTAATTATCAAAAACAATTAGAACATGCTTGCTATAATAAAGATAACAAAATTACATGAATAAAAAAATATGAGGTCAGGCGAGCTTTTTTGTAAAGCTTCCACTTGTATATCTTGCAAACTTTATTGAATTAAAGCATTTTATCAACTAAGGTGAATAATGTTTATCAAAAGACCCCTGTTGTGGTTTTGGTGGGTTACTTTTCATCTGCTTTCACTATTTTCAATTAAATGGCAAAGGAAGACCTTCTCTGGCTTCTCTGGCTTCCCCTTCATCATACTTTAGGAATTCCCTGAAGAAGAATGGCTGTCTAGACATTACTGATGATAATTGTAAAGTTTTTAAACTTTTTTTAATACAGCCATTATATTACATTTTGGTTTGAACAATTATCCCCATGCCTTTGTAAAAAAACAACACTTTGGCTTCCAGATTCTTTATTGAGCACTTTGAAGTCAAATCATTTAGTATCAGATACTAATAACAATAAGATAAAAAGTATTATTCCTGATTTTTTTTCATTTTCTGCCTTTGCTAAGTTTTTCATTCATTAAGTTATTAAATCTGAATGCTTCATTTAAATCCGTGAAGTGATTAGTCATGTTTTCTATATTATATCATGTGAATGGTCAGTACCGTCAACACCAGTTAGTTTGACAACTGTGGTATTTCGTTACTATATATGTGATATACATTTTTATTATCTATATTTTCATTATATATGACTGAAGTGCTACAAATTTATTTATATAGAGTGAATTAAATTAAGGTATAAAAATGGTAATTATAAGGAGATATATTCCAAATCATATTCATTTGTCTCAATTTTTGAAGCCATATTCAATGCAATTTTGATAGTTCTAATGTTATAGCGGGAAATTATACACTACAAAAACTATCATTACCAATTTAAGGGGTGAAAACTATCAGAATCACTTAGATTCATAGGGAAGAATTAATTAAATGTCCTTTTAAGTCTGAATTAAAGAGGGAACTTAAAACTGTCATCCTTGTGTAACTGTTTGATAAGGAAAATAAGTCAATAGTCATTATGGAGGGGAGATAATAATTGAATCCTATAAAGCCTGAACTAAAAAAAATAATTAACTCCCTTATGTAATCTCTGAATTGAAAAATTGGGCAGTTATATTAATTCAACCACATTAATCAGGAGATTTAACAAGTAAAGCTTTAAAAGCCTGAGAAATAAGGAAGAACAATTGTTTTCCATAGGTAAATTTGTTCCAAAATAGGTTTGTAAATTGAGACAGTTTAAGTAACTGTTCATTAATAGTCTTCAAAGATATAACTTCAAAAGACAAAACTAAGAAAATTAGTTTGTTTAGAATATCCTTATACAAGTTTGAATATTACCCAAAAAAGAAGCGGACATCTGGATATTATTTTCCTTAAGTAAATTGTATTCTTAGTTTAAAATATTTTTAGATATCTACAACGTAAGAATTTAAATCCTCTCAGTCATTTTTCATTAGTTCTACAAAGTGCTGATTCTTACTTGTTTGTATTGCAAACAAATAGGCGTTATAAAAATTACAAAATATTTTAAGAGACTAAATTAAATTTAAACTATGCAGAAATATTCTCCGAGACCAGAAAAGATCTCCGATTTAGATACTAGCCTGTGTCATTGTGACACTATTAATTTGTCATTTGTTATTTCAGTATTACATTTTAAGCTTAGTAATCTTCCCTTGTGCATTTTAAATTTCAGCTGTTATTTTTTTTTACTCTCTCAGACTCTTAATGCCTCAGATTTTATTTTTCCAGCAATATTGCATGGATACGATTTGGAAAACTGCAACATTTATGAAATTAGGTATAAAATTTTCAACTGAACTGTATTGTTTTAATCTTTTGAGTTTTTTGTTAGTGTGATAATGATACAATCAAATAAAGCACTCAAATGACTAGGAATTAGCCTTTACTTTTAAATCATTCCATTTTATTGTGTGCTAGTGATTGAACGTTTTATTTGTATCTCAGAATGTGTGTGGATACTGCATTATTTAATTGATATGTGTTGGAAAAAGTATGGGCGGATAACTCTCTGAATGAATTGTTGTAAATGTAATTAAATCTTATTTCAAAAATATTTATGTTTCTAATGCAAAAAATAAAGTAAAAACCAATATAAAATGTGTTATTTTAGATTTTGTCTTGCTTACAACTAATGTCGCAGATGCTAATCCAGGTGATGATGAAATAAGCTATTTGTATAAAGCTTTATATTTGAGAAGGTAAAAGACATGAATACTTAAAATCTTTAATACAGATGCCTGTATATGTTCTGAAGTTTTCGTCTGGTATAAGTCAGTTGTCAGGATTCAGAGACTGCTTAAACTTATTTCATGGATATTGATAATGTTTTAAAGTTTATGTGATACCTGTAGTAAAATCTTGATCTTAGACTTTCAACATAATATTCAATCATGATCAGTAAAGCGAGTGAGACATTAATCGTGTGCTTACTATTGGTTACTATGGATGTGAGTTGTAATATTGGAAAAAGAATTAATACAAGGGAAGTAATAGTAGTGATTATGTTCAACTTGTATTTCTTTATTACATAAAAGGAAATAGTTGTTCATTGAAGCAAGTGAACATCTACAAGTTATTTTACACATTCTCACAATCAGCAATGGCCATTACTTTCTGAAAATAAGATTAACAGATCCTTATAACTGGGTGAAACTGTTCCATGGAAACAAAAGATGAAAGAACACTCAAGATTTAATTCCAAAATTCAGATTTTTCAGATCTCATCAAGATTTACAAGAGTGCACACGCTGAAATGTCTCGCCTGCTTTACTGACCATGCATTGGTTTTATGCTGATAGTCCTAAATATAAAGCTTTACTTCAAGTATCACATAAACTTAACATGATCCAAGAAAATTAGGACAAGGTCAGATAAACCAAACTGGAAATACATGTACACCTTACAATCACCATATATAATTGACCTATTGCTTATAGTTTCTAAGAAACAAACTTAACCATGAAAACTTAACATTGACCAATGAACCATGAAAATGAGGTCAAGGTCAGATGATACCTGCCAGACAAACATATACACCTTACAATCATTCCATACACCAAATATAGTTGACCTATTGCTTAAAGTTTAAGAAAAACAGACCAAAACACAAAAACTTAACACTGAGCAATGAACCATGAAACGAGGTCAAGGTCACACATTGTTGTCAATATATTGGAATTTTATGTGACTGTCATACAAGTGAGAGGTTTAGCTAGCTATAAACCCGGTTTAATCTACCATTTTCTACTTTAGGAAATGCCTGTACCAAGTCAGGAATATATAGTTGTTTTCCATTCGTTTGTTGTGTTTGAGCTTTTGATTTTGCCATTTGATAAGGGACTTTCCGATTTGAATTTTCCTTGGAGTTCGGTATTTTTGTTATTTTACTTTTTTCAAATAAAAGCTGCCAGACTGACATGTACATCGTAAAATATTTCAATACATCAAATATAGTTAACCTAATTAACATTACAAAAAATCTTAACTTTTTTTTTAAGTAGTCACTGAACCATGAAAATGAGGTCAAGGACAATGGACATATCCCAGACGAAATTAATTGTTGACCTTTACTTTTGTACTGCCTACTTGAGTCCTAGTCAAACTTCAAGCAGTTGTTGCCTACTGCATGATGTGTCACGATTTTAATGTAAAGTCACAGCTAATACATGTATTGAAAGTATACCTTCTTATGTTTCTAGACAATAGTTCTTTCTCAGGACAAGCACATTTAATATGTTTGAGAGTACCAAGCCCTCCATCTTACCAGACACTGTGGTAAAAAAGATCATGCAATATATACCTGGTATTGGTCTTGTTTTGGGAGCAGATGGGTATTTGTTTTTGGTGTCCTCTGTTATTTTTAGGAAGTCTTGATCCTTTTTGTGTATTAAGAAAAGTGAAATGACATGAAATATCACTTAAACTGAGGTACAAATAAGACTTAACCAAAAGTAAGCTGTCACTGTCAGAAAAAAAACCCACTGAATTTCATTCCCTTTATGTATTTATAATATATTATATTATTTACATTTCTTGAGGAACAAATTTACGTTGACATCACCTCTATGTGTTCAATAAAACACAAAGTTTCTAAGCTGTATGCAGAATTTATCCAAACCCATGAACACAAGTGCCCAAAAAATACCATTTCTCCATAATAAATAAAATTTTACACAAGAATAAATGGATCTACAGTACTAGGTAGTCAGTAATATTTAATGTAATTAATCAATAATGTTTCTTGTCTGAGAGTCCATTAATGTCCCAGGTACATCTCCATTCTTGAGGTCCTAATAAGACAGGATCTGTCAACCATCCACTGTCATGTAAATCTGCTCTAAACCTGTCTATAACAGATAGAGTGTAGTGGTATGACTGATGTGCTGTTGACCCACAATCACCTGAAAAATTTGAAAAATTGTGTTTCACAGCCTTGAACAATGCACTTGAATAGACAGTGAAATGATTGCATATTGTTAATTTCACAGTAAAATGTTTACCACAGACATACAAAATTTAGACACAAACAAAATGTATGGTATATTGTGGACAAGGCATGCAACTACATGTTTTCATATTATCTTTTACCTAAATGCTAAAGTGTGTACAATCTAACAGTCAGCCTCATATTCTAACAAATAATAAGTACAAGATATCAAACTAACTATGTTTATAATGGAGGAATAAAAAAACAAAATATAAGAGGACTTTGTTTCTTTATTGTCCTCTTATATTTTGTTTTCTTATTTCTTTGTTATTCCATTATAAACATAGTTAGTTTGATATCTTGTACTTATTATCCAACAAGTCAGGAGTAACGAATAACAAAAATAATGCACATGAACAGAAAACACTAAAACTTAAATTTGTGTATTAGGAATTCCCATTAAAACCCAGAATGAAATCAAGAGTTCTGGAAGGTTAGACTCATCCTTGTTTTCATGCTACTTTCACAGAGGTATATTTGCCGACAATTTGTAATCAAGATAGTGTGCATGATTAGATTAATCTGACTGATAGTTAATTAAAATTGAGAATGGAAACGAGGAATGTGTCAAAGAGACAACAACCCAACCAAAGAGCAGAAAACAGCCCAAGGCCACCAATGGGTCTTCAACACCGCGAGAATATCTCGAACCCGGAGGCGAGCTTCAGCTGGTCCCTAAATAAAAATGTGTACTACTTCAGCTAGTTGTCTCTTCTGGTCACATAGGTACAACAAGTAAAACATTAATGTATTGTGTATCATATAGAAGTTGTGTAATTGAATTAATTGTAGTAGTAATCAACTCCTTTACTTCAAATCAACAACTTTTACACTGAAGGTTGTAGTTCTACTTATTTCCTTCATTTCATGTTTTATAAAAGCTGAGAACATTTACATTATAAACTTACCATTTCTTAAAGCTTCTGCAATCGAATCAATATTTTTCTGTGGAGTTTGCTGAAAATATTACAAATAACATAAAAATAATCTGACTCTTGTATAAATATTTCCAGCTGTAAAATACTTTGGGAATTATCAAACTCAAAAAGATTCTACTGTGTATAAACAGAATACCATAAAAGTCATCCATTTTGATTCTCAGCAATTTGTAAAGTTTTTCTAAAGGAAATACAGAAAAGTGAACATTTTATTCTGATAAAAAGAAGTATAATATTTCCATCAAATAGCATCCTTCAGTCTGAACATTTGCACACATATAACATATACTTAAATTAAAATGTACATTACAAAAAGGAAAGACAGCATTGTCAAAACACGACAAATGACATTGAAAAAAAATACTATTTATATTTTTACGCAAAATGTGATGCTATCCAAAATTTCTGGGGAAAACACTGCTTCAGATGTGCACAAGACTTTCTTTAGTCTGTCAGATATCAGTATTTATATTTTTGAACTTTGCCTTACATAATTGCTTCCAACTATACTTGCTTAGAATGCAAATCTACAAAAAACTGCCAAAATATTATTTTGAAAGCCAGTTATTTATATTTGTATTTGCTTTACCGAAAACAATATTTTGATAGAAATCAATATGCAAAGAAGTTGATGTTGAAAAAATATCTTTCTGGGTAAGGCCTTTGCTCAGATTCATTTTGCCAAAAACTACATGTTACATGGCAATTGTTGGTCAAAATGTCAATTGCAGCATGTTTATGACATCACATTGATATCAAAACTTACATTTCTGTTCAAAAGTGGCCAAATTATATTATCTTATTCATTTATAGATAAAACTAGCACAGTTCGGAAAGGATAGAATTTTACTATTTTTTGCAATTTCAAGGGCAAAATTGTGACTCATCATAAACCACCAACATTGATATCTTAATTATGCTTGCAGAAAGCTAATAAAACAAGAATTCTAAATGGTTAATTTGAAGCCATCACTTCAAAGTTTTACAGTCACCATCATGATTAAACCATTACTGAATATCTGTATCATAAAAAACAACAGATATGACCTATCTGTCATCGTCTCAATAATTTTTTTCCATTCCTGGTTTAAAGAATTTTAACCTGATTTTTATATTAAAGAAATGTTTGAAATTCTTTTTACAGAGAATTTATTTCAAAGACAATATTAGAACTCAAACTTACGTTAGGTAAATATAACATTTCATAAATATAATTTATAATTTCTGCCTGTAAACAGCTTTGCATCTGATTTTCTATCGTACTTGATTGAGAAAGTACTATGTTGATACAACCTACAATAAACATCATGCAATAAATGTACTGAGAACAGTGCAAACAAAATTAGGATACAATGCCTTTATTCATGGGGTCCAAAACTATACATAACACAAAGGACTTTGAAATGATCACCTTCTAATGCAGAAACTATAGATTCACATGACCTGTGGTGCTTGCATAGCAGGAGATGCTAACCCTGTCAACACCTGGCCTTGATCCTTTAAACATTTAAAGTTACAGGCTACTAAAATAAAGCAATCGTCAAGGTACAACCACTTAATATAGTCATGACTTTGTTCTTGTGTGATCATGACGTATATCATTATTCAACAACAAAATCAAAACAGTCAAAATATAGAGCCACCATTCTCTTCTTATAGCTTTTATTGTTGTGGGTTTGTATTTGGTAGTTTACCTTTTATATTTGGATGTTGTACACTTTTGACCATTTCTTAATTTCTATACGACCCCAAAAAATTTTGCTGTCGTATAATGGTATGACATTGTTGTCGTCCAAAGACATTTGGTTCCCAGACAATAACTTGAGCATTAGTGTAAAGATCTCTATAAAATTGTAACACAAGGTTCAATACCACAAAAGGAAGGTTGGGATTGATTTTGGGGGTTATTGTCCTAACTGTTTGGGAATTAGGGGCCAAAAACAAGCATTTTTCTTGTTTCAGGACAATAACTTGTGTATAAATGTATGGATCTCTATGAAATTGTACCACAAGGTTCCATATCTCAAAATGAAGGTTCGGTTTGATTTAGGGGGTTATGGCCCAAACTGTTTAGGAATTTGGGGCCAAAAAATACTCAATTTATTGTTTGGAAACCAGAAAATCCTGTTTTTTGGCCCCTAATTCCTAAAGGATTTGGGCCCAAAAAGGGGCCAAAAACATAGAATTTTCTGGTTTCCAGACACTAAATTGAGTATAAGTCTATGAATCTCTATGAAATAGTACCACAAGGTTCCATACAAAAAAAAAAGGTTGCAATTGATTTTGGGGGTGATGGCCCTAACGGTTTAAGAAAAATGGTCCAAAACTAATATTTTTCTAATACTTTGTATAAATTGCTTATTTCTTTACCAATTTCAATGGGGTTTAATTCAAAGTCTTGGGGTTCTTTAATATGCTGAATCTAACCATGTATTTAAATTTTGGACCCTGTTTTTAAATTGGTCATCACTGAGGTCGAAAGGGTCTAAAATCAAACTTTGTTTGGTTTTAATAAAAAATTGAATTATTGGGGTTCTTTGATATGCCAAATCTACCCATGTATTTAGATTTTTAATTTTGGGGCCTGTTTTCAAATTGTCCACATTATAGTCCAAAGGGTCCAAAATTAAACTTTGTTTGATTTCAACAAAAATTTAATAGTTGGGGTTCTTTGATATGCTAACTGTGTATTTAAATTTTTGAATTTGGGTCCAGTTTTCAAATTGGTCCACATTAAGGTCCAAAGGGTCCAAAATTTAAATAAGTTTGATTTTAACAAAAATTGAATTCACGGGTTTTATAGTATTACTAAATAGTAACTAGATTCATGGTTAAAAATAGATACAGCATCAAATTCTAATTTTAGAGAAGAAATTATATATAAATACAGTTGAAATTTACTGTTCATCATCAGATATTTTGAAAAATAATTCAACGTAAGATTAATAGATGATTGTTTTTATGATGAATGATATTTTGGAAATTGTTTTCATTTTTTGTAAAATTTTCTAAAAATTATGTAAAAAAGTCCAATTTCAATTTTTTCAGTTCTTTAACCACATTCACTCTGTATCAGAAACCTTTGCTGTGTCAAATATTTAATCACAATACAAATTTAGAGCTGTATCAAGCTTGAATGTAGTGTCAATACCAACTGTTCAGGGTTTCGACCTCTCCTGTTGTATCGAGCTTAGCCCCATGGAGCATTTTATTGTATTTTGTTTTTGTAACTACTTTGCAACATTTATTTTGTAAACATACAGATTACTTACTATTCTTTAGATCTAACATAAGTAAGTACTGACTGTCTCTGTATATATGTAACATACTTTGTAGATCTTTGGAACTGTAAGAAAACAAAATATAGATTATTTAAATTCAGAGACATTACCAATCGTAGTTTACTTCGTAAATTGCTGATTGTATTTTGAACAGTAAATGTGGTAAATAAACTTTTATTTATTTGAAAAGTATACAATAATGGAAATATTTCTTCAACATATAACAAAATTAAAATATTGGAATTTTACATCAATAATTTATTTATGCTAACAATACTGAGTGAGTACAGGTTACCATCAGAATTTCAGTTTCTCTCAAATAATTTTAAACAGGAACTCTTTGGGGCAATATTCTTTTAACATAATTTTCTAAAATCAAGGATGTCATCAAGTAATGATGTCATGTACCCACACATGTATCTTCCCACAGAGCGTATAATTTATAGACAATTCTGCATTTTCCCATCTAAATCGGATCAAACAAAATAGACTTTTAACAAATGAAGTTAAAATATTTGTTGGAAAAAATCAGCAGTCTGCTGGGTTTACAAAATGCTTCCTTTATTGAACAAAACAGCAGGTGATGTTACTGGTAACTAACAGTAACTGGTCCTCGACCAGTAGAAACTAAAAGCCATAGTTCTCTATTTTCTTTCAAGCCAGTAAAGCAGTATAAAGCTACATATAATTCGATATAAAAACTGACATACCTCTTACAAACAGAACTAACTGATGAACCTAAATATATCTGTAATTTGCGTCTCGTTTCTAAAAAAGAAATTGTGAGGAACTTAAACTCTTAAACTAATATATAGACATTTTAAATAGAGGTTTTTTTGTTTTTGTTTTATCTTTTATGACAGACTGAATTTTTAATTGCATTTATTCTCTTAACTATTCTCAAATAAAAAAAAAAACATTTGTTTGGAACCAGCTGACAGACAGACAGATGAACAAGGTCATGACTACATGCTCCTGAAATTTTAAAGTAAAATAAATGTGATGATATCAAGGGAATCACATCAAACATACTTATTCACAGCTTTTTAAACTCTGGACAACTTAGAACTGGACATTTTGTGTAGACATCTGTCTATTGTTGCCTTGTGCACATTATTAGTATATTCGGGTTGCTGTCTCATATGTGTATACCCAACATCTACTTTTATTCATAAGTTTGTCAAGTACTTTTTTTCCAAACCTACTCCATATAACTGGTTCTTTACAATTCACTGCCTTTGGTTGAGATATTATTCCTGTCTTCATGTAATCTTTTATGATGATATTCAGTCGCGCTTGATTAAGAGTTTCCATGACAACACAGGTAACAGCACGATAATTTGCAAACAGATGTAAACAAGTAAATATCACAAATAAACTCCAAATTATCCTGAAAATATACACAAGATTCAATTATGTTGAAACATGTGACATCAAAATTGCAAGGTTTTTTACATTTAATGTTTCATGGGTAAGTCCTCAAGCACCTGTCAATTTTAGACAAAGATTATTGATCTATGCCTTTGGCATCCATTGAATTTTAACTTGAAAAAGAAAAATATCATTGTGAGGAATAAGAATCTGCTAAATCATGTTATAGGTCTGATCAAATGTGTACCATGTATGTTTAACAATAATATTTTGAACTCAAACAAATCAAAATATTTGTTATTCCAAGTATAACATTAAAAGCTTTAATGGTAAGCAAACTGTGATCTGAAATTGTCAGATCTTTTTTATATATTACCTGTGCTCTAGATTGAATCTCTGAACAGAAAAGTTTTAACTAACAGAAAGGAAACTCATGCAGTAATTTAAATTTCTAATAGTAAATGCATTACAATTAGATGGATGGATAAATGTCTATTTAAGGTCCAGTGGCAAATTAAATGCATATTCAGGACAAGAACATGATAATGTGATATGAACATAAATTCTGCTTTGTACCAGGCTGACACGCTGAGCTGGACATTCAACGTGCTAGTTCACAAGATAACAAGACATAGGAAGACATGTCACCCTACCCTACCCAGACACATTATTCTGACTCCAAGTCAACCAGTCTTTGCTCTTATCCCTAAAGGTAAGCGGTGAGGCAGCAAATACCAATTTTCAAGTCTTTCGTTTGACCCGGAAAGGGTTGGAACCTATGACCTCCTGCACTACCACAAGAGCACAGAGGCAGCTCAATACAATTAGAAGATAAAAGTCTATTATTAAGATGTTAAGCAAAATCAACCAAACCAACCAATCAATCAATCAGTAAATCAATCTGGTCATCAAAACATAACCTTTTTACAATGATGATACTTACATAGGTTTACCGGTCACAATGGGGATCAATAAAAAGTTAATGATTAATCCTGCCAAGTTCACCAAAGTTTCCTGTAAGAACAAAAGTTCACTTTAATATCATGTTGACATCTCTGTACAAGAAATACTATTAAACAACAATATTAATACTGGAAAATCATATTCTATATCCATTTCACAAAATCTTCTATTAAACTGGCTTTATACATTTAGTCTTAACACAGTATGGGTGCCTGTTATCCTCAAATACCTTACTTCCATGCAAACTGTTGGTTGTTTTCAGTTTTACGGTCATGCAGGTAGAAACAGCTTCAACCAATGTAAGAAGTTTTGTTATTTGTGGAATATTGACTGCATGTATTGAGTCGAAAATTGGTGATAAAAGGCAGGAATGATTTGTGCAAAAGGAAATGTATTAGTTTTTTTTTCTTTTGTACCTATGGCTGATGCCTACAAAAGTAAGAAATAATGTCAGTGAATGTCTCTTTGCTTAAGTCTATTTTAAATTTGGTGAAGATGTTAGATCTTTGGTTATAAAGTAACCTCTAAATGTCAATTTTTACGAACTCCTGCTTACTGACATTTTCTCAATGTCTGTTCTTTTTTTCAGAACTATTATAAACTGAAAAAAATTGATACACTGTAAATGTTATACTTTTGTATTTCATAAGGAGGAGTCAACAAAAAATTATGATTACCACAGGAGAAAGCAGAAAAACTACCAATGTTTAATGAGCAAAATGGTGAACATGAACAGGATTAAAAGAAATAACCAAGGACCTAATAATAGTTACCTGACTTCCATCTTTAGCAGAGACATCAGCCATGTTGTTTCTTCTTGCTTGATGTTGTGTCAAGGCTGCTCTAGTGGCTCCACCTGCAACACCTACTATTGACTAGAAAAATGCAAATTGTTTTAAGATAATTTCATTTACCTTGCACAAATAAAACATGCATGAGAGAGGGTAGAGCACTCACAGACATATTGAACTTGCCAAATTTTTTAGGTGCCAATGCCAAGACAGTAGTCTGTAGTCCAGTGGTTATTGTCGGTTGCTTGGTGTCATAAATATTTTTTTCATCTTTTGTTGTAGTACTAATTAGGAAGTTGATTTACTCTTTTGGATTTCTTTTAAAGCTTACTCTACGGTACATGGGTTTGCTCGTTGTGGAAGGCCATAGGATAACCCATTATGTTTCGCGTCTTTGTCCTTTGGTCTGTTATGGATAGTTGTCTCATTAACTATCATATCACATCTTATTTTCAAATTAAACAAAAAAACATGTACCCTGTACCAATACTGCTTGTAACAGAACTGAACAACAAAGAACAATTAAATGCATATCTTAATATAGTGTACACTTATATTTCTTGCAATGTAATAATGCAAATACAGGTTCACAAAAGAATATGTGTCCTTATCGCACTGCAGGTAAAATATGACGTCGTGATTGGTTTAATGCCGTCACATGGTGACCCCTATGGATCCTTAGGGTGTTAGTAAATTTCATAGGGTGTTCATGACGTTACGTCTACTGTTAATGGTGACTTCCTCTATTGGTGTTGTTGTATTTCATTGTTTATTGTTCTACAAAACGCAGCAGAAAAAGTACTGCATGCGATAAATTCATTATATGGTTCACTACTGACCCTCTATGGATCCATAGGGGGTCAGTAGCTAATCATATAACTTATATTATCGCACCGCGGGTAAATTATAGGGTTAGTAAGTTTCATAGGGGGTTCATGACGTCACATCTACTATTAATGGTGACGTCATCTATTGATTTTGTTGTTTTTCATTGTTTCTTTTTCTACAAAACGCTGCATGAAAAGTCCTGTGTGCGATAAATTCGTTATAGGGTTCACTACGGACCCCTTACGGACCATAGAGGGTGAGTAAAATACATAGATTCGGCCTTCGGCCTCATCCCCTATGGATTTTAATAACCCTCTTTGGATCCGTAGGGGGTCAGTAGCGAACCATATAACTTATAATAGCATGTCATGCCCAGCGCACACTGTCAAATTTACATGTTCAGTGAACCACTTAATCTGTGTCAAAATCCTTATTTGGCATATATTTTATATATCATAATGAACAAGCATGTGACTACAACTTTATGGTATACTACTTTATCCAAAACTTAAGGCTGTTATGAGACAGAAGGTCCAATGTACAAATAAACAGATACACAGACAGGAAAACATAATGACGACCTACTATAATCGGAAAATCATAGTGCTTGTGAGCTCTGAAGGGTAAAGATTGCTTTAAATTTGTAATTTTGTGAATTTAAAATAAAAGATTGGATTGTATTTAGCTAGGCAAATTGATTTGGAGTCAACTTCCTTTGTTTGTAATTGTACATTTGTAGTTGAACCTATTTTTATCACAGATTCATATGTGTAAATCTTAATAAAGAAAATGTTTCTTGAACCAGTATGGTAATTCTTTATAATATACACATCATATTGTAACTTGAATATCCAAGTATAAAGTATCATTAAAAAATTGTTTGACATAATGGCTGGATAGGATCTAAAGAATGATCACTTCACTGCACTATTTTGTTTGAACTATCAAAGGAAGATTTAGATATCAAGTCAGTTCCATAGGATTTTGATTGCATTGCATGCAATCTATCCTGTTTCTATTATGAGCAAACGATCAAGTTCAAATTACTGTTTATGTTACAGTTAATTTTGGGGTTCTCTTTGTCATTCAGGTCCATGCAATGTCTATTTCCATGAAAATAAGAAAGTGATTGATAGAACTTTAATATTAAGTTTCTTCCTGGCTTTTTGGTGGGGTTTGTGTTACTCAGTCTTTAGTTTTCTATGTAGTAGTTTTATGAACTGTTGTTTGTCATTTTTCTTTGCCCATGGTGTTGACCGTTTTCATAGACTTACAGTTTTTGAATGCGCCTTTTTTGCAGAAAAAAAAAAAATACAAGTGCATACATATTTCGGACAACTTGACGTCTGGTATTTCAAAGTTCCTTGCAAAGGGGGACAAAAATATTGAGAAATAAAAAGGGTTGCTGGGAATTTTTTTTAATGCATAAAGTGAGGGGGGCTACAAATTATTAAGGAAAACTTGAAAACACCAGAAGCTACTGTGGATTCATTTATTTTCATTGGTATCAATTTTCGTTGGTTGACGAAATCTTGCATTTTCGTGGATATTTAATTTTGTTGTTTTGCTTAAAGTCTGCATTCAACACAGTAGAAAACTTGTAATTCATTGAACATTTGAATTTCGTGGTTCACCTGAACCCACGAAATCAACGAAAATTGGTATCCCACGAACAATACTGAATCCACAGTAACTTACTTTAATAAATATTTTTACAAGCACAGTAATTCCGAGTTTTTCAACACCACTATACTTTTGTGCCTGTTGATCTTGTGAGGATGGAAAAAAAATAAAGAAAAATTTCATTTCCTTCAATAGCATATATTAAAGCTAGAAATTAGTGTATATAGATGTGAATGTTATCTACTGCATAAGCCATTGATTAAAGCTTTCATTCAAACTAAGAATACATCTAAGGTTGTATAGACCTTACCTTGCAAACACCTGCTGTGCAAACAATAGGTGTAAATAGCCATGGAAAACTTGGTGCTAAAATTTCCATAAATATCGCCAGATCATTGAGGATATCAGCAAACAACCTAAAGCATAATGGTTCAATCAATATACTGTACTATGACACACATTGTTTATGTTTGGTAGGACTAATATTTTGCTTTAATAAGCCTTATGTTAAGGACTTTTTATAAATGACTTTTCATGCATTAATTCAGTCAACTTTATTTCAATTTGGTTCAATGCTGTCAAGGGGTAAATACACTAGTGCTCTTTAGAGCCTGTATCAATCAACTGGAACTATACATAAAATTAACAATTGGGGCTCCCCAAAATTGATCAAATTGCACAATCAGAATCAAGAAATCCTTGTTGGACCATATGTTGTTTGTCCAGGGGGAATAACAAGAGGAATTTTAATGAAGGACCATCTTTAATTTATAAAAGGTCTCCAAAACATTACTCCTATGCAGTTTTTAAAAAAAAATTCCTATCAGGACAAAGAAATGACTCAAGCAGCTAAATTTTTGTTGTATAAGAACACATTGAGAAATTCTTTAAAATGGACCTTCCATAAATCATTCATTCCAAGTTTGGTTTAAATAAAACAACATACTAGGGAAGTTTCAGAAGAGAAGAAATATGGGATTTCAATGCCAGCCTATGTGGCATTGTTACTGTCTTATATGCCAATTTATTTAGTACTAAATGCCAATTTTTTTTAGAGGGTCCAACATCATTTTACCTATGAAGTTAATAACCATGTAATGTAAGTGTGAGCAGAGAAGAAATTTAGAATTAACCAATTAGAATCAATAGTTGCATTTGGTTGTTATGTTTTTCATTTGTTCTGAATGTATGAAATTTTCTTATAAAAAAAATCCTCATCAGGCCTGTAGCCAGGAATTTTCATAAAGTTGAATGGGAATCCATGTCATTTTGTCCATGTTAACCAACCAATCAGCTCAAAATAGGGATCTTCATAAAGGACCTCCCTTTAAAGTCATCAGTCCTAAATGATTTCAGAGGAGAAGAAATTGTGGAATGGTAAACTAAAATTAATAATTGTTATTGGCTTCCAGATTTTTTCCTCATGAAAACAAAATTTGAATTTTTATAAGGAATCTTTCATATCCTTTTCCTCCCATATTTGGTTCAAAGAAGTCTTGTAGTTTCAGTTGAGATGGTAAAAATGTGTGAGATATGAACGCAGACAGTAAATAAAACTTTAAATAAAAGAAGAATGTGTCTGAGGACACGAATGCCCCTGCTCAAGCTTTGCAATTTTCCAAGTTAAAAAGGGACATAACTTTAGAACGGTAAATGACTCACAACCCAAATTGGAACACTGTCTGAGTGTTGTGGTTCTTAGCATTGTGTCCGAGATTCATAAAATTTTGATGATACAAACTTGTTAGAGTGCAGAAATGAAAATATTTGCAATTTTCCAAGTTATAAAGGGACATAACTCTAGAACCGTGACTCATTGTCCAAAGTCGATCCCTGTCTGAGTTTTGGTTCTTAGCATTGTGTACGAGTTTCATTAAATTTGGATGAGGAAAACTTAAGTTAGAGTGCAGAAAATGGGATGGACGGAAAGACGAAAAGTCAAGGGTAACACTTAATGCTCCTGCTGCCTAGAACACAACTGCTTATAATAGCTCAAACTGGTCTATTTAAATTCACTGTTTTTGAAACCTTCAACAAGCATCTTTAGGTCCTCACTTTTAATGTTATATAATTGTACCTTCATGTCGAATCATTACTACAAGTATAACAATTCTGATGCATTTAATATTTTTTCTTCTTCATAAGTTTTTGAATAGATTATTTAATTATTTGAAAAACATTCACTAACCTCCATCTTTTTGCATCACAGTCTAAACTTGTTCTGAAAATAAAGTAATCAGATGATAATATTATGATTTTTTCATCACAAATATTTTTAGAAGAAAAACATTCTAAAAAGGGTTCTACGATTTTTTCAGCAATCTAAAATTAACTTTGAGTGATAACATGACCTTTAACAATAATGGCCTTGTCAAGGTCACACATTACTTTATATCTTCTGTATAGTCCTGACAATTCTACTTTCTATGTTACTATACATTATCATACAGTACTGAGTCCCCCTCCCTCACATTAGTAATAAACAGAATGCTTCCCAGTATACCTATTTATCTAATTAATAAACGACAGTAATAATACCTACCCTTGTATCCATGCAAACATAATCCTTCCAAGCATACCAGTACCATCTGAAATAAATTAAAAATGAAAAATAATGTTAGTTATGACTCACTACAGGTAGTTATAATTCATATAAAAATAATTGAAAATTCATGGATAAATCACACAGATAATACACATCAGGAATCCCGATCCTAAATCTGCGGAGGGATTCGAATCCTGAGGAGCAATTAATGAAAAGTTTGTAACTATGGGGAGGTTAAATCTGTATCCCATTCCCACGGAGCATAATTCCTGTCAAATTAACTTTTTTCAGTTGAAACATGTAATGAGAAGTTAATATCAAATTTAAGTCATTTGATTAAAACCTGAATGAGTTACTTTAGAATCTACTTGTAACTCTTTTTAAGACAATCAATTCTATCTATTATTGCATAGAGCTTATAATCTGACCTCAGCACTGTTAATAAAATTCACCTACAGGTACTATTTAGTTAGTTGTAACCTATTTATTAAACAAAAATAACTTAATTAAACTGAAATGTTACAGAAATGCTGTATAAATAAAACATGTCATCAATGAAACCGAACTGAATGCTGACTAGCCATACCTCAATGTAATGGAATATGATCCTCACTTCTTGTTTCATTCATATCTTAATTTAAGTACTATTGAATTACAGTACTATATGTCTAGAAATTAGAATTTTTTAGAATCCACATCTGATTAACCAACTTACTGAAAGTTTCTAATAGATACAATTGGCCTTGCCACCAGATCTCAAGTAATTCATTTGTCGTTACATTTCAAACAAAAATTACTTTATTAAATAATATTAATTATAATAGCCATTTTATTTACAAAACCTTCCCCTTAATCTAGAAAAAAAACTCAGATATTTAAATTATATAAATATGATAATACAAATGGTAAATATTCCAGCAAGAGTGTTACAAGGGAAGTAACTCTGATCAATAACTTATCTATGCCATTGCTTATATCTATTTTTAAACTTTTGTGTAGTACATTACAAATTTAAACCCTTTCTTGATCTTTTAATCCTCCTGTACATCTAAATAATTTGCACTGTTTCTGTTTTTGTTCATTCGACTTGTAAACATAAATTTCAAATATCAAATATGTCCCCAATGTTCAACTATTTTTTCAATAGAAAAATAAGTAACAAAAATCTGCAGTCTCTAGCTCTCTACACATCCTGTAGTTAATGACTAAAAAAAACTGTAAGATCCACATCTAATTGAAAATACAAAAATAACAAGTCTCATATTGTCATATCTTAAAGATAAAGTTAAATTGTAATGGAGAATACCGGTAATTGGTTATGATGGCAGACCTTTGATAGTTTGTGTTTAATTGATTCACAACTGATATAATTTGTTTAGACAAATAATTTTGTCTATTGTTTAACTCAGACTAAATCAGAAATGGGTGGGTTTTTGTTGGTTATTTCTGTCATTCTGTTGCTGTCTCATCTATGTATATCCTACATCTCCTTTCACTAATATTTGATTAGTAGAAGATTTGTGAATCATTCAGAGACACAAAACTAAAATATTTTTTTTTTAAATTCATGGAATTTAATTCTAAGGCATACAAAATACAAGTGATATTTTCCCATTATGATGTTATTAAAATGAGATGTTTCTAGTGCAATCGATCTTGGCTAAGGGAGCTACCATTTGATTTTTATGGGGAGCTAGGATGAAATCTGAAAAAAAGGGCAGGACAGGAGTTTTGAATAAAAAAAAAAGAGGCAGATTGAGCAACTTTGCTAAAAAAAAAAGGCAGGATGACAATTTATGTAAAAAAGTCAGGATAAACTAATAAAAAAAAAGGCAGGACCGAATAGAGTGAAAAATAAAATGGCAGGACAGAGATTACAACTTAAAAAAAAATGCAGGACAAAATTTTTCATCCTAAGTAACCAACTCCTACACCTACTTTTAAGTAACCAAGTTATAGTAGCAGCCAGTACTGTGGCAGACTCATCACCAACTCCTACACCTTTTAGTACAGCCTGGTGAGCAAGGGTTCCAGTTATACTGCTACAAAATGCCTGGGAAAAAAATGATACCGGTAGACAAGTTTTGTAATATTATAATGAATGGGCTAGGATCTAGATTTAAGTCTAAATTTAAATCCAAAATTTAATGGATGTACTGTAAATAATTTGTTTGTATCACAACATCATGTAATGGGACCTAACATTATCGAAAATAATTTTTTCAACACAAATAAAATACAGAATATCATGGCTTTTTAAATATCACATCTGTATCAACCCGAGACAACAATATAATCCAGAGAGTTCTGCTTGAGGGAATATATTGGTTCAAGGCTGATACAGTGTGAAAAAGCAATATCATACACACTTTATTATGTGAGTAAAACAAAGTTTTCTAGAGGTTTTTGAAGGAGACACATGTGCAATCGTGACTGATATTGTTATTGTCGTGGATCATGTGAATGGCTAATAAAGAACAATTGCCATTGATTTTATTCACTCTTGTTCTTGGTCCTCAGAAATTTTCAATAACATATTAATTTTTCAACAAAAAATAAAAACAAAAACCAAATATTATTGTAGTAAATAAACTATTTTGTAAGACATTTCGGCTACTGGTCTTCTTCAGTTTCTTTATTATCCTTCTAACAAGGATTTAATTCAAAAACCAAAAAAAACAAAAAAAACCTATGTACAAGCTATAGCCATGTGCAGAGAGTTAAATGAGCCCCAATGACCTCAAGCCTTGAAATTATTGAGAGGTGTAGAAGTTTTTTAAGAAGATCTTAGTTATCTTTGGGATGTTGAGTTTCACTCTCCTTAATGTCTTGTCTAGTAAAAGAGGGTCGTAAGATCGCAAATGGATCCTTAAACTCATAAGTCAAGTACAAACTGACAGCACCATGGCAATAAAACAAAAACAACCAACAGACAAACAACACCCTACAATAACATAACATAGAAAAACACGAACCCCACCAAATACCAGGTAATCTCAGGTATTCCAGAAGGGTAAGGATCCTGCTCCACATGTGGCACCTGTCATGTTGCTCATCTAATTACAAATTCAATGATAAATATTTGTGTCTTTCAAAGATAGACATGATATGTCACTCGTTCTCCAAATGATATAAGTAGATTTGGTTATGTCCATGCTTTGGTTTTGGAAACAAAAAAATAACTCAGATCAAAAATAACAATAGCAGGTGCACAACTTCATGTCCTGAAGAATAATGATGTGCAAGTTTGGTTAAATTCTGGCATGCTGTTTTCAAGGAGTATATTTATATAAACAGTAAGGCAGACAACATGGATAATGACTGCACAAGATGACACTCACTACAGATGGACACAGTCAGACATCACAATAACTAACCTGTATAGTATCCCAAATCTGGTATGTAACATAATCAGAGCTTACACTTTCTGGATAGCCTTGGGGTAGAAAAACAGACTGAAAATATACAACTAAAATAATCAACATCACAAAATTAAAAAAAAATATTAGCATAACAACAAACTAACCCCTGGTTACATACACTTTTTCGTATAACATGTACATGTATAAAGCAACATAAAAAAATAAACTTTCATTGCATTCATTGAGGAGACGGGCTGAGGAAGATTTTGAAAATGAATGATTTGGTCTACCAGACTGGTAAGAACTGAAAATAAATAACTTTAAACAAAACAGGATGAATGAATATTCTACAACCACAGGCACTAATGTCTCTGAAAAAAAAACCTATATACTTTAATCTGTATACTTCAATCTGTATCTGTCTGTATGAATACGTTGTGGATACCAATACTGACTTTAATACAATGGTAGAGAGAGCGCTGACGATTTATTGACAGTGCACGAGAGCAGTTTTGAGGCTCTCAATGTGCGTGCAATACAGGGTCTTCAAGGTGGTTCCACTCGATCACTGTTTTTACGAAAAATGAGTTAGAATATTGTGGTGTTTTGCTCGTTGGAATCTCAAAACACTTTGTGTTGTTCTTGGCTGGCAAATTTCTTGGCAGTAATTGTTCTTTTTGGACGTGCTTTTATTAAATATTCGTCTAGTTCTATAGCAGGAACCAGCCCCTCAACCACCTTGTACAGAAATAGTATATAGCTTCTGGCTTGAGCGTCTTGTCTGTAGATCTTGTAGTTCCAGTTTGAAGAGCATATTTGAAACACAACCATGATCTTTAATATATTAAGATATGTAGGGGGGGGGGGGGGGGAATTCTGAGACAAATGCCTGTGTCTTCAACACAAAAATTTAATGCAGGAAACAATTGTGTACAAAAGTGTATACTTTGAAGCAGCAAAGTCGCAGAAAAAAATAAGAATGCATAGAAAAATGAAAATGAATATGCAATCTGGAAAAAAAACCTTCTACTGGTTTAATACAGTTATCTTATCCTATCATCTTTGACAGAACTTTCCTCCCCCTTTTTTATTGTAATTTGTACAACTACAAACACACACACCCGAAAAAAATGTGAAACTGATGTAAATTTTGGTGACAGGTCAACTGACTTTACACTTCCACTTCTTTCTAGAATGTATTTCTTTTTAACATTTGATGAACCATAAACCTCTTGACACACAACTATGTCCTGATTCATTCTGTTTTCAAAACAAATACACGTGTGAAGACTGGTTTCAAATACTCGACACTGATAACGTTTGCTCAAGGTATAAACTACATATTAGATACCAGTACATTGGTTTCCGGTTTTTAGAATAGTACAAACAAACAAACCAAGAACACAAAGTGTTGATGATCTTTGACTTGTTTGACATAAGTACAGTGAATAATTATTAGTGAGCAAATACTACAGTTCTGTCGTATTCCTATTCTTTTCCTTATACTATATCTTGCTCAAAACTTGAGGGGAAGAACCAGGAGATAGTCACCTACATTGTACCTAGCTTCTCCCACCCCTTTCTTACTTTCTCCTACCACTCTTCTCTATTCTACCACCCGAAAAATATATCTCCCTATGAAAAAAGTTAAAAATAAAGTTTTATATAAAACAAGCATTCTGAGAGTATTGAATGGCAATACATAGTCCCTTACCGGTTAAAAAATCATTATACTGGAACAAAATGCTAACTAGGTCTATATATATATATATAACTTGTCATGGTGATAATTATATAACAAATATGAAGTCAATATCTTCAAGCATGATGAAAAAAAGTGTGAAAAACTGATTATTTAAGTGAATTTTCTATGTCCAAGGGACCATAACTTTGCACAAAATCAGACTAGAACAAAATTTGAACTTGATCTGTAACTTGTCATGATAAAACTATATTTGACGAAAAAAAGTGAGGAAAACTGATTATTTGAGTGAATTTTCAAAGTCCAAGGACCATAACTCTGCACAAAATCATCAGACCGGAACAAAATTCGAAATTGATCTGTAACTTGTCATGATAAAACTATATACCAATTTCAAATCAATATCTTCAAGCATGACAAAAAAAGTGCAGAAAACTGATTATTTGAGTGAATTTTCTAAGTTCTAGGACCATAACTCTGCACAAAATCATCAGACCGGAACAAAATTGAGTTGACTCCTTATTGGTGTTATTGCCCATTAATGATGATTTTTACCAATGTTTTGCATTTTTTGCCTAATTTCTTAAGAATTAATAGATATAATAAACTTTAAAAGCAAAAATGATCAGCAATACAAGATCTACAATTAAGTCTACTAAATGGCAATAATTATCAGTCAATTCTTTATTGGAGTTATTGCCCTTTAATGATGATTTTTACCAATGTTTTGTGTTTTTTCCTATTATCTTGAAAACTATAAAAGATGGATAGATGCTTAAAAATAGCGAAAAAGATCACGAAGAGTAAGACAAGATCTACAAAATCAGTAAAATTTTGCCAAAATTGTTACTTCATAGTAGTTTTTGGCTTATAATGAAAATATTTTACCCTTTATTCGTATTTTAGGCAAAAACTAAACCAGATAGAGAGAATTTGTAAAAAAAAAAAAAATCAGCAATATGAGATAAACAAAAAAGAGATTTTTTTCATGAATTATATTCTAGTCTACAATGTTGGAGATTGTCCATTGTTCATGTTGTTGAAAATGCACATAGACCTAGGTGAGTGACACAGGCTCTTTGGAGCCTCTAGTTTTTGTTTCCCCATTTCTCCTTAAAAGGCTTTGATATATATATATCCTTGTTCTCCTTGTTGACTGAGGTCGGAATAACAGAAAAAAGTGTCATCAGTGATTGTTTTTGTTCAGATTAAAATGTTTTTTGTTTTATTTTTTTCATTTTTAGAATTTAGTGTTGATGAACAATGATGAAATTTCTTTGATAGTATCTGTTTACCAGTAATTTATTTACAAATTTTATAAACTCGGGATAATTTAGAGCTTGACCTATTTATTATTATTATGTTGCCTTGGTCATTTATATCATTGTTTTCTATCACATTAATAGACAACCCTCATCTTTCATTCATATGGTTTATTTCCTTACACCAGTTCTGAACCGGCTTGGTTGGAGTATTGTATAGTATATGTATGCTTGACAATATTAAAACCTTATAAAATTGTCCATGTCTATACTCAACTATACAGGTTCTTCTTGTTCAGATGCCTTTGCTTGAATTAATACATAAGGGTCATACCAACTTCAAACCACACAGCGGAAACATGTTTGGCACCTTGAAATTTTATATTCATTCTTATAACATTGTTGATTGCATTTTCAATTCTACATTTACAGTAAAAGTCATAAAGCTGTTTAATGGTATGAGTGCAGTGTTGATGTCAGTGGTGATTGGAGTTATTGGACTTGTTTTATTCTACATCACAGAAAAGGTCATCCAGTTCCTAAAATGGCACAGAAAAATGAAGAAAATATTGTCTCATTTCCCTGGACCAAAGCCTCATTGGTTCTTTGGTAATGCTTTGCAGGTACACTTTTAAATACATAAACACTATACACTGTTATAGTCAGTTTGTGTTTGCATGAACTGTATTGTAGAAATAAATCCCTTTGCATGAACTGTATTGTAGAATTAATTCCCTTTGCATGAACTGTATTGTAGAATTAATTCCCTTTGCATGAACTGTATTGTAGAATTAATTCCCTTTGCATGAACTGTATTGTAGAATTAATTCCCTTTGCATGAACTGTATTGTAGAATTAATTCCCTTTGCATGAACTGTATTGTAGAATTAATTCCCTTTGCATAAACTGTATTGTAGAATTAATTCCCTTTGCATGAACTGTATTGTAGAATTAATTCCCTTTGCATTTGAAATGTATGAAATTGTATGTGATTTCTAACATTAAAATCAAATCAAATAATTTTATTGGTGTAAATTCCAATACAGGAATGATACCATCTGACATTTTCAAAATACAAGAATAAACACAAAAAAAAACAGACAAATATACAAAGACATATTTTCTCAATGATAAGAGACACATATTTTAAATCTACATTGCGTGTAGGTACGTATTATTCATACTATGTTTATCAAGCTATTACAATTAACGTTGATACTACAACAGTTCTTAACAACATTATGTTTGCTTTAAATAAATATTCTTATCATACATATGGCTTATTCCAGCTACACATACAGTACATATCGCTTATTCCTGCTACACACATACAGTACATATGTCAGTATCATTACTTTTTAAAATGAAACTAAATTTATCTTGTTCAGACATATTAACAAAAGATGGGATTATATCACTTAAATTACAAAAGAGTATATATCTATTAAATTTTAAAGCTTTACATTTAATGAAGAAATGGAATTCATCTTCAATTCCATCCTTGCTGAGTAGACAAATTCTCTGTTCTAAAGATGTTCTTGTATATCTACCAACTTCTATTAGTAATTTGCTATTACTAAATCTAATTTTTAACATTTTTAGAATTAACATTTTTGTTAAGGTCTAGTAGGAGATAGTTTTTTAATTCAAATTATTTTTAACTTTGCGATACATTCTTAGTTTTTTACCATGACTATCTTTATTAGAGTCACAAAAAAGAGCTTGCTTCCAGGATTTTATGAATTCCTCTTCTAATTTCTTTTGAAATGAAAAAAGTAATTTTGTCTTCGACATGGTATTTTGGTTTTCCCAAACATGCTGAAAACCAAGTTTATATAATAACACTTTATTTTACTACAAAAACCATTAGACAGGTTTAAGTTTTCACTGTATGCTTTCTTTACCATACTGTCACTATTCATATTAATAATATGAAGCCAGAAATTAATTGTATTTTTAAGGGCTGACAATGAAATTGGAAACGAACCTAATTTAGAAATTTGATTTTAATCTTATTTGGAATAAAGTTTGACACAATGGTAGTATTTTATTTGACTAAACTAACAGTAGCCCAAACTTCACTGCTATATAGTAAAATACGTTTCACACATGAAACCTATTTTTACTATTAAATGAGGGGGTTTACAGAGTAGAGAATAATGGGCAAGATGTGCAAAATAAAGGGCAAAAAAAAAATGAAGAATAGAGAAAAATAGGCAAAAAAATAAAGAATAAAGAATAATGGGGTGCTTAAATATAAAGAATAGAGAATAGCAGGCTAAATTTATAAAGAATAGAGAAAAATGGCCTAAAAAATTAAAGAATACAGAAATGGAGAACCTCCAATCTAGACCCTCTTAAAGGATTTTTAAGATAAATTTGAAGTTGTGGTTTTTCCATGTTTATTTCATGTTATTGTATAAATAAAATCGAATACATTATATGAAATTTTTTTTTAAAAAAATGATGCATAAACATAGCAGATTCAATACATCTTTATTTTCTGATATATTTAATGAAATCTTCTATCATACATAAAGTAATAATTATTTTTATATATATAATATAAAGTTGAAATTTAAAGGAAGATGAACCATTTAATTTCTCCCTTCAGATTGGAACTTTCCATGATTTTGTGACTAGAATGCATAAAGAATATGTAGAACACTTGCGTACCAAAGGTTATAGTTTCTGGGTGTTTACAGTGCAGCCTGTAATATTTCTGACACACCCAGACACTATCAAAGTGATTATGAAGTCTAATGCACCAAAAGCTAAGGGTAACATAGGATATAGCTTCATGATTCCATGGATTGGTGAGTAAATCATGTGTCTAAAGTTAAAAGTACAATTATGTACAGAGATAATTTTATATCCAATCCTGATGATAATAAACAAATATCTGAAATCTACAGCATCCTGCCAAAAATGGAAGAAAAATTTGAAATTGTAAAAGATGGTGTTTTAGTAGGTTCTTACATTGGTAAATAGGATCCCAAGCTAAAATAGTTTTTTCCTAAATTTTGACAAATGTAAATTAAATTAACTTTACAGAAGAAACCTTAGACACATGTTAATGTAGACAATACAAAGAAACCTTAGACATGTTAATGTAGACAATACAAAGAAACCTTAGACACATGTTAATGTAGACAATACAAAGAAACCTTAGACATGTTAATGTAGACAATACAAAGAAACCTTAGACACATGTTAATGTAGACAATACAAAGATTCTGCTTGTAATTGCAATAAAAAAATTTCCACAGTTTTGCAAATTCAAGGTTATTATGTACATATCTTTGACATATTCTGATACCAGCTTATTTACTAAAAGGTTTTGCTATTATAGAACATACACAGTTATATCAACTAGGATTTGTGTTTTTTTGATTGATGTTATTCTCTTTCTATTACTGGTTATTTTATAGGAAAATCGCTAAACTTGATTTTTTTCTCCACCAGGTGATAGCTTACTTGTGACACATGGATCAAAATGGGAGAGGAACAGAAGACTACTGACACCAGCATTCCACTTCAGTGTATTGAATGGTTACTTCAAAATTTATAACAACGTGGCAGATACGTTGCTGGTAGGAAATAATCTCATTAGTAGACGCATAATGAATTCTATGTTACATGTACTGCACACAATTTTATTAAACACAAAACATGAAAATTTGATAAAATATATAAAAAGGATAACAGGAATCACCAAAAATATTGGACAGTACAACAGACCACGCAACCATGAACAATCTTCTCCTCAACTACTTATCGCAACAATTTATTGTTGAGGTAATTTGAATGATGCCAATACTTTATGAATTCATTAGATTTTATTCACAGAAAATGTTTTTTTATTGATCATGTGTATCAATATAAGATTTAGATACCATAGAATTAACTCATTATGAAATAACTAAAGTTGTGATAAAAATTGAAAAATCTATGAAAAACATGCAGAATAACATTTATAACTAAACCAATATTTTTTAGGAGAAATTTTCTAATGGTAGTAAAAGTGGAAAGTATATAGAAGTATATCAGGCCTCAGCTTTAGCTGTGTTAGACTCTCTATTGCAGTGTTCATTATCATACAAAGGAAATATACAATCAGTTGGGTGAGTTTTCATCTAATAGGCATATAACACTGTGCCCTTCTGTATCGTATGTTATTGTCTGTTTTTTACTGTTTTCACAAAATCATACCGGTAATGGATTTTATTATCTCCTGTTATAATTTATATAAGAAATGAAGAGATGTGGGGTAAACGTAGATGAGACAGTTTTCTGATGAACTGCAAAATGTGTGTTCTTTATGTTGTGTCATCAGGGATGGTCACTTAATAAAAAATCCATTAATCTAAAGAATGGCATGGAAAATTTAACGTTTTAATTTAATGTTAACAAATGGAAAGATGACAACATACAATTGATTATAAAAACTAAATAAAACCAGGAAGATATTACAACAGTTTAGTATTGCTTCTGTAATTTGCAAAAATAAGACCAAATTTGAATCTCAATCATTAAGTCATAAGTGTTTTTCATTTATTTGCGAAAGCTACTCCAGTCCACCCATTTACAAAAACTGACTGCCATGGAATGAACAGTTATTTAGAAATGATATTTTTGATGAGGGCTATTCCATTAAAATGAATGTGGGAGGGTAGGAAGGGAAGTTTAATTATTGAATGTAGGTCAGGGGTCTTTTTTCAGTATGCGTCTATTACCATTATGCAAAAATATCTGAAAAATGGTTCTTGGTTGTAGGGATATTTTGAAAGTCCCTTCCTACCCTCCCAAATATATTTTAATGGAATAGCCCTGACCATTTCAAACAAAAACAAAATAAACGAATGATGTTTTGCTTTTTTTTCCAATTAAACACTTTGTTTGAATTTACTTCAGTACAAATAAACACATAGTACCCTCTGTTTTGTATTATATGTTCCTTTAACTTTTGTTATTTTTTCAGTGAAAGTCATCCATATGTAAAAGCTGTGAAGAGACTTGTAGAATTAGTGATGGCTAGAAATCTGTAAGTTTATAGTGACTGTTCTCATATGAGTAAATAGGGGCCTTTGTGGTCAAGTGGTCTAAGTAGTCAAACTACTTTATCACTAGCCTGTCAACACTGAGATTGTGAGTTTTAATCCCACACGTGGAAGGTGTTCTCGACTCCAATAATCTGAATTGACTTAGCTTGGATTGCCGGTTTTTCTTGCTGAAGTGCTGTGGTTCTCAACAGACATTCCGGCTTCCTCCACCAATAAAAACTGACTGCCACAAAATAGAACAATAGTGCTGCTAGTGGTGTTTAAACACCAATCAATCAATCATATGTGTACAGTTTGATGGTTCATCGTGTCATCTGCTACTACTTTTCAAACTGCTTATGATTAACTAGAGGACTATACGTGATCTTCATTAAGATGTTTCAAATTGTATCATCACTGATTTTAGGGTGGAGAAGGGAACAGGGGGTCAAAAGGATAACATAGGCTTCGGAGTGAGTGTATGATTTCAAAGGGTTATGCATATCTTATATTGAACTCTTATTTGAGAACTCAGCATAAATTAAACAATCATGAGTATAATCTTAAAAAATTCTCTGAAACTGACATCAAGATGCTTGATTTCTTGATTGACAATATATTTGTTACGTTTGGAGGACATGTTTTTCAACAGACTGTCGGAATTCCAATGGGAACCAATTGTGCCCCTCTTCTTGCCGACTTGTTTCTTTATTATTATGAGGCTGACTTCATACAGGAACTTCTTAGAAAGAAAGATAAGAAGTTAGCAATATCCTTTAACTTTACGTTCCGCTATATAGATGATGTTCTCTCACTAAATAATACAAAATTTGGTGACTTTGTTGAACGAATCTATCCCATCGAACTAGAGATAAAGGATACTGCAGATACAGTTAAGTCTGCCTCATATCTTGACTTACATCTAGAAATTGACAATGAGGGGTGGTTGAAAACAAAACTTTACGACAAAAGAGATGATTTCAGCTTCCCAATTGTGAACTTTCCATTACTATGTAGCAACATTCCAGCAGCGCCTGCATACGAAGTATATATCTCCCAATTGATACGATATTCCCAGGCTTGTATTTCCTATCATGATTTCCTTGAAAGAGGATTGCTGCTCACAAGGAAGCTATTAAACCAAGAGTTCCAAATGGTGAAGTTGAAATCATCCCTTCGTAAATTTTACTGACGCCATCACGAGTTGGTTGACCGTTATGGAATAACCATTTCACAGATGATATCGGATATGTTCCTTATGTAGTAACTACAATACCCTTCCCTTTTCATGAATGTGACCTACCGAATTAGACTATTTACCGGATTGGTAATAACATAAGCAACACGACGGGTGCCACATGTGGAGCAGGATCTGCGTACCCTTCCAGAGCACCTGAGATCACCACCAGATTTTGGTGGGGTTCGTGTTGCTTAGTCTTTAGTTTTCTATGTTGTGTCATCTGTACTATTATTTGTCTGTTTGTCTTTTTATTTTTTATTCAAACTGAAATGTTATTAAAATTACCCTATCTTTCTAGGAATTTACTGTTTTATCCTGAATGGCTGTATAGATTATCTCCCAGTGGTAAAGAATTTTTCCACTTGTGTGATTATGTTCATCAGTTTGCTGAAGATATTATTGAAAAGAGGAAGCAAGAATTGGTAGGGAAAAATGAAATTATGATAATAAGAAACAACAGTTGATAAATTTTCAGTGTTGTAAGCAAGGTATTTCTGTTAGATGCTTTAATTTGTTACTTTTAAAATGTTATGATCAGTCATGCTTTATAGTCTTTGAAAAAATTTAAACTCTTGTAGTGTAAGGTTCAGGGATGGATTAAGGCAGGATTGTGGTGGGTAAACTTTCAATTGCAATGTGTTTACTTTTGCAAAAACTGCGACAACATCAGGTGTGCAATAATAAAAACCTGCATTCATAATTTCAGTACCGTAGTAATTTACCTTCGTAAAATTTTGAAATTGCATTTATAAGAGTTTTCATTTTTGTCATAGGTCAAGAATTCGCAATTATAAACACAATCTCTTGTGGAGAGTTGTCTCATTGACAATCATACCACATCTTCTTATTTTTATACACACATTAATTTCTGAATTTACAGTATTATATACAGTGTGGTACTGACATATTTAATATAATAATGACAGTATATTTTGAAAGATTTTTTAAAGTTAATAATTTGAATTGGTTTTTTTTGACAGATGAACAAAGTCAGTATCAACAAGAAAAGACAAATGGATTTTCTGGACATTTTATTGACAGCTAAAGATGATAATGGAAAAGGATTGACAGATGAGGAAATAAGAAGTGAAGTCGACACATTTATGTTTGCTGGTAAGATTTGATAAATTGACAGAAAAAGTTAAAAGATCCTAGGAACTTGTAAACTCATGTCTAAGCCAGCTGAAAACTCCTTTAAATTTTCATTTTCATATGAGATTAACCATTTAAAATCTGAAAACAATTAAACCTTAGTTGCAGCTATACAATTCATCCAACACAATGAACATAAAAATGTACTTTTCTATGATGATATTAAAGGATTGTCAGCAAAAAAAGAACAACTAATGAGCAGAAGTAACTATCATTTTTTAAAGCTAGACGAAAAATTCTGATGTCATCAGGTAAAGGGACTCTCTCATCTTATTGTCCCAAGCCCCCAAACTTATTTACATTTTCATCTTTTACTTTGTTAATATACAAATTTATTTTATTGGAAATTAAAGATCTTTTTACAGCAATAAAGACACCTTTCTACTTTAGTTTTTGATAACTTTTGGTTAGGTAACATTAAATAAACTCTTTGAGTCATGTTTAAGTTTTACAAACTTAATTTGGATAGCACAAAACACAACAAAAGTACAATTTGAAATCCATTTTTTTACATTAACGTAACGTAGGTGTACTGGTTTAATTCCCCTTCCTTTTTAACCTTTCCTTGCATTAGGTTTTTATTAATGCGAATAATGCGACTACATTAGTATCGCAATAATAGCAATAACAAGAACTCGCATTCTGATATCAAATACATATATCTTTATGTTGTTTTTCCTAAAATCGCAATAATTAAACTCTCATTTTTGTTAATTTTTCAAAAATCGCAATAATAAATGCATGCAATAATTTCTTAATTTACAGTATTATAATTAATTGTAGGTCATGAAACTACAGCAAGTGTTTTGAGTTGGAGTATATATGCTCTTGGTAAATATAAACATATACAGGACAAGGTTTATACAGAGGTCAAAAAGGTCATTGGGGACAAACAGCATATAGATGGGCAAGTAGAGTATACACAGGTACAGGTAATAAGAAGTGTCTGAAATTTTCATGAAATATAAGGTGTTTTAAATTTTGTTTTACACAACTTCAGGCCCAATTACTTTTATAATATTCACCAGTTTTTAATTTAAAGTAAGCGCAATCAAACAGTAGCATTAGTAATAGATAAACAGAGTGATCATCCTGTAGATGCTCTGTGCAGGTTTATTGTATGTTTTAGTTGTACAACATATTGTCTAGATGGGCAAAAGGGGAAGCTTGTGAAAACACGAAACTGGTTTAACCCCAGTACATTTTGTGTCTTTACCAGGTCAGACTATCTGAACTTCTTTGATTTTGAGGCCACTTATATAACCAGTAATACATTTACTCTTTAGGTTATTTTAATTTCTCTTATATATTCTTGGTTTTAAGTGGTCAATTTAATTCATATTGTTATCTAACTTAAAATGAAAGCTGGTGAATCACAAATTTGTCTGATGAAACAGGTGGATTACACACCTTAAAAAATTTGGAGGCAGAAATTTCATTGGCTGATGAAATAATGAACAGAACAGAAATTAAAACAGAGTGACTCAGATCCTTGTAAGCCAAGCGTGGACACAGGATCTGTATTTTTTAAATAAGATTGGAAATCTCGTTGACAGTAAGGAAAACACTTCCAATAATAAAGATAAATTGTAGTTGATTTTTAACCTTTGATAAAGATCTGACAGTGTTTACAATCCTGTAAAATTATGTCTGCATTTATAATTGGATATTATAATTTCAGTGATGATATATCTGAGATGAAGTACCTGTCTTGTTTCCTAAAGGAAGTGATGAGACATTATACTCCAGTTCCTCTTATAGCCAGGACACTGGAGAAACCCACTGTAGTCAATGGAGTAGAACTTCCAGAGGGAATACTCACAATTCTAGGAATTCATAGTGGCCATCACCATCCAGATGTATGGGAAGATCCTTGGGTATGTACAATAAATATTGATGATTTAAGGAGACTCATTAGGGTATCTTCACACAGATGTTTTGGATGATCTATTGGTAGGTACAATGAAATAAGCAATTAAAGGAGAGCAGATGCCATCAGTACCCAGGTTTATGGGATGCTCCATGGGTAAGTAGAAAAAATAGGGAAATTTAAGGAAGATCCAATGATAATCACCACTCAAATGTGTTGAAGGAGCCTTTGGTATAGCAAGAAAAAATAGACTATAATGAACAGACTCAATAGCCATTACCACTCATATTTGTGGAATGATTAATGGTTTGGTGCAATAAATAAGAATTCCAGAAGACAAGGTAGCCTCCAGATTTGATGAAAAGTGAAAGAGTAAGTAGGAGGAATAATGAGGATTCTAGGGATATATAGCAGGCACTATATTGGTATAGTGTGTAAGGTATTTGTAAATCCTTAAAAAAATTCCAATCAAGGACTACAATGGTTTCATATGAATGTCCAATTCATTGGTATTTTTTCCTTGGGTATATAAAGACATTTCATGTTCGATGTAACAATATGCACACTTTTGTAGCTTTATGAATTGCCCTCAAAAAAGCAATTAGCATTGTAATATAAAAATAAGAAGATGTGGTATGATTGCAAATGAGACAACTATCCACCAAAATTCAAATGAAGTGGATGTAAGCAATTATAGGCAACTGTACGGCCTTCAACAATGAGAAAAACCAATACCATATGATTGGCTATAAAAGACCCCAACATGAAAAATATGAAACAAAGTTTGCTTAAGGGTCTACCATTTTAGGGGTAAACAGTGACCATTTTCACACTTGGTTTGGTCTGAGGAGTAAAAAATAAAGTTAAAACATAAAATAAAATTTATGATCTTTTATATCAGATTTATTAAATTTAAGATTTTCTCTCATATATGTTACCAATGAAATATCGATTAAAGCTATGTATAAGTTAGGGTTTTGAATTTTTTTTTAAGTGAAACCCAAATCTTTTGAAAATTTGAAATTGATAACTGTACTGCAGTGCCATATTTGTTATCAAGTTCTACTTATAATTTTGAAGGTATTTAAACCTGAGAGATTTGAAGGCAGTATACAACGTGACATGGATCCTTACAGTTTTACTCCATTCTCTGCTGGACCAAGGTATGACTAATGGAATCAGAGCATTTTAACTAGAAATATATTTACTGCTTATTATTTTAATCTTTGAAAAGTTTTTTTTTTAAAAAGGAAAAGGTTAAATGCAACAAACACATTTTTGTAATTTCATGAAATCATAAAACTAGATTCAGGATGTATGTCAATGAGACAGCCACCCAAGAAGACAAAGAACCAAAAGTTCAACATTCTTCATGAATTTAGGTTTACTTTCTTCTTTCATACTTATAAAAGACTTCTGATTTTTAAAATCAGAAAATTCATACATTTTCATCTGGTGTATTGCATTATCAGCTGTCTTTACTCAAGAAAATGTAGGTGTGAATGTTGACTATATATAATACTTAATGTACTTATCATTTTTATTGATATATATTATGCCTTGCGAATTATTGCATTTTTTATATAGCCCATCGTGTACATTTTCAATATAATTTAATCTTCAAAACCTCAACTTTGCTCATTAAAATTTAGGATCAGGTAATTATATGTTTAACAGCTTTATTTTGTAAGGAATTGTTTCAACAAAGTTGTTTTATATATTTTGGTAGAAACTGTATTGGACAGTCATTTGCACAAAGTGAAGAGAAAGTTCTTATAGCCAGAATTATCAACAGGTATATATAGGATATTTCAAAGGAAATTTTAAAAGATGTGGGGTATATGACATTGAGACTCAAACATCAAACCATTGACACAAATAGTCAAAATACATGTAGAGGGCAAATTAACAGTTTTCTGTAATTATAATGTGTTGAGAAAAATGTTTAATAATTAAATAGAAACTGTCAAAGATCTTTCATCAATACCAAATTCTCCAAGTAACAATTTTTTTTCAAATATGACATAAAACAACCACTAGTAAGATTGATGCTTTAGGACAGACTTCAATACTTCATCAATATTTATTGGAAAGCAATTTTCATGATTTTAATGGTTTTAGGGGGTAGTTCAAAACCACAAGCTCAAATTTTTGTTGATTCAGAAATACGAATTTGTAGTTACTGTCATAGCAGCAAATGACACAACTACAAATTTGGTACCCACCAAATAGAATTTTGCTCTCCAACCAGAAACATCTACTGGGGTTTACCAACAAAAATAAATGAATCCACAGTAGATGATTAAGAAACAGTTTTCACTTGGAGTTCTGATTCATGCTGCTAGCATCTTTAATACCCAATTTACTGATACAAACATCACATGTTCACAGAGTAATAGCTGTTAATGATCAAAAGAATTTTTCAATTTTGCTTATGTGGGATATTCATCAATGAAATATCTATCTAATGACCACGATACCCAAGAAAAGACATCTAGAGATCAAAAATATGTTTTCTTTTAACAATACACAAGTGTTTTTGGACTATACCAAGATGAATATAGCTCTTGGTTTAGGAAAGTTGTGAAAGAGCTGGACGAAAAGGCAATATTAATTTTTAGTGTAGTTTAATTTGTTTTTTCGAAAGATAAACATCGAAATTATGTTAAGTAATGCAAACAGTTTAATAGGGAATAGTATGTATGTACTGTAAATATTAAACTTAGATTAGAGACTATTCGTTTTTGTAAGCAGCCAAATGGATTATGGATAAAATGATATTGGTATAACATTGTCATCGAAACTTGAAGTCCCAAACCTTTAAATTTTATATTGCAACAAGAACCTAGGAATCTATTTTAATCAAAATGTGATAATGAGTAGAGTGAAGATTTTCTTTAGAAACTGATCCTTGCTTAAATCAGAAACCGGTATGATCTCTTACACTAGGGCTTTCACTTACAATTCCGAAGTTATCTATTTCCTGAAAAATTAAGATGGTATAGCTTATCACATTAAATACAAGTTTGCAGACAAGATGAGAGGAAATATACATATGAAATTATGCATTGAAATAATTCCTTACTCGTTTCAGATTTGAAATTTTGTTGGATCCTGACCATAAGGTAGAGCCTTTCATTGAATTTGTAATGAGAGCTAAAAATGGAATAATGGTCAGTTTTAAAGACAGGAGTTGATATATATTTAAGATAGAAATTGAAGAAAATTCCATAGAAATGCAGTCTTTGATTTATGACTGATTCAGAAGAAATTCCCTATAAGCTGAATTGATGTTTTAAACATTTGTTGTCTCAGGGTATTTGTGATACTTTTTATACAATTATTTATAAATAAAATTAATTATATTACATATTTTTTTTTGTATTTGCATTTCTGTTATTCTAAATCATTTGATGCAAGTTTTTTTCTCCCCCGGTCAAAGATCTTTCTTATGAAATTTTGGTTTTTGATGCTCTTCATCTTTGCAATAATTTGGCTTTCACACTGTTTTATTTGAGTACCACTGAGGAGTCTTGTGTTGTGTTATTTGAGTACCACTGAGGAGTCTTATATTGAGTTATTTGAGTACCACTGATGAGTCTCATGTTAAGTTATTTGAGTACCACTGATGAGTCTCATGTTGAGTTATTTGAGTACCACTGATGAGTCTCATGTTAAGTTATTTGAGTACCACTGATGAGTCTCATGTTAAGTTATTTGAGTACCACTGATGAGTCTCATGTTGTGTTATTTGAGTACCACTGATAAGTCTCATGTTGAGTTATTTGAGTACCACTGATGTCAGAGTCTTATGTTGAGTTATTTGAGTACCACTGATGAGTCTCATGTTGAGTTATTTGAGTACCACTGATGAGTTTTGTGTTGTGTAATTTGAGTACCACTGATGAGTCTCATGTTGAGTTATTTGAGTACCACTGATGAGTCTCATATTGAGTTATTTAAGTACCACTGGTGAGTCTCATGTTGTGTTATTTGAGTACCACTGATGAGTCTTTATGTTGAGTTATTTGAGTACCACTGATGAGTCTCATGTTGAGTTATTTGAGTACCACTGATGAGTCTTGTGTTGAGTTATTTGAGTACCACTGAGGAGTCTTGTGTTGTGTTATTTGAGTACCACTGAGGAGTCTTATATTGAGTTATTTGAGTATCACTGATGAGTCTCGTGTTAAGATATTTGAGTACCACTGATGTCAGTCTTATGTTGAGTTATGTGAGTACCACTGATGAGTCTCATGTTGAGTTATTTGAGTACCACTGATGAGTTTTGTGTTGTGTTATTTGAGTACCACTGATGAGTCTCATGTTGAGTTATTTGAGTACCACTGATGAGTCTCATGTTGAGTTATTTGAGTACCACTGGTGAGTCTCATGTTGTGTTATTTGAGTACCACTGATGAGTCTTGTGTTGAGTTATTTGAGTACCACTGATGAGTCTTGTGTTGTGTTATTTAAGTACCAATGAGGAGTCTTATATTGAGTTATTTGAGTACCACTGATGAGTCTCATGTTGAGTTATTTGAGTACCACTGATGAGTCTTGTGTTGAGTTATTTGAGTACCACTGAGGAGTCTTGTGTTGTGTTATTTGAGTACCACTGAGGAGTCTTATATTGAGTTATTTGAGTATCACTGATGAGTCTCATGTTAAGATATTTGAGTACCACTGATGTCAGTCTTATGTTGAGTTATGTGAGTACCACTGATGAGTCTCATGTTGAGTTATTTGAGTACCACTGATGAGTTTTGTGTTGTGTATTTGAATACCACTGATGAGTCTCATGTTGAGTTATTTGAGTACCACTAATGAGTCTGATGTTGAGTTATTTGAGTACCACTGGTGAGTCTCGTGTTGTGTTATTTGAGTACCACTGATGAGTCTTGTGTTGTGTTATTTGAGTACCACTGATGAGTTTTGTATTGTGTTATTTGATTACCACTGATGAGTGTTATGTTGTGTTATTTGAGTAACACTGATCACTCTTATGTTGTGTTATTTGAGTACCACTGATCACTCTTATGTTGAGTTATTTGAGTACCACTGATGAGTCTTATGTTGTGTTATTTGAGTACCACTGATGAGTCTTGTGTTGAGTTATTTGAGTACCACTGATGAGTTTTGTGTTGTGTTATTTGAGTACCACTGATGAGTCTTATGTTGTGTCATTTGAGTACCACGGATGAGTCTTGTGTTGTGTTATTTGAGTACCACTGATGAGTCTTATGTTGTGTTATTTAATACCACTGATTAGTCTTGTGTTGAGTTATTTGAGTACCACTGATGAGTTTTGTGTTGTGTTATTTGAGTACCACTGATGAGTCTTGTGTTGTGTTATTTGAGTACCACTGATGAGTTTTGTGTTGTATTATTTGAGTACTACTGATGAATCTTTTGTTGTGTTATTTGAGTACCACTGATGAGTCTGATGTTGAGGTATTTGAGTACCACTGATGAGTTTTGTGTTGTGTTATTTGAGTACCACTGATGAGTTTTGTGTTGTGTTATTTGAGTACCACTGATGAGTTTTGTGTTGTGTTATTTGAGTACCACTGATGAGTCTCAAGTTGAGTTATTTGAGTACCACTGATGAGTTTTGTGTTGTGTTATTTGAGTACCACTGATGAGTCTTGTGTTAAGTTATTAGAGTACCACTGATGAGTCTTGTGTTGAGTTATTTGAGTACCACTGATGAATCTTGTGTTGTGTTATTTGAGTACCACTGATGAGTCTCATGTTGAGTTATTTGAGTACCACTGATGAGTTTTGTGTTGTGTTATTTGAGTACCACTGATGAGTCTCATGTTGAGTTATTTGAGTACCACTGATGAGTTTTGTGTTGTGTTATTTGAGTACCACTGATGAGTTTTGTGTTGAGCTATTTGAGTACCACTGATGAGTCTCATGTTGAGTTATTTGAGTACCACTGATGAGTCTCATGTTGAGCTATTTGAGTACCACTGATGAGTTTTGTGTTGTGTTATTTGAGTACCACTGATGAGTCTCATGTTGAGTTATTTGAGTACCACTGATGAGTCTCATATTGAGTTATTTAAGTACCACTGGTGAGTCTCATGTTGTGTTATTTGAGTACCACTGATGAGTTTTGTGTTGTGTTATTTGAGTACCACTGATGAGTCTCATGTTGAGTTATTTGAGTACCACTGATGAGTCTCATGTTGAGTTTTTTGAGTACCACTGATGAGTTTTGTGTTGTGTTATTTGAGTACCACTGATGAGTTTTGTGTTGAGCTATTTGAGTACCACTGATGAGTCTCATGTTGAGTTATTTGAGTACCACTGATGAGTCTCATGTTGAGCTATTTGAGTACCACTGATGAGTTTTGTGTTGTGTTATTTGAGTACCACTGATGAGTCTCATGTTGAGTTATTTGAGTACCACTGATGAGTCTCATATTGAGTTATTTAAGTACCACTGGTGAGTCTCATGTTGTGTTATTTGAGTACCACTGATGAGTTTTGTGTTGTGTTATTTGAGTACCACTGATGAGTCTCATGTTGAGTTATTTGAGTACCACTGATGAGTCTCATGTTGAGTTTTTTGAGTACCACTGGTGAGTTTCATGTTGTGTTATTTGAGTACCACTGATGAGTCTTGTGTTGAGTTATTTGAGTACCACTGATGAGTCTTGTGTTGAGTTATTTGAGTACCACTGATGAGTCTCATATTGAGTTATTTGAGTACCACTGGTGAGTCTCATGTTGTGTTATTTGAGTACCACTGATGAGTTTTGTGTTGTGTTATTTGAGTACCACTGATGAGTCTCATGTTGAGTTATTTGAGTACCACTGATGAGTCTCATGTTGAGTTTTTTGAGTACCACTGGTGAGTTTCATGTTGTGTTATTTGAGTACCACTGATGAGTCTTGTGTTGAGTTATTTGAGTACCACTGATGAGTCTTGTGTTGTGTTATTTGAGTACCACTGAGGAGTCTTATATTGAGTTATTTGAGTACCACTGATGAGTCTCATGTTAAGTTATTTGAGTACCACTGATGAGTCTCATGTTGAGTTATTTGAGTACCACTGATGAGTCTTGTGTTGAGTTATTTGAGTACCACTGAGGAGTCTTGTGTTGTGTTATTTGAGTACCACTGAGGAGTCTTATATTGAGTTATTTGAGTATCACTGATGAGTCTCATGTTAAGATATTTGAGTACCACTGATGTCAGTCTTATGTTGAGTTATGTGAGTACCACTGATGAGTCTCATGTTGAGTTATTTGAGTACCACTGATGAGTTTTGTGTTGTGTATTTGAGTACCACTGATGAGTCTCATGTTGAGTTATTTGAGTACCACTAATGAGTCTGATGTTGAGTTATTTGAGTACCACTGGTGAGTCTCGTGTTGTGTTATTTGAGTACCACTGATGAGTCTTGTGTTGTGTTATTTGAGTACCACTGATGAGTTTTGTGTTGTGTTATTTGAGTACCACTGATGAGTCTTGTGTTGAGTTATTTGAGTACCACTGATGAGTCTCATGTTGAGTTATTTGAGTACCACTGATGAGTTTTGTGTTGTGTTATTTGAGTACCACTGATGAGTCTCATGTTGAGTTATTTGAGTACCACTGATGAGTCTTATGTTGTGTGATTTGAGTACCACTGATGAGTCTTGTGTTGAGTTATTTGAGTACCACTGATGAGTTTTGTGTTGTGTTATTTGAGTACCACTGATGAGTTTTGTGTTGAGTTATTTGAGTACCACTGATGAGTTTTGTGTTGTGTTATTTGAGTACCACTGATGAGTCTTGTGTTGTGTTATTTGAGTACCACTGATGAGTCTTATGTTGTGTTATTTGAGTACCACTGATGAGTCTCATGTTGTGTTATTTGAGTACCACTGAGGAGTCTCATGTTGAGTTTTTTTAGTACCACTGATGAGTCTCATGTTGAGTTATTTGAGTACCACTGATGAGTCTCATGTTGAGTTATTTGACTACCACTGATGAGTTTTGTGTTGTGTTATTTGAGTACTACTGATGAGTCTTGTGTTGTGTTATTTGAGTACCACTGATGTCAGAGTCTCATGTTGAATTATTTGAGTACCACTGATGAGTTTTGTGTTGTGTTATTTGAGTACCACTGATGAATCTTGTGTTGTGTTATTTGAGTACCACTGATGAGTCTTGTGTTGTGTTATTTGAGTACCACTGATGAGTCTCATGTTGAGTTATTTGAGTACCACTGATGAGTTTTGTGTTGTGTTATTTGAGTACCACTGATGAGTTTTGTGTTGTGTTATTTGAGTACCACTGATGAATTTTGTGTTGTGTTATTTGAGTACCACTGATGAGTCTCATGTTGTGTTATTTGAGTACCACTGATGAGTTTTGTGTTGTGTTATTTGAGTACCACTGATGAGTCTTATGTTGTGTTATTTGAGTACCACTGAGGAGTCTTATGTTGTGTTATTTGAGTAGCACTGATGAGTCTCATGTTGTGTTATTTGAGTACCACTGATGAGTCTCATGTTGTGTTATTTGAGTACCACTGATGAGTCGTATGATGAGTTATTTGAGTACCACTGATGAGTCTTATGTTGAGATACCTTGTAAACAAGCACTATGAAATAATAAATAAAAAAGATCCAAGAAATTACCAAAAACATTTGACAGTACATATTGCAATATTGAAGTAAGTTAATTTGATTATCTCCTCTTTAACAAATGGGCCTGGAACATATTCTTTTAGGCACATATTCAGGTAGTGTTCATCAATTATGTAAAGTTTCATCAATAGTTGTCTAGCTGTTGCGCTAACAAGGCACATGGTCACACCCACAGGATGGTCCTATACAGATGGGGATCAAGGATTTTGAAAAGGAGGGGGCTCCCGTTTGGAGTGATACTTATAAAAAGTCTAAATTTATCATATGTGAAGCTCCATAAGGGTGCCAAGACACCCTCCCTTCCTAAATCCACCTCTGTCATATACCCCCAATAAACACTTTTATTACAGGGGGTATGAAAAGACATGATCCTGATAGTTTCGCTGGTACTAAGGTGTGGTTAAACCAGTTTTAAGTGTGATAAAAAAATCTGTCTTAAAATATGAAGAAAAGGTGATTTTAAGTATATGTCAGTGAGACCACAACCCAACGGCAGTCACTACATGTCATTATAGTAAAGTCAGAGAACTATTTCTATTCCATTTACATGTTATCATCCTGAATTTGCATAAATATATGTGTTGTTTAATATTAAGCAGACATCAATCAAACAATGGTTTTCAACGTACAGTTCAATATTTAGAACAAATTTGGTCACATAAACTCATTGACTGAAAATTGAAAAAAACAAAACATATCACTGCACATGCTGAACTGATCATGATTGAATTTATGTTTGAAGTCTTAGAGAAAAAAAGTTTTAAACAATAAGTAAGACATAAAATTAAAATTATTGATCCATGTAAATGCGATTAAGGTCAGATAAATCATGTCTAAAGGATATGTATGCCTTGAAATTATTTCATATACCAAATAAATAACCTATTGCTTATAGATTAATTGATTGTTGGTTAACGCCACTGTCAGCAATATCAGCTATATGGTGGTGACCAGCTTTTATATTTATGAGGAAGCCTGAGTGCCTAAAGAGAATCACCAACCTTCTGCAGGAAAACTGACAATCCTAGTCAATTAAAATTTGATTCAAACACATCTACTAGGTGCAGGGTTCAAAATATAAACCCCCAGTGTTGACAGGATAGACATACAGTGAATGAACTACTGTAAAGCGGGTTTTTTCGCAGGTGTAAAATTTTGCAATTTAGAAGCTACAAAATATGCGTCAAAAATTTTGGCAGTTTTTATTTTGACGGATTCTTAATTCTCAATTAAAATATGTTGGCGTATACTGAAATGATTGCAGTTAAAAAGTTGTAAAAATTGACAATCAAACAAGTGTCTATTGTTATGGTTAATTGATTTTTTCCTGAATGACGGCTTATTTATTGATATATTCTGATATAATTAATCAAATAAAATCGGTAACTTAGATATTTCTCTGTCACAGGTGAACAAACTTCTTGTAAATATTACGGTTGATTAGTTACAAAATTGACCGGACCTTTGATATACTAATTAGAAACTTAAGCTATTAGAAAGTACCAAATGTATGCATAAATTTTAGCAGAATTTATTTTCACAAATTTTCATTTATCCGCCCAAAATAAGCGAAAAATAACCTGCTATACGGTACTTGGACCACTCATCAACTGACACCCCCCCCCCCCCCTAAATTGCTTTTAGTATTGGAGAAACATACCTATCCAAGAAGACTAATCTTTGACCAATGAATCATGAAAATGAGGTCAAGTTCACGTGAACTCTCCCAGACAGACATGCACCTAACTATCATTCCATGCACCAATCATAGTTGACCTCTTGCATATAGTATCTGAGAAACAGACTCAAACATGAAAAAATAACATTGACCAATGAACCATAAAAATGAGGTCAAGTCAGATGAATCCTGTTAGATAGACTTATACTCCTTACAATCATTCCATAAATCAAATATAGCTGACTTATTGCTTATAGTATCTTAGAACAGGACTTAACCACAAAAAAACTTAACATTGACCAATGAACCATGAAAATGAGACAGACATGTACACATTACAATCATTCCATTAACCAAATATAATTGCCTTTTTAATTTTGAAGCTCTGAAAAGTTTAATATGTCTTGCTTTCCAAACTTTTGATGTTAAGAGTATCTGATGTACCGGTAGATACTTTTATTGTAAATATTCAACAAAATGAAAAGTGGTATTGTGTAAAAACTGCAAGACAGACAAAATAAATGTGCTAAGTAGAAAATTTTTCTGAGAGATTTATTTTCACTTAATGATTAGGATAACACCATGAAAATATCCTTCCACTTTTATTTTGATCTTTTAGGAATTCAGTAGAAAAACATGATAAATGCAAAGTATTCAATTACATTTTATAATGACATCATAGAGTAAATGCTCATATAACTGAATTATGATTGTTTCTTTGTTATTGGTCCATGAGTGACCTACATTGGAATATATCTATTGTGTTGTATTGTCTTGTACCTGATATGGAGATTTAAAGTCTAACAGAGGTAAAACAATATGACTTATTGTTCAAAGTGCAGGATTTTATTATGTATATTCACAGAAAAAACAAAATTTGGACAATTAGATGTCTGTTTTATTGCACTATTATCAACAACAGAATGTGCAGACATTACAAATAAATATGAAAAATGTATAAATAATAATTACAGTTATAAAATCTCAGTGAAAATATTGACCATTTGATAACATTTTGTTCATTTGAAAATCCTTTTTAAGGCTTCTATTATGTATCAAAGACAGAATGGCAGTACAAAAGTAACATTGACTTTCACATTTTATCATTGATTATTTTGATATTCCACAATTATGTAGGATAGTCCAAGGTATGACCATAATCTATTAAGTTTAAATACATTAAAAATTTCCACAATTTAAAGCTCAAATGACAATTTACAAAATGTGCAAAACATGAAACAGTTATCTCCCTTGGGTATTGAAATTTTACAATCCTGCTAAAATTTGAAATTTCTTCAAGATTTTTTGAAAAGAATTCATTTCCTACATGCTTAGGTAGCAATACACAGTTAGAAGTTTAGTTTCGCATTATGGCCATGGTGAATTTTTTAAATATGAAAGTTTTTGTACAATAAAATTGATTTTTAGATAATTGAAGAATAATATAGCCTTCTTAGTGGGTTTATATGAACATTTAGATTGTTTTTAGCATGTTTTATAGGCCATTTTTCTGTTTGACAGTCCGTATTTTCCTATCCGTACCGCCCATAGGTCCATAAATTATTGTAGTGTTTATCAACAAAGATTTTGCGCTCGATCTTTTCAATTCAATTTTATGGAAAAACGAGCAGAAATGCATATGTTTTTTTTTTGACCTCTTGATAGATATATGTCTATGGATTCAGGAAAGGTATCACTGTAATTGATTGAAATTTTCCTTTGGACCAAATTTTGGAGACTTTTGTGACATGTTCACCCCCTTTTTTTGCAATATTTTGTATCAAAGAAATGCAGATTGTTGCCATGGTTACACCCAAAAGAGATAATATTTCACCATTATAACCATTAGAAATCAAATCTATGGAAGATTTTCTTTCTATAAATATACACATGCATAACACAAATATTAAGCCTTATTTGTTAGAAAGGAAGGGAAAGAGGGTGTTTAAAAATTATGAGTGTCAATTTTAAGTTTTTTTCCTAACTGTGTATTGCTACCTTATGGCATTTGACAAAGCACAGAATTGCTTATTTTTAGACAAATCATACCACAAATCTATTGATATTTAGATTATAGATACAATTCTGAGGGAGAAACATCTTTTAGTATGACAATATATGTTAGTTTTGTTGTTTATTGTCCTTAGCAACCAATATAGACATTTTGACACAAAGACTTGGTTCGGTCATAAATTGATACTTTATTGGCTACCCCTTGGAAAAGAAACAATGCGCGTTATGTAGAAACCTCAGAAGGGAAAGCTTTATATTTTTTCATGCGACTAAATCAAATTTATTATTTTAGCAAGTATAAAGTCACAATTTAGCATGAATTAAGTCTAAATTTGTTCCCGCTGTTATAAATTAATTCAGTATTTGCTATATTTTAACCAAGGCTTTGGTATGCTAATACACAACAAAATTGACATTCTAAAGCCTTAAAATAGCTTTAACTTGTAAAATTTGTCTACTGTTAAGGTTAATTTAAGTTTTTAATAAAGAAAAGACAAGCACAGAAGGTATAGTTTAAGAAATTTGACTAAAAAAGGAGAATTTACACTTTGACATGGCATGTTTCACCAAATCACTTTTTTGTTGCATTTCAGTGTCAACTGCTAACCTTCATAAAATATTTATTTCTGAACCAATTTTCAAAACTAGCAGGCCAATTTGCTCGTTTAAGCTAGCAGAACACAGAAATTCATTTAAAATGGAATTGGAAAAAAAAATGTTTATCCTTAAGGTAGCAATACACAGTTAGAAGTTTAGTTTCGCATTATGGCCATGGTGAATTTTTTAAATATGAAAGTTTTTGTACAATAAAATTGATTTTTAGATAATTGAAGAATAATATAGCCTTCTTAGTGGGTTTATATGAACATTTAGATTGTTTTTAGCATGTTTTATAGGCCATTTTTCTGTTTGACAGTCCGTATTTTCCTATCCGTACCGCCCATAGGTCCATAAATTATTGTAGTGTTTATCAACAAAGATTTTGCGCTCGATCTTTTCAATTCAATTTTATGGAAAAACGAGCAGAAATGCATATGTTTTTTTTTTGACCTCTTGATAGATATATGTCTATGGATTCAGGAAAGGTATCACTGTAATTGATTGAAATTTTCCTTTGGACCAAATTTTGGAGACTTTTGTGACATGTTCACCCCCTTTTTTTGCAATATTTTGTATCAAAGAAATGCAGATTGTTGCCATGGTTACACCCAAAAGAGATAATATTTCACCATTATAACCATTAGAAATCAAATCTATGGAAGATTTTCTTTCTATAAATATACACATGCATAACACAAATATTAAGCCTTATTTGTTAGAAAGGAAGGGAAAGAGGGTGTTTAAAAATTATGAGTGTCAATTTTAAGTTTTTTTCCTAACTGTGTATTGCTACCTTAGATTTATTAAGGCAGCAATACTTTATTCATTGCCCAAGCCATCAAAATTCTTGTCGAGAAACAGTAATACATTACAACTGACTGAATTGAAAAAAAAGGTTATTTTCTGTAACAAACATGGTCTAACAGTATGATTTATTTCACATAATTTGACAGATGTATTTCCTTTACAATTTTCATATTATCTTTCTCCACACATGTAGTAAAATTCTAATTTTTCTTGTATTCTATTCTTTCTACTTTCACATCATCACTTATCAGTTTATATACATAAGCTACAACTGTTGACTGCTGAATGTCTAGAATCACAAATGATGAAATCACATTGCTGAAAAACAGAAAGAAATTTCTATTTTAATTGCATATAATTATAATCTTACTCAAATTTATACATATTCAATGTTAAGATTTTGTGTTTTAGACACCTTCTAGTATGCTTAAAAGACTTCAACTATGATACTGAATTGTTACATAAATTAAACAACATTTTGCTCAGTTTTTAGTTTTCTATGTTGTGTTTTGTGTACTGTTTGTCTTTTCGTCGTTTTCGTTTTTTGTCATTGCATTTTCGGTTTGTTTTTCGACTTCTGAGTTTGAATATCCCTTTGGTATCTTTTGCCTCTCTAATATAAGTACAGCACTTTTCCACATTGATAGGTAATATTTATAATAAGTAAATAGATAATTTTTATTTCAAGCAAACTTGTTTTGACCTCATATTTCTGCTTATAATTAAAAGCAAGACTTCCAACTGATTAGTGAATTATAATAATATACTAGTATGCCATTGTTTGTTTCTGAGAAATTGATTTAATCTATATGACTCAAAAACATTTCTGTCATGGCAAAATAATCCTTTGAAGGTCATCCTTCAAGATAAATTCACTGCTGAACCCCCTTTTGTGCACTTGTGTCAGGTTATAATTAGCAATACAACTTCCTGGAAACATAAAGTTTTATATACATTGTGGCTAACGACAAATATTTAATTACCTGTCCAAAGCATTATATGCTCCTGTGGCCGAACCTGGGTTAATGTAGAATTTATTTTCATGTTCAAATGCCTCAAACTTATGTGTATGTCCAGAAATGAGAATATCCACATCTAACTGTCGTTGAACCATTGCTAAGCTTTCTGTGTCACCCCACGGTACCACCTGATGGCCATGACATAAACCAATTCTAAATTGTCCTACTGTAACAACTTTCTGCTCTGGGTAATTCAGGTTCTAACAATAAAAGAGAATATTTATGTATAAATTGTAAATAGAACATTACAGTTCACACATTGTTTTTTTTATGAAAACCTCAGCTTCTCAACAGTTGAATTTTTCAGCACAAGTCAGGATAATGTATACTTTTAACATGAAATGACTGCCACTTTATTTGTACTTTCAAAAGACAAAATAGCTATGAATGCTTGAAGTTGCAGAATTTAACATAGAAAGCAATGGGCTATGAATTAGTGATGTTATTCCATACATATGGGTCATGATTTTCAAAAGACTTCAACACATGAATGGGGGATGTTTTTTCAAATTCCAGACACACCCCCTCCCCCACGCCCCAGTGTTTACATGTCATTTCTAAAATATTATGCTTATAAACTTACTATTTGTTGATCATGTTGATGAGAATAATATTATACATGCATTTAATTAGCCTCACATACATGTAGATTCTTACATTGGTACCAACTTGGATTATCGGATTTATCCAATCGAGATAATTTAACTATTGAGATCGATAAATCTGATAATTCACGAGTAACTATGTGAGAATCTGTTTCTCTAATGACTATCAATAAATCTTCATTTTTGATAAACAAAAACCCCCTTCGAGTGCCTTCCACATTCCTGATTTCTATGTCAAACAAATATAAAGTTGTCAATTTCTCTAACACCTGTTAGAACATTTTGATTCACCCAGAGAGCTCGTAAAGGTTATAACCTTTTAACTTAGCCAATTATCTACTGAGATCATCGGCAACCAATTGATGATTTAATTGTTTTAAACAATGGGTCCAGAAAGGGTTAAATTGCCAAAGAATTAGAGAAATGTATGTTTCATCCTGGATATACATACACGTACATGAAAACATGTATATATGTTAAAAAGCAAACAACAGTCACTTTAGCTATGTTATCCTTATATAATTACTATTGAAAGAATACAACAAATCAAAACCAGATAGTCTTCATCTTTGTTTCTGTATTTTGGTGCAAATCATTTTATTAGTTTTAATACATGTAATACACTAACCTCATCAAAGTCTCCTCTGACCACATGGACATCACTGGCCAGTGTTTTCAGATAGTCAAATGATTCCTTTGTACATAGGTTCCCTGTGCACAAGATATGTTGTATTTTACCAGGAACCAAGAGTTTCTTAAATCTGTTGGGCAAACTATTACACCTGTGTGGAATGTGTAGGTCACCTAATACCAACACCAACTACAAATAAAGATACGCGTAAAAATAAGTCATGTATGTCCCCTTAAAAATAAGGTTTAGAGTTTACATACATATGTAAGAAATGTAAAGGATTTAATATTTCATCAATAATTTCTAGGTTATTTTTTTTCTCACAGTAATAATGAACATTTTCTTTTCAATTTTCAGGCATCATTCTTAAACAATTTATCATGTTTATAACTCATTCTTCATAAACATGATACATGTAAATCAAACATTAATGGTTACCAGTCTTCTTATGGAGTGAATATTTCTCAGTTAGTTAGATATATGCATGATAGCAGCAAAGTTTGGGATTTTAGTGGACATTATAATTTCATCACTAAACAAACTTTTACAGCAGAATTATTAAATATCACAAATTGGTCAAAACTTATACATAACTGTAAATAGATAGGTTTAGATATGAAGTAATATGAGTTATTTCCCTTGACTGCCATGTTTGAAGTGTAACTGGTTGATTTTATTATCAAACTAACCAAATTGAAACATCTAAGAAGACATCTATTAGATCATATTGATGAATAATGAAAGGCTTAAAGAAATTAAAATTTTTAAGAAAACCCAACTTTTTCTAGAGTCTAGACTCTGGAGGTCAGTATAACAACTTGAATTTGGCTGATTTGAGAGAAATTTGTGCACTTTATATAATAAACTTCCAACATGGTGACAAAAGAGAAATAATTCTTGCTCAAATTGTGTCAATAAAAAACTATATCTATATGAAGATTTATTGAGAAAGAAGGAGTCCACCTGCAGGAGTTTAATAAAAAGTAATGTTTTAATTTACATCCAGCTTTTTACAGAAATATAAAAACGCTAATATGTTTAGTAATTCTTATTACAGGTAAGAGTGTAGGCATCATAATTCATATCAGCAGTTGGAGTATTTTAAGCTTGCTTTCAGTAACTACATGAACTATAAACATTCTATCATATGGCGTACACAATATTTGTTTACTATTAATTTGTTGGTAAATTTTGGTGTTTTTGTAACCTATTACATGTTTACCCTTACTTTAGAGTTGAGTACTTTTCTTTTACTGATTTTATGTGTTAGTCATTGTTAGTCCACTGATCAAGATTAAAGGGGTATAGGGTTCATATAAAAAAAAAATAGTTTTAACACTCGCATATTAATGTGCCTATCCATTACCAAATGCCAGGAATCTGGTCAATGGTTTCACAAACTGTTTAATGTATTAATTCCTGAACTTTCAAATGCATAATGTGCGTTAGGAGTGATTGAATCAAGTGGTTGTCGTAGGTTCATGTCCGTCATATTTGTTTTTTTATCATAAATTGTTTTGTTATAAATTAGGCCGTTAGATTTCTCGTTTGAATTGTTTTTACATTTTTCATGTAGAGGTCTTATCAAGGATTTGTATAGTTGATAATTCTTGGCTTTTATATAGCCAACTATATGAATAGGTTTATTCTCATTGTTGAAGGCCATACAGTAGCCTTTATTTGCTAATATCTACTTCATTCAAAATCTGGTGGAGAGTTGTTTAATTGGCAATCATACCACATCTCCTTATTTTTATATTATGCCTTTAAGGACAATGTAAGTGATAAATTATGAGCTTTTTGACTGACACACCCCCTTATTATCGTTTCTTCCTTTCAGTCTTGATAGTAGCCCAGTATGCTCATGATGAAAAATTAGATTCAGCATCAATTATCATCTTATTTTTCTAGTTTATATTAATTAGAATAACTCAATTCATTTGAGTTTTAGTGGCTTAATGATATTTACCATTTTCCTAAATATTTCAACTTCCTGTCATGTGTGTTGCCGAAAATGTAAAGAAAGAGAGCTTTTGGTTGGTTGTTTAAATCTGCATCCAATTAAAACACGGGTTACAAAAACTCCGCGAACATCAACATTGGATTTGGTTCAGACGACTTCTGTGAAAGTTTGTTTGGAAATCATGTCATTGTAAACAAAATGAAATGTGTCATACCCGGAATTAATATTAAAGGTACTTGGAAGAAGTGACTTGTGCACAATCATCCACTTAAAAGGTCTTAAAACACTCCTGTATATAATTTTTTGTACCCTGCTTAAACAAAACTTAAAATAAACACCAGTGTTATTCGATAGTTACAGTTTAAATATGCCAAAAGTTTCTATTAAGGCCACACCAAATTAATTTCTAGTTCTTCAGACTCTTTTCCCTAAAAAGGTAGCAAGCAGGCGAAATTTTTTTTCGAAGTTTGATTTTTGGCAGGCGAAAGCATATTTTACTCATGTTAGTTGTTACTAGCGAGCGATAATATTTTTGAAATATTAAAAAGATATATTCTATGTAAAGCATTTTATGTAAGAGAGCGATCAGAAATTTACACAGTTTTGGTGATTGATGTTTTTATATATGTCTTATATCCTAGTTCTTATATATTACCCTACTTTGCTACTTAATTTGTTCTAAGACACCCTGTTGAATCTTTTCACAACATTTCCAGTACAATAATGTTTAACTAGTGGCAAAACCTACAACTTCTTGTTATCTGCTCAAATAAAGATCCAGCTGAACATGAAATAGTACAACAGCATTGAACAGGTAGTCGTCAATGTTTGATGTCAGTTATAATTGGTGAATTATAAAAATAACGAGATGTGGTATGATTGCCAATGAAACAACTATCCGCCAAAGTTGTAATGAAATGGATATATGCAATTATAGTCAACTGTACAGCCTTCAACAATGAGAAAACCCATAACATATAGTTGGCTGTAAAAGGCCCTGACATGAAAAATATGAAACAATTCAATTGAGAAAACTAACAGCCTAATTCATAACAAAACAATTTACGAAAAACAAATTTGACAGACATGCAATGACATGAATCAACGACAACCAGTGAACTACAGGCTCGTGACTTGGGACAGGAACATATAGAATGCCAATAAACGTATGCAAAGCATATATGCATGTATAAAGCTTTTATATACAACTATACATATTTGTGTATACAAGATGAAAATTTATAAAGGACTGTCCTTCAAAAACCACACCAATTTATACTTCTAAGTATTCAAATGCATCACACCAGATGCTATATCATGTGTATATACTTGTGGCTGCGAACTTTTACATCCCGCACAGCCAAACGAACACCCCACTCTGGCTAGGGTTTTACTGCTGGTTGGAGGAGGACGGCCTATGGTGACCATATTTCTATTCCCCAGTCACCCTTTGGGAGATCAATAATTTAATAGCAATCAAATCTTTATGTATATGGAGATATTGCTCTGTGTTGAAGGCCATACCGTGAACTTTTCTGGTTGCAAACCTCCACAAATTTGGTCTCTGATTGTCTCTGGTGGAAGTTTGTCTCATTGACAATCATACAAATTCTTATTTTTAGAAGATTTTGTAAATTGTAAAGTTGGATTGATGTATTATATTCAATTACCACAAACACAGAAATGCAATTCATTCCTTATGAATTCCAAAAGTAAAGTTCTTATGTCCCATATCAGTCAGATGCAACTTAGGGATAGTACAGTTAAATAAACTTTACTTTTGGAACTATTCTTTTATTTTGAAAGATAAAAAAAATATACCGGTAATAGTATCATTGCGGTGCCATTTCAATGCATGTACCGTCATCTTTGGAATTATTTTTATATTTTCATGCATGTAATATTGTCAATGTCATCATTTAAATCTTTCAATTCGGAGGCGTTGGTGCTTTGTGGTCCTGCACGGAGCACTTCAAACATATTGGTAAAAGAATTGTCCCAATCACATTTCACTGCTGTGTTAGGTAGTAAGGTTGTTGCCTGCGTTACCATTGTAACTACAAATATTCCACTCATGTCTTACATTTGTACGTTGAGAATATATATCATATTATATTTTTTCATAATAAAAAACATTTGTGAATGTTAGATCTGGATTGTTCTTGATATCCATTTCCGTGTCTGTATGACGTTACTTTCAAACGCAAAACTGATAAAAGTTTGGTTACATGTATTTAGAGACAGACGCGCGAGGCTCCGTACTGGAGGTGTGTTTTTAAAAAATGTACTTTTTTCTCGTGGACCTTTTACAACACTTTGGGAGTCCGACTAACGAAGTATTAATTTGGCGTGGCCTGAATCTACTTTTTTATAGTGTGGTGGGAAATACCAACAAAGAATGAAACCCTATTTTACGTAAGTTCCAAACCGATGCACCTTATCGCTATTTGTCTGCCATTCAGGGTTTGTCTCTTACTTCTTTGACAAAGTAGTCCAAGGACTATCTTCAACCTTTTCGTGAGTTGTTGTGATAAGGAACTTTTCTGATTCTATCTATTAGTCTGAAGGACTAGTTAAGTGATAATGTTTGTAGTTCTCTATAAAAATAGGAGGGCACAGGACTATCGTACTACTGTTAGAATCCTGCCATTGCTAGTAATCACAGACGTTCCTATATTTATAACTTTGATGTCAGCAGAGAAATTTTCTGATGCCAGAAAGGATAAGTTGATGTTGTATGACATCAATAGTTCAAGTATCACAAATCCTCAATTCAAGTGTCTCATATTCCCAAACTATGGCAAATAGGAATAAGATCTATATAACAAGCTATACTAAATAAACTCTCACCCCAAACCTAGTCCAAACCCTTAATTCTAACTCTAACCTAAATCAAAGAAGTTGAAATATCAGGTCTATCAGTGTAATAAATTCATAAAAAACAACTCAAGATTGGTGTTTTGATATCATACGGGGCCAACAAATTTGTTGTCCAGCTTGTGCAACATTAGCAAGGAAAAATTTACACATTAAAATATTTTGAAACTGCATTGCATTTTAATACATTATTTAACTTCCATTTTCTAAATGTCTTTATGAATATATTATATAAATTCATAGTTGCACTGTTAAATTTGCCATTTCCGTTGCATAGATTTAAAACTATAACTTCCCTTTGCTCTTCATTGAGCCATGACATTTTAGCCCCTTGAGGAAACAGTAGGAAGGACATGAAATAACAAAAGACAACACTTAAAATAGTTGACCATGACCATTTTAAATGATTTTAAAAAAGCAAAAAAACGGGTGAGAATATAAGCTGTCATTTATGACTGCTCTGTTTCTGAATTATTAACACACAATATGTTGTTTGCTTCATTTTTGCTCACAATAATAAACACCAGTGAATCAAATAATCTTTATACGGATGCGGTTTTCATTAATTGTTTTAATGTTTGGGTTAGAATTAGTATTGGTTGTTATTAAGCTAACAATTTTAATAATTTATTCTTAATTTGGTTTCATTCGCTTCAAATGTTTTATGGTATTCAGGACAGAGAAGACTTATATGTATATAACAGACTGGTCAATGATGTCAAATAATCACAAAACTTTTGACAATATTACTACAGCATGAACAGTCGTACTATCATAACGCTATCCATAACAAAATGAAATTCTATTCATGCAAGATTAAACAAATATTAGTTGTTCCATTAAATTAGATAAAAATTTATATGTAATCTGATTAAATCTTGGTTTTTTCTTCAGTATTTGGAAGAGCTATACATGCACTATCAAAGATTGGAGATGAGATCTACGTAGAACCACTAGAACATGGGGTAAAATTATAATTAGTTTATATATTTCAATCTTGGGTACCGTTATTATCTTTGAAGCCATATTTTTATGTATGATTGATTACATAAAATTGAGAATGGAAATGGGGAATATGTCAAAGAGACAACAACCCGACCAAAGAGCACACAACAGCCGAAGGCCACCAATGGGTCTTCAACGCAGCGAGAAAATCCCGCACCCGGAGGTGGTCCTTAGCTGGCCCCTAAATAAAATTTTGTCCTTGTTCAGTGAAAATGGACGTCACCCTACACTCCAAAACATATAAATGAACTAAAATTTAAAAACATACAAGACTTACAAAGGCCATAGGCTCCTGACTTGGGACAGGCGCAAAAATGCGGCGGGGTTAAACATGTCTTGTGAGATCTCAACCCTCCCCCTAAACCTCTAGCCAATGTAGAATAAAGAATCACATAGCAATAATCACAGTAAAACTCAGTTTAAAAGAAGTCCGGGTCCGATGTCAGAATAGGTAAAAGAAGTTAAGCAAAATGACATTCACAATGATACATAAATGAACAAAGGACTACTAGCAGTTACTGACATGCCAGCTCCAGACCTCAATTAAACTGATTGAAAGATTACATGTACAAAAAATGTATGAATAACAATGGGGATACACGTACTAACATTGACGAATTGTTTGGCAGGTACATTTGTTCATAGAATATGGAACATACTTTTTGTATAATCAAATCTATCTTGGAAGATTACTTCACACTTGCAGATGAGAATAAAAGGCGGTGTGGGTTATACCAACTCGTGGACTAGGAAAATAGCGATAATTAAATTGTAATTATTCTGCTCTCTTGGAGGGCACTTTGATTAGTTAATGAAAATTATTGTATTGGCCACTAAGAGTATGATTCAGTTGTTGAAGCACAGTTTGATGGACCAATCATATGAGACCTAGCTATTTTATGAAAACTATTTAAGGATGCGATGCACAATAGAGATGACCTTGATATCATCAATTTTTAAATCTAGAACAAATTTGAAATTAAGGAAATTAAAAGAAATACAAACAGCTCTCTCATTTATTTGGAAAGGTATTTTTGTTATTTAAAAAAAAACAAATGTCTAACCCTGCTGTATATACTTCAACAATAACTAAATCCATACTGTATAGTTAGATGTGAAAGAAAATGCTTGTAGAAAAAAAAAATGAGAACAACACTTTATAAATTTCATGCATCAGAAATGCTTTTCTGGATTTATCGTCATAAGGAACAATGAAAGCCGAATATTTGAAAGCCAAGGATGTATAAGATTTTTAACTAGAGCTGATTGATCATTCCAAATGTCATCTTAAAGAAAATTTAAATCAAAATTTTGAGGTATGTCCAAGACACAATGTAGTCTTGATATCGATGACATCAACAATATCGAGTCGATATCGACAAATAATGATCCAAATGTTTATCTGCTACATTTTTCTTTATAGACAATTTAGTTTCTCCTGGTTCGTCTAATAAAGATGTCGATATCGACACATTATGTTTCAAATGACTATCTACTACGATAATCTATATAGACAATTTGGTTTCTCCTGGTTTGTATGTTTAAAGATGTCGATATCGACGATATCGAGTCGATATCGACACATTATTTCAAATATCTATCTGTTTTACAGTTGTGTATATAAACAATTTTAGTTTATCCCAGATCGTCTATTTTAGATGTCGATATCAACGACATCGTGTCGATATCGAAAAATTATGTTCCAAATGTAATATCTCCTACAGTTATCTGTATAGACAATTTAGTTTCTCCTATTTTGTCTATTTTAAGATGTCGATATCGATGAAATCGACGACATCGAGACGATATCGACACATCTTTCAAATGTTTATCTGCTACAATAATATATATAAACAATTTAGTTTCTCCTGGTTCGTTTGTTTAAATATGTCGACGATATCAATTCCATATCAACATTTATACATTTTCTTCATAATTTGTTTCTCTATTTATTTCGTTTAGTTTAGTATACGTACCTTAATTACACACTAAGATAAGAGGGTGTTGCACGATTTGCAATGAGACAACAGACCACAATAAACAAAAAGAATGAGGATGTTAACAACTATATGTCACCTAACAGTCTTCACAACAAAGATTAACAATAATACCGGCATAACAAAATATCAAATATTTCAAATGGGAAAACAAACATCCCGATTTATGTATAAATGATAAGCAAAAATCAAATATGACCGACAGCAACGGACGACAACCACTTCATCAAAGAGCTCCCGAGAAGGGTCAATCACAATAAGGATGTGGCGAGGTTAAACTTGTGCGTTAAAACTTCCCTTAAATCTATGACGGTGGTATAGCATCAATACATAAAATTAACAAATAGACAAAATCACAAAGTACCGATCTAAGAGTACTCGAAACTATTCAAATAAAGTTAAAATCTAATTTCAACCAATAGATAAACCATGTTTTCTCTGTTTGAAATGGGAACCAGTTCACATCCCATGGATTTAAATTTTACATAGCAAGTCATGTTTGTACTATATCTGCAGTTTTAGATCTTTGTATGCAACCATATCTCACTTAGTTTACACCTAAATTACCATGTCAGCCATTGTCAATGTAATACAAGCAAACATTTTGTTTTTGTTTTTTTGAAGAATACATTAATGTGTTTTAAAGGGTACATTACTTTGGAGATGTGACCACCTGATTGTCTTTTAAAAAAATAAATTGATTACAATTCAGCCATCATCTATCCCTATATCAATCTTCGATCTTAATTTATATATATAATCAGCTTGTTATGTCTTATTTTTATTCATTATCTTAAGTCATCATCGATATCGAGTTGATATCGAGTCGATATCGACGATATCAACATCAGGTTTTGTCATTGGTGTCGTCATCAAAATCTACATCTGGTTATGATATGATTGTATAAGTTCATCGATATCGATGCGATATTGTGTCGACATTGTCGATATTGACGATATCAACATCTTGGTATGTCTTGGACATGTATGAAAATTTTAAGCTGAAATTGAATACAGTTAGTACCTTCATTTAAATTATAACTCAAGCTTCTGTATGGATTAAATTTAATTGATAAGATGACTTTTTATAAAATAAGATATAGCTTTACTTTGAACTCATCATATTGAAAGTTACTTGTATTCATTGTTCTTTAACTTTTTGAATTAATTAATTTGAAATTAAATATGCTTAATATGAAAATATACACTGTATTTTAGCTAGCTTTGAGGACAGTAAACTCCTCCAGATCAGCCTATGGATGTTTTATGTTTTCTCCGACTTTTTTCCAACATTATGACGATGGATCAGGACAGATAAGGTCAGAGGACAGTGAAGAAGATGCCATCAGGTGTAAAGTGGCCATGAAAGTAAGAGAATCAATATACAGAACATTTGTAAAAACTAATTGTTCAAGATCTACCATAAAAGTTATTGATCAGATTTTATGTTGTTTAGAAGTTTAGAAAATACAATTGCTGCAATGGTGTACCTCTTTTGTCATGGGCTGATTTCTGCATGGTCTGCACATAACTAGTAAATATTCAAAATACCATTTCTGCTATGGTTTTCCAGCAGATGCATTTACGCCTACACAAGCTCTGAGTTACAGTATTCTTTGTATTTGCTCATTGTTGTGGTGGAGAGTTGTCTCATTGGCAATAATACCACATCTTCTTATTTTTCTAATTGTTGATTCCCATCCATTACAAATGTGGACAACTCACAAAAATTCATTACTGGTATATGACAAACTAATGTCTTGTGAATATTTTGAAGGATGTTGTTATATGAAGGTGCAAAAACACCTTTATCTTTCCTTTCATATTTTATTATTTCTCATTTCAGTCCTGTTTAACAGTTTTTAAATCCATGTCAACAATAGAAAAGACTGTAGAACGATGTAAAATAAAACTGAACATGGATGAATCCAGACTTGTGTTTCAGCTGTATTGTAAACATGGTAACTCGTACTATTATGTATAACACAGTGATCTCTATAATACAAATATTTTAAATTCACAGAAGTCATGACTTTTGAGCTCATTCCTGTTAATTTGTTGTGCTTATCTGTAATAGCCAAGTAATATTAGAATTTCAATTTTGTTATTGAAATTTAACATTTAAACATAACTATGTTGATAGAGGATAATCGTAAAGTACTTCTATAAATAGCTGGCATTGATATTCACTAATAATTCTTATTTGATTTGCATAGTTCAGTATCATTTCAATTTTACTTTGATAGGTTGCAAGCACTTCTGGTAATAGTTTTTTGGTACTATTTTTTTTTTTGTCGCGATTGTAATCAATATAAACAACATGGTAGTTGAATTCAAACTATTCATACAAAACATTGTTTACAATATTGATAAACATCATGAAAAATGGTTGTTGGAAAAAAGAATTCATTTAATGATTAATATAAGGATTTAAGTCGTATTCCACAATTTCCAAACTCTGTAACTACTCTGGTTTTGTTCATATCATTAAATGTTTTGATAATTTTTAGAGTTAATTTAATTTGTAGGTATTGTGAAGACACACAATTTAGCATTTATAGAATGTGAAACATTACAGGCTGTTTTCTCTAAAGACATGAGTCCAAATCAACTTACAGCACAAGCTAAGTAGGTTGTTTTCAGTCTTTAGCATGAAAAAGATGAAATGACAATAATTGTCAAAACACCACACAGAAAACCAAAGAAAAATCTAGAATAATGATTTGTGATGTGGAGTTGTCTCCCTTTAAAAAAAATCAAAATCAAAATATTTCATTTGATCTGTTCATATTTATATTTTTTGTGGCCTTTATTATAAGATAAGAACAGAAATAGCTTTTACTTATTGAAAAAATACTGTAAACATCTGACTATTCAATGATTTAATATTTTTTGTTCTTGATTTAAATACAAAATTGTTCTTTTTCATCGTTTTGATAGGAGAGTAAAAGAACAAACAATTTATTGTTGTCATAAAATTTCAAATTTTAAAATGCAAAGAACAAGCATGGGGTGTCAAAATATGTATACACCAGTTTATTGATAGGTTTCTTGATTCTAAATCAACTTGAAATCAGTTGATATATAAATCTAAACCAGTGATGCCTTTTAATTTCCAGATTACTGTCTGATGCTGTGGTAAATTTCCAGTCTAACCAGGAGGAGATAACTCTGTTGATTTCTCCTGAAAAGATTTCATTGAAAAATTATGTGGATGATGAACCTGGTAAACTACACTTTTATGTACTTTAAATTTATTCATGCACTTTTTATTGAAATAACTGGTACTCGCCTGATCAAAGTCTTAATTATAGCTTCAAAGGAGAGGGGTATACTGATATACGTGTGTTAGTTTGTTACACATTTCTGTTGCTTTTTTATCAGCAATTTCAAGTCAAAGTTTTTTGATATACAGCACTTTAAAAAAAAAAAGATTTATGCACATAGATGAAATTTCTTCATACTTTCTAAGCAACTGTAAATCATGGTACCAAGCATTATTTGGAAATGGCATGTTTTAAGTTCCTATGATCTTCTACTTCTGATGGCCAAAAACTTACATCTTTAAAATGTCATGCACATATATGATATTTTCAGCACATTTTGTCAACAACATTGAGAGGGGGTATAATTAGTGAGCAACAGTCCACAGTACATCTTGTTGCTTGAACAATGCGAAATTAATAATTTTAAAATATAATTTTGTTAACATTTATGATAAAATGAAACAAATTTAAGAAAATAAATTGGGAACAATGTGATAAATAGTGTTATGTCCCAGATTTTTATGCCCCCGTCGTAGCGGAGGGGGCATTAAGTTTTACCTTTGTCCTTCCGTACGTCCCAAAGTTGGTTTCCGTTCTCTAAATTTAGTTTGCCTCAACCAATGTTATGAAACTTATACACAATGCTTATTACCACAAAACACAGATCCAGTTTGAATTTTGGTGGCGTCACTTAAACCGTTGTAGAGTTATGCCCCTTTACAAATGGAAAAATTGTTGAATTTTTCGTTTTCGTTCTCTTACTTTAGTTTGCCTCAACCAAATGTTATGAAACTTATACACAATGCTTATTACCACAAAATACAGATCAAGTTTGAATTTTGGTGGTGTCACTTTAACCGTTCTAGAGTTATGCCCCTTTACAAAAGGAAAAATTGCTGAATTTTTCGTTTCTGTTCTCTAACTTAAGTTAGCCTCAACCAAATGCTATGAAACTTATACACAATGCTTATTACCACAAAATACAGATCAAGTTTGATTTTTGGTGGTGTCACTTAAACTGTTCTAGAGTTATGCCCCTTTACAAAAGGAAAAATTGCTGAATTTTTTGTTTCCGTTCTCAAAGTTTGCCTCAACCAAATGTTATGAAACTTATACACAATACTTATTACTACAAAACTCAGATAAATAACAAATTTGGGTAGCGTCACTTTTACCGTTCTTCAGTTATGTCCCTTCATAATTTTAAGTTAAAAATTAACTATATATGTATTGGAAAATCAAAAGATATCCTGAATCACAAAACATGCAATAAGAGCAGAGGAGTTGAGAGTAAATGTTATTTGTTGCTGAAAGTCCAATGGAGAAGAGTTCAAAAAGCATAACATGAATTAAATGTAAAATTAATGATGGGTACAGTTGTGAACATTAAACTCTTTAAATTAACAGACATTTTTGCTTTCTATCTATGTATAGTTTTATTTTCTCTTCTGTAATACCGCCTCAGTGGTCTCATGGTAGCGTGTTCGCCTCGAGTGCTGGAGGTCATTGGTTTGACCTTGGCTGGGTCAAACCAAAGACTTTAAAGTTGGTATTTGCTGCTTCTCCGCCAAACATGCGGCATTAAGGAGTAAGAGCAAAGACTGGTTGGCACGGAGTCAGAATAATGTTTCCAGGTAAGGTGACAAGTCTTCCTGCAGACTGCTACCTTGTGAGCGAGCACGTTAAATATCTGGCTCAGCGTGTCAGTCTAGTACAAAGCATGGTAAATATTCATATTACATTAACATGTTCTCGTCCTGAATATGCATATTAATTTGCAGCTGGACGTTAAGCAGCCATCCATCATCATCATCTCTTCTGTGACAAATGTTGTAAAGTTTAGTCTTGAAGGTTCTATTTTAATTTTCTAATAAAGTTTATTTTAGAATTACAGTCAAACCTGTATTAAGCAGTCAATCTTCAATCAGTAGTGTTATCTTTCTTGCGTAAGTGAAATGAAAAATTGTGGATTCTGGCACTGTAAATTTGAAGAAATTATTCGAAATATGTGGAGAAATAAGTCAGTGATACAGATTTTAATGGAAACAGAAAAGCATGGAACACCAGGAATTCACTAATTCACCTCCTATTGCAAGATTTCTGTTGCAAACAGGTTCTGGTTTTCAGTTTGACTTCGATACTGAACACATATATTTTTCGTCATGATTATTTGGTAAGTTAAAAACATTAAAATGGCCGTTGTTCAAAGTTGAAGTGACGATTTTGTGCGAAAAATTAGGTGACCGCGTTAGACAGGTGACCGCTGAAACGAGTCAAATTATATAGAGAAAATGATTAGGAGGGCCTCAAAGTGACCGTTAGAGGCAGGTGACCCCTGAAACGAGGTGACTGTTAAGGCAGGTTTGACTTTACCTCTTCATGTGTTGCTTCACAGCTGTGGTGATACATAGTTTCCATTTGCTTGTATTATCCAGTCAACTCCTTTTAATCCCATAATGGATAATTGCACAATTTGGTTAATTGCACAAAATTCCTTTCCCATTGTCTTATAAATGATGAATAAGCTATGATATGATCAAAATTGTCTTCTTTCAGATCCAAATAAGGTTGTTCACACCGTGGTCCATTTAGCCCCAGAGGAGTTTGATAATTGCCAAGTTGGAGTGGACACAGATATCACCTTCTGTTTAAAGGAACTCAGGGTAAGGTAGGAAAGATATAGGGTAAACCACATAATAAAAACAGGGGATAATACATGTAATAATTATGAATGAATTTATGAGACCAACTTCATTGATGTTTAAGTCTGTATATATCTAGTGTTAAATCGCATACAAGCTAACAGCCTGTACTAAAATCATAATTATTATAATTGCAGTATATATTTATATCTTCATCATTTAGCTAACTGCAATGTTCTACAATAGTTTTACAAAGTTCACTTGTGTTATTAACATTTAAATTTTGTATTACAATATTGGGTTGAAGTCTTCTACACATTAAAATAAAATCTGCGGGTGGATTTATTTGGTCTGTCCATCCCTTACAAATTTCTGTTTGCATTTTATATATCAGAAATCATTGTTATTTGGCTCCAAGCTTTGTGTTGGTAAGCTCAATACCATTGGATCCATTTTCAGATCCCTCACTTATCCACTTCATGTTTGCCACATACATATCTGTTCATAAGTTGACACTTGTATAAGAAACTTTCAGCTAAACTGTTCGTGCTTATCTCCTATCTGTTGTCTGCTTCCACCGTATGATGTATATGTACTTCTTTTCACTCAAAAGCAAGAGGGGGTAAACCTTTGTGAGCAGTAGCTCACACTTTGTCTTGTTTATTAAAAAAAAGTCCTATAAATTCCCCTAATGAGACTATGAAAGTTGTTTACAAAGAATATTTTTTAGTCTGTGTATCTGTTTTTTTTTTGGTATAGGTTAAAGTTTTGGTTAAAGGTAGTTTTATTTGTGGTCATATTAACTTAAAACGATGTACACATGATCGATATGATTAACTTTTTTCAAATAAATGCCAAATAAGGGTTTTGACTAAGATTTCACCATTCGTTGAACATGGACTCATGATTATTCTTGTTTTTGTGGTGTCAAAATAGCAAATCAAAGGACGACAAGAACGTTTTATGTTATAGTTAAACTTTACCCAATGAAGAATTGAGAATATAAAAGCAAATCACATCTTGATTTTAAAAAATGACAAGCGATGATGGAAAGTTTGAATTTGCTAAAAGAGAGGCGAAAGATACCAGAGGGACATTCAAACTCATAAGTCGAAAATAAACCGACACTGCCATGGCTAAAAAAGAAAAAGACAAACAGACAAACAATAGTACACAAAACACAACATAGAAAACTAATTAAAGACTGAGCAACACGAATCCCACCAACAACTGGGGGTGATCTCAGGTGCCCTGGAGGGGTAAGCAGATCCTGCTCCAATTGTGGCACCCTTGCTAAGAATAAGAGAAAGATGTATATCCTCTATTTTGTAAGATTAGAGAAATACCATTGTAAAATGAATAAATTGTGTTAGAATTCATGTTTGGCTAAAAGAGAAAAAAACTGTTGCAAATGCCATATATATTTTATTTTCATTTCAGGCCATTCTTGGATTTGCAGAAGCATTGAATATGCCCTTGAATATCCATTTTGAAAGTGCAGGGAGGTAATAAATTTGGTGAAAACTTCACAATTATAATATGCCTAAAAAAAGAAAAAGTACTAAATAAAACAAGATCATACTGATAGGAAGGTATTTTTTTGCCTGCTTAATAGAACATGTACTCTTAACATCCCTGAAGTTGAATTTTACGTTAACAGGATGAACATGTCTGTTTATTATTGAATCTTGTTTCACACCCATTGTGTCAAGATTGATGGTCATTTTAAAAAGCTTAAATAATTGCTTGGATCATACAAGAGCTTGAGTCCAAAAGTAAAGTTTATTATGTAAAAAAAAAAAATCTGTATTCCAGATCTAAATCATTTTGAATAAAATCTTTCAAATTTGATCTTTTGGAATTGTGTTGATATGATTTTTATCTCTACTTTCAATGATTTTTACTCCTGAAAAATTGTTAAATTTCATTTACAATGAGATCAAGTTCTCATTAATAAGTGATTTGTAGGAATTTGAGAAGACTGGTTAAATTGATTTATCTGTCGTCCAACTGTCTGTATCACACTGCTCAGCTCTTAATAAAACTGCATGTCACGGCTTTGTGATGTAAAATATGTTAACCCGACCTAAAAACTTAGACCCGGACATATCATAATGAAGTTTGACCTGATTTTATCAAGGCATCCTCAGGTTTGCGGGTGAAACAAAGAAAAATTTTGTTTCTATTATGAAAAATATGCAAATACAACTCAATAAATAGATTATCTGGTTGTCTGCATATTGATATTGTGAAATGTCAGCTGCTCAACACAATATGAAGCCTTTTTGAACTCGTTTGCTGCACAAACTCAACAAAAAGCTTCATTTTGTGACTCACAGTTGATATTTTACAATATCAATATGCAGACAATCTGATAATGGGTACATCTTTGTCTACCATTGGGAGTACAAATATTGTAAAAAGCCTTTTGATATCCTCATGGAAGTTGATATCTTGGTTGACCATTGGGAGAACAAATATTGTAAAAAGCCTTTTGATATCCTCATGGAAGTTGATATCTTGGTTGACCATTGGGAGTACAAATATTGTAAAAAGCCATTTGATATCCTCATGGAAGTTGATATCTTGGTTTACCATTGGGAGTACAAATATTGTAAAAAGCCTTTTGATATCCTCATGGAAGTTGATATCTTTGTCTACCATTGGGAGTACAAATATTGTGAAAAGCCATTTGATATCTTCATGGAAGTTGATATCTTGGTTGACCATTGGGAGTACAAATATTGTAAAAAGCCTTTTGATATCCTCATGGAAGTTGATATCTTGGTTTACCATTGGGAGTACAAATATTGTAAAAAGCCTTTTGATATCCTCATGGAAGTTGATATCTTGGTCTACCATTGGGAGTACAAATATTGTAAATAGCCATTTGATATCCCCATGGAAGTTGATATCTTGGTTTACCATTGGGAGTACAAATATTGTAAAAAGCCTTTTGATATCCTCATGGAAGTTGATATCTTGGTTTACCTTTAGGACTACAAATATTGTAAAAAGCCATTTGATATCCTCATGGAAGATGATATCTTGGTTTACCATTGGGAGTACAAATATTGTAAAAAGCCATTTGATATCCTCATGGAAGTTGATATCTTGGTTTACCATTGGGAGTACAAACATTGTAAAAAGCCTTTTGATATCCTCATGGAAGTTGATGCAGTGGAGACCATGTTAAGTATTTAAGTTATGGTAATCTTTTTGGCCTTGAAGCTTTTTCCATTAATGATTTGAAATGATGATATCAGTTTTATGTTTTAATTTTCCCTCTGGTGCCTCCAGGATGCTTGAAGCAAAAGTTATCATTAAAAGTTACACCAATGTATAACGTTTGTGTGTAAACAAAATTTAATCAAGAAAGTTAGATATTATTACATTATTATATTTAAAAATTTTACATGTGAAAGAAATATTGTAATTACACTACTCTGACTTCATACAACAATGGATGTTGTCAAGATGAAGCGAGAACACTTAGAATAGGTTATTTCAGAATGTAGAAAACTTTTGCATGATTTTTTATATTAAACTTTGTGAGGCTATGTGACATGAAAAAAGGAAACCAGGATATAAATCAATCAAAAATATTGTAAATCAAATGGATGAAAGCTGATAATGTATGTGTCATGTTTATGCAGGTTATATTTCACAAATTGTTAAGCTATTCCTTAACTAGTCCATAAGTTGTAATTATAACACAAGAGGAATGAGGAGCCGATATCTAATCTTTGACCGTTAGGTGTTTCCAATTTCATTTTTATGCCACACCTACGATAGTAGAGGGGCATTATGTTTTTTGGTCTGTGCTTCTGTTCGTCAGTCGGTCACGCTTCAGGTTAAAGGTTTGGTCAAGGTAGTTTTTGAAGAAGTTGAAGTCCAATCAACTTGAAACTTAGTACACATGTTCCCTATGATATCATCTTTCTAATTTTATTGCCAAATTAAGAGTTTTTACCCCAATTTCACAGTCCACTGAATATAGAAAATGATAGTGCGAGTGGGGCATTCGTGTACTATGGACACATTCTTGTTATGAATGTACTCCCCAAGTTGTCCTGTTGTCGTTCAGGAGATAACGCCTCATAGGACATTGTGACTTGAAGATATTTGCTTTATGAGATAATTTTTTTCCTGGAAAATGCACTTTATTGGAAGTTTGTGTACCCATGGGTATAATAATCAACTATTGTGGGAAACATTTGGTAGATAAAGATATAAATATGTAGTCAGCACAATGGTGTGTCATGTGTTCATAATATGTAGTCAGCACAATGATGTGTCATGTGTTCATAATATGTAGTCAGCACAATGGTGTGTCATGTGTTCATAATATGTAGTCAGCACAATGGTGTGTCATGTGTTCATAATATGTAGTCAGCACAATGGTGTGTCATGTGTTCATAATATGTAGTCAGCACAATGATGTGTCATGTGTTCATAATATGTAGTCAGCACAATAGTGTGTCATGTGTTCATAATATGTAGTCAGCACAATGGTGTGGCATGTGTTCATAATATGTAGTCAGCACAATGATGTGTCTGTGTTCATAATATGTAGTCAGCACAATGGTGTGTCATGTGTTCATAATATGTAGTCAGCACAATGGTGTGTCATGTGTTCATAATATGTAGTCAGCACAATGATGTGTCATGTGTTCATAATATGTAGTCAGCACAATGGTGTGTCATGTGTTCATAATATGTAGTCAGCACAATGGTGTGGCATGTGTTCATAATATGTAGTCAGCACAATGATGTGTCTGTGTTCATAATATGTAGTCAGCACAATGGTGTGTCATGTGTTCATAATATGTAGTCAGCACAATGGTGTGTCATGTGTTCATAATATGTAGTCAGCACAATGGTGTGTCATGTGTTCATAATATTTAGTCAGCACAATGGTGTGTCATGTGTTTATTAAGCATGAGCTTGTTTATTAATAAATAAATGATAGGGACAAGTATTGATAGTATTGTGCTGCTGTACCCTTCCAATTTAAGCAAGATTGATTTTCTTGTTGGAATTTATCATGTCCTTCATACCATATTACATAGTATGCGTTTTGCTCATTGTTGAAGGCTGTACAGTGACCTATAGTTGCTTACATCATTGTCATTAAGTCTCTAGTGGATAGCTGTCTCATTTGAAATATACTACTTCTCCTTATTTCTATATTATATTGATTAGCTCACTTACCTAACTATTACAATAGACGTTAAGCAACCAACAATCAATCAATATCTTACTATCATGCAACTGAATATGTATTTTTGTTTATGTTTAGGCCTGTGGTATTTGGAGTTAACAGTGATACTGCATTTGAAGCTAATCTTGTATTAGCCACTCTTGCAGATGCTCAAACACAGGCAAGTTCTTCCCAACAACAGTCAACCTCAGTGAAAGCCAAACCAAGGTACATTTGAAATTATATTAAGCAGTGCAAGTGATTGCTATGCTATCATATAAATAAAAACACATTAAGATTATTTTCTTTATCAAATAATTCAATTATTTCCCTTGTTTACACAAAATGATCATTTAATAACATGATTTTATTCCATGAAATAAAATTTCTGCACTAAACATTATGGTATTTTTGCAGAACACACACCCACCCATGTACAAAAAAACAACCAGTCACATATTTAAAAATTCCCTGGAAAAAGTGATTAAATGATAAAGACACTTTTATGACTTTTTTGATATTTTATTTTACCTCAATGTATGTTTTAGTCAGAGAGTTAAAACATCTAATGGAATTAGAAGACAATCAAAGACCTCTGAAAAGGGAGATAACCATAGCAGAGTTGTTGACAGTAGGACTGAGAGGTTAGTTCCCTTGGTAAAGAAGTATCACTTATTTTTATGCCCTGCCATAGCCGAGGGGGCATTAAGTTTTACTCTTGTCCATCTGTCCCGTCTGTCGCGTATGTCCCCAAAAATGGTTTCCGTTCTCTAACTTTAGTTTGCCTCAACCAAATGTTATAAAACTTATACACAATGCTTATTACCACAAAGCACAGATAAAATATGAAATTGGGTGGCATCACTTTTACAGTTCTTGAGTTATGCCCCATTATAAATGGAAAAATTGCTAAATCTGTCGTTTCCCTTCTCTAACTTTAGTTTGCCTCAACCAAATGTTAATAACTTATACACAATGCTTATTACCACAAAGCACAGATAAAGTTTGAAATTGGGTGGCATCACTTTTACAGTTCTTGAGTTATGCCCCATTATAAATGGAAAAATTGCTAAATCTGTTGTTTCCATTCTCTAACTTTAGTTTGCCTCAACCAAATGTTATAAAACTCATACACAATGCTTATAATCACAAAACGGTCTTAGCTATGTGAATCCTGCATCTGTATGTGGAAGTTGACCTGTGCATATTTACAAGCGGGCTCTGGCCCATATACACATTCTCCATTTATTTTATAACTTTTTCAGTTGACATTCTTTTGAATGTTTTGAGTTAATAGGAAGGTTCTGTAGACTCATTAGAAATTTTGTACTGAAAACAATAACATGCTAGAGATTTAAAAGTGTGAACCAACACATTCTTAACAAAGGATGTTGACTCATGATATAAGTTGAAATTTTTAAATCACAAAATGTTCAATCACATTTTGAATAGGAAAAATGAAAATTTTCCCTAGGAGTACTAACCTCATATCCTCTGAAATATTGTTATTAAAAATTTACCAATACTTCCACTGATAAGACCGTTTTCATTCCTAATTACTTTTGATGAAATGCTTACTTTTGGTATAATTAGGCCAGTTTGACTAAATATAGATTTAAACAAAAGGCTTTCATTATATTTCCTAAATCAAATAAATAATGCATGAAGGGGTTAACAGGAATTATGGCTATTTTACCAAATTTTCCTTTGATCTTGCTGACTGATAATTTCCTTTCTCAGCGGAGTCGAGTGATATGCAAAATTATCGCTAGAAACTAAGGGGGCACATGGCGTTGCTAATGAAATTGACATGAAATTGACAATGTCGTCATAGGTAAAATAGCGATAAACAGATTATCATTGGTCATCTCAACTCGATTGCTTTTCTCACTTTCGCCGTACCGACTCAAGCAAGAAAATCGATCTCGTTAAGATGACCAACGATAATCTATAACTACTAAATTTATTGAACAGTAATACATATAACACTAACCACCAACCACAGACATCCAGAAAATAGATATATACAGACAAACAACAACTAACATTACAGATACCGGTCTTGGTAAAGACACTATATGATGTAGGATAAAACCAGTCCCAAACTCCAACTCCCCCTCTACCCCAATCCCCACCGGTTTTTTGCCTATCTAGACCATAGTATGACTTGAGAGAAGAATTTATTATTACACAACAAATAGAATTAACATCTATTATTTAAAATGGTATTTCTCAAACAAGATTAGACTAGAAAATATGGCTCATTTAGATTCACTCCTCCTGTCGTCATATTTATGGTAAATCCATTTAAGTATTACACAGGAAGTATTTGATAGTATGTTTACATTATATATTACATAGAATTACAAAGTAATTTGTAATCTTAGTACAGTATCCACTATCTGAGGAAAATAAAAAGGGAAACCACTTCTATTCAACCTTAAGTAATGACGATGTTAGTCTTTCATCAAGTGGAAGTAGATCTCAGCTGTTAAGTATTATTTCCTGTTCAAAGTTATTGATTAACAATACCTCCTTTGTTGCCACTTAACATACATCTGTAATCTTATTTTACATGTTTCCTTTTATAATGATAGACAACATTACTTATCAATTGCTTTATTTTACATATCTTGTTGGTCCGGTATCCTGACTTCTTATCTTAGATTTTGAACTTGTTAAACATTGGTCACTTTGAAAAAATAGCCTTTTATACATGTATTCCAAATTTATGAAGTAAAGCTCTCGTTTAAAATTTTGCTTTGATCTTTTTTTGTGATAATTATTCAAATCACGCTACTCAAATGAAGTGATATGATTTTTCTCAGGTGAGAGAAAGAAATTTATGACGTCATGAGCCCAAGTCATTGATGTTGCCCTTAGATGAGATTGTAGCTTTGAAACATCATCTCTTTTAAAAAACCATTGATAATCTATAAAAATGCCACAAAATTACGAAGACAATGGTCATAACAAGTTTCAATCTTTTTCTGGCAATGATTATCACTTCCAACTGAATTTTATGGAATTGTTATTTTTAATCTGTATGATCCTGTCTTTATCCTGACATATCAAAATACCATGTGGAAAAATCTTTGTCAATTTGACTAGTCCAGTGTAGAATTAAAATCCTTACAATAACAGAACGACATGGACCTCACTACTGATTGATGATGAGAGAGTCTAACAATCTGGATTAGAAACTAGTTGTAGAAAATATAAGGAAGAAATACAATACCTGTATAAGATATGATTGTAGAAATAATAATAATAATAATAATAATAATAAATTCTTTATTTAAAGAGGGTAAACACAGTTAGTTACAAGAAACTAATCTTCCCTGAGGCCCTCACATATAAATTACCATACAATCAAAACAGATATTTACACATAGTTAATTTACAGTCAAGTAGTTCAATGTATTGTTATAAACATAATTAGAGATAGAACAAGAGGTACATGTAATAAAAAAATCAACAACAAAAAATGAAATGAATGACTTGTAATTGCAAGATTATATCAATAAGAATTACAATTATGTTAATTTCATTTTTCAAGGCACGGAAGTGTCAAAAGAAGTGGTGATTTGTCAAAATGATCCATATATATGTTGTGTACAAGATGTAAGTTTGTACAAATTATAATTTGTACAGGGTTTTTGTACAAGTTATAAGTTTTTTGGCACATACATTTTTGCACCAGGTGATAAAAGTTTATCTTCTAAAATTTATCAGTTTAATTTCTTAAATTCAAATTAATATACTTCAACCTAACATTTAGTGCTATTTTCCTTGTCCTAAAACTGGCAACAAGGACACCTGAATGGTTTAAATTCTATTTTTATTTTTCTCCTTATACCAACATTGTATCCATAAAAAGTCTTGTTGTATTCTTATAAAGTTTTTTGTATCAATGCTCAGTATAAGACTGTATCATGTAGTCATGGAAATATGACAGAAATATGCGAAACAAAAGACTGTGTACTTGTATCATCCATTTGTGTTAAGCGATTCATAAAACACTGATAACTTGTACAAAAATTCTGTACAAATTATAATTTGTACAACATTACAATTTGTACACAACATATACATTACACTCATAAGAAAGAAAAAAATTAAAATCCTGAAATCCTTATGCAGCCCAAATTATCCTGTCCTATACATTCTTATAACCCTGCTGTTTAAACTTTAAAGGGGCATTAGCTACGAGATATACAAAAAAATAAATATGATTTTTTTTGTTCAATCATTAATGAAAGTGATATTGTGAAATATTAATTGGCTTGTAGCAGCCAATTTAGTTCAATTTTGTCAAAATAAGATAAATAACTTTGCTGATCAATAATTCGACCTCTTTGAATCTGTATTCATGTGACCTTTAATTTAACACCTTAGCTGGAGATAGGTTATGCATGTATTCAGCTATTAAAAGGAGAAGAATGTCAACTTTGAAAGTGAAACAAGGATGAATCATTTGGTTGACTGATTCGATCCACAAAAAATTATTCTTACACAGGTGAAAACTACGATAAACATACTTTTTAACCTACAATATGAAATGAAACAGACCTAGAACAATCCAATTGCATGTGGTTGCTATCAGTCTATGTTTATATTTATATCAGGTTATATGACATTTGGCAGTCTTCGGAGGTCATCTCGATGGTTAATTAGATAACGTCTAGACAAAAATACACACAAAATGTTGATACATATTATCAAGTCCATGCATTGTTAATTGTTTATTTTCGACTTTTTGTAATTATATACGCTTTAGTATGTTATAAATCAAATATGAGAATTTTAGTCAAATCGGTGAACATGAATTTGACAGCTAATGCCCGTTTAATTCATTGGTTATTAAATAAGATGAAATCAGATATACACACTTAGTTCATGAAATCTGCGTGTTAAATTTCATTGTAATGATGAAAATCATATTAATTGATATTGACCAGTTATTTTCCATGTTGAAAAAAAACAGCTACATGTATGTACTTTGTTGTATTTGAAATATTTGTGGCTGATTATCAGTTATTATTGATTATACCTCAAAGATTTTTAACTTGGTGTTTAGTTATAACATGTGATGTTACTTTACTTCATTGTTTGATAAACAATATTTGCCCTTATTATTTATACAATAATTCAAATTTTCACAACTGTGCTTTAATACATTGTTTGATTGGAAATAAGAAGGAATATAAAGACGTATGGCCCAGAAAATTGATTTTTTGAAAAATACTAAAAAATTTCTCATTATATAGGGAAATGCAATTTTCATCCGATTTGATGATCACCATGGTTTTTTGCCTTATTTGTTCATATGTGATTTTTGTTTTTATTTTCTGATCTACTGTTATCTTAGTCATATTTGGGCAAATTTTTATATTCAGGGGTTAAGGGTAGGTGGATTTTAAAAATGAATATTTTGGCTGGGTAAGAACTTAAAAAAATATAACCTTGCCAAAAACAGGATCAGAATGAAAACAAAATGCAGTAAATAAATGTGTACAAAAATGAAAAAAAAATCACTCTGCAAATCCATTCACAAAAAATAAATCCATTTGTTTAATACAATCCATTCACTTCATTGATTTTTGTTTTACAGATCAGATAAAAGTGAGAGACTTGCAGCAGCTTATGATGCTATGATGGACGATGATTTTGATGATGAAATGGCAATATCAGATATGCCTACATTTCATAACGGTGCTAAAAATAGTCATGATGAAAGAGATTTACCTTTAAATAATGGTGATGCAAGATTACATAATTTGACTTCAGACTCTATTTCAAACATGAATAGTGGGAAAAACTCTATGTCAAACAGAGAAGAAAGTGTCATTACTGGAAAACGTACATTATTTAATCCAGATAGAAATAAAGTTGACTTTGGAAGAATGTCACCCCAACCTTCAACCTCTCATAGTGGTGGATGGTTAAATAAATCAACACATATGGTTGGTCCTGATGATGAAACACAACAGTCACAGAGTCCTGTTGTACCAAATCAGTCAAAGGTAACAAAAAAGAGAATATTAAGTAAAATATTAGTAAGTACAAGTAGTTTCATGAGGAGATCCGTTTTATGTTTGCTGTTATATTTATATTAAAATTTAGTAATATGGTATTCTTTCTTGATAGAAATTAAGGTTAGATTAATTAAAGGTTTTGTTTTTGAGTGGGAAATTAAAAATCTAAATTCTTGCAACTTTTTTAAAAATCTCAATCAGCATAGTTCTTATTTGCAGTCTTTTGATACAAGTGCCATGGATGTAACTTTACAGGAAGAAATGAAAGATGATGAGGAGGACTTTGTTCCAGGAACACCACCCAGTAAAAAGGTGAGTACAGATAACATATGTTTTCAAAGGATTTTTTTCAAAGAATACAACCAGTAAAAAGGTACAGTACAGTAATGAGTTTGTTCTTAGACCACCACCCAGTAAAATGGTTAGTACAGTGTTGAGTTTGTTCTAGAAACATCATCCAGTAAAACGTGAGTACAGAAATGACTTTGTTTTAGTAACAGCAACCAACAAAAGGTGAGTACAGTAATGACTTTGTTCTAGAAACATCATCCAGTAAAAGGTGAGTACAGTAATGACTTTGTTCTAAAAACATCATCCAGTAAAAGGTGAGTACAGTAATGACTTTGTTCTAAAAACATCATCCAGTAAAAGGTGAGTTTGTTCTAGAAACATCATCCAGTAAAAGGTGAGTACAGTAATGACTTTGTTCTAGAAACATCATCCAGTAAAAGGTGAGTACAGTAATGACTTTGTTCTAGAAACATCATCCAGTAAAAGGTGAGTACAGTAATGACTTTGTTCTAGAAACATCATCCAGTAAAAGGTGAGTACAGTAATGACTCTGTTCTAGAAACACCATCCAGTTAAAGGTGAGTACAGTAATGACTTTGTTCTAGAAACATCATCCAGTTAAAGGTGAGTACAGTAATGACTTTGTTCTAGAAACATCATCCAGTAAAAGGTGAGTACAGTAATGACTTTGTTCTAGAAACATCATCCAGTAAAAGGTGAGTACAGTAATGACTTTGTTCTAGAAACATCATCCAGTAAAAGGTGAGTACAGTAATGACTTTGTTCTAGAAACATCATCCAGTAAAAGGTGAGTACAGTAATGACTTTGTTCTAGAAACATCATCCAGTAAAAGGTGAGTACAGAAATGACTTTGTTCTAGAATCATTATTCAGTAAAAGATGAGTCCAGTAATGACTTTGTTCTAGAAACATCATCCAGTAAAAGGTGAGTACAGTAATGACTTTGTTCTAGAAACATCATCCAGTAAAAGGTGAGTACAGTAATGACTTTGTTCTAGAAACACCATCCAGTAAAAGGTGAGTACAGTGATGACTTTGTTCTGGAAACATCATCCAGTAAAAGGTGAGTACAGTAATGACTTTGTTCTAGAAACATCATCCAGTAAAAGGTGAGTACAGTAATGACTTTGTTCTAGAAACATCATCCAGTAAAAGGTGAGTACATTAATGACTTTGTTCCAAGCATACAGCCAGGAACACTATCCAGTAGAATGAAGTGTTCAGTGATGAGTTTGTTTGAGAAACACCACTCGTATGTAGAATTTGACACACAAGTAAGGGTGGGAAACAGGAATACCACATGGATTAAGTTAAACTGACACATGATAAGATTAAGAGCATTACAATTCACAATTATGGGTTTCATTATAAGTTGATTTAAAAAATTATCAAATGGAGACAGATTATTTTCCAACATACATCATAACTGTCACAACTTCTTAAAGGTTGTTACAGTTGTTTTTTTAACTATATCAATTTTTCTAAAAGTTTTTAACAAGTTTAAATTGCTGATACAAATTGTCAGGTTATCATTACACTCATTTTATAACTTTAACTTTTTTAGTGTTTTGAGGGTCGTTTTGTGGTCACTGCAACTCTTTGTACTCTAGGATAGATATTAACAGACTTTTACAACTTTTTAACAGTTGTAGCAGTCATTTTATAGCTGTGACAACATTCTGTAGCTTTGTTACAGCCCATTTTATACTGTGGGAAACACTGTTTGGGATGTGACAGAAATAAAGTAACTGTCACAATGAAATGTATACAGCAATATCTCAGACTATTTAAAAAATCAGCTCTGGTCCCAATATTATTGGGTGAGTAATTATACCCATTGGAAATGGAAACAATTATTGAATATGAAAAATTAACAATGTAAAAGCTTTTTCACCTACATTTCTTATTGTAGTTTATTGAAATTATGCCCAAAAGTTAACATCACTATGTCATTTGGTTCTCCTTGGAAATGTGTCTCATTTGCAATCATACCACATCATATTTTTATATCAGTTATATCTCAAATGAGTTTGAAAATCAGCTTGGATTGTTTTTTTGGGGGGGGAAAGTTATGCCCCTTGGAATAAATGTGACAGAGCAAATTCCATTATTTTCATTTAGGACATTTATTGGCTACTCTAGCAATCTTGTAAATATAAGATTTAAATGAATAGTTTTCAATTACTGTGGATTCATTAAGAGTCATTTTGTACCAATTTTTGAAGATTTAGGGGGAAAAAAATTTCATAGATATTTGAAATATGGTTTTACCAAACTCTGGATACAAGCCTATAGAAAATATGTACTTCATTGAACATTTATTTTGTGGTTCACTAGTACTAATGAACTCCTCGAAAATTGGTATCCCACGAACAATAATGAATCCTCAGTTAGAAAAAAGAAAGTGTAACAAAAGTTGTTACAATGGACCTTCACTATGAGCAAAAGAAGAAGTTTGGTATACCCCAAAGACGGAGCAATGTTACAACACAAGGTACCCAAAATAGATATGTAGAAATGTAATTATATATATGTTCAGGGATAAAAAGCAAAAATTTCAAGTGTTTGCCTGAGCAATATTTTTGGTGGACCAGTTTCATACGATCAAGCAAAAATGTGAAAAAAGTCCACAACTCAAATTAAAGGGGTCATTGTCTACTGACCCCTGCTAATTTCACACTGTGTTACATTCTTCCTATTCAATTTTTCAGTTTCGATCATTATTTTTTGGCATGTCACAAGCCAGTACCAATTCCCAGATGTCAACACAGTCAACGACGAAACAAAAGCCTGCAGTTTTGGTAGAAGACTCTGATGAAGACTGACTGTGTTTGTTATTTATGATTGTTTTATTATGATTAAAGAAGAAAACATTATTGAATTCATTAATAACATTTACATAATCCTGATTCTCCAAAAATTGGAAAATTAAATGAAGGTATGGAATCCTGCCAGTCCATTTGGTAGTTTATTGTCTCCCCTGCGATGAAAGTAGCAGAATGCAAAACATAGGGATTGCAATTTGGCAGAGGCTACAGTGTAAACTATTTAAAGCTTTATATTTCATGGGATAGAAAACCTGGATGCTTCATACCCAGTATACAGATGTTAAGTTTTCATGTCATATATCCATTGTCCCTCACTTCATTTTATCATGGTTCAGCAACTTCTTAAAACAACTCTCACTTTTTCGTGAGTAAAAGGATAAAAATACTTGGTATATGGAATCCTTGCAAGATCTACATGTTCATCAGACAGGGTTCACCTGACCTTGACCATGGATCAGTGATTAAGGTTAAGTATTACCTGGTCAGTCCCGTATCTCAGATGCTATAAGCAGCAAGGTCAACTGCATCTGGTGAATTAAATGATTACAAGGTGTACAGGTCTGTCTGGTAGGTTTCATTTGACCTTGACCTCATTTTCATGGTTCATTGGTCAATGATAAGATTTTCTGTTTTAGTCCATTTCTTAGATACTAGTCCGTCTGGTAGGATTCATCAGGCAGATACAATAAACAATTGGCTAACTGTATTTTGTATATGGAATCATTGCAGAGTGTATGTGACCTTGACCTCGACCTCATTTTCATGGTTCATTGGTCAATGTTAATTTTTCATGGTAATAAAACTGAGAATGGAACAGGACTCACCTGACATTTTACCTCATTTACATGGATCATTGATGATGCTAATTTTATGTAATACTTGTTGTTTTTCTCTAGACTTTCAACATAGATTTAATCATGACCAATAAATCAGGTGACATTTCAGCTTGTGCACTCAAGTTTTATTTTTAATCAGTAATTTTGAATATTAAAGGTACAGTCTCAGCGTTTGTTTGTTGTAGTTAGATTGCATTCACAAAACTAATGATATAAGTTGTCAGTTTTTTTTGGGTCATATAATGTTATATAATCAAGCAAAAATGCTCATAACCTCAAGATCTGCCTATACCTCTTAATCAAAATTATTGGATGACTCCTTTTAGAAGTTATTGCCCTTAAATGACAAAAACCATTAGATGACAATTTTCGATTTTTATTATAGTTTTTTGTCAATTATCCCAAAATCAATAATAGATGGATAAAATCAGTAAACAGTAAGTATTAGATGTAGGCTTCTCATACATAGAAGTAATAAATACAGTAACACTTTCAGAATATGTTTTGTAATTATAGATAGATATGGAATGAAATCTTAATTCTGTCTATTTTGCTGTCACAGAATTGAAACCTCATAACTGCTTTTGTATGGCAATATAAATCCCTGAACTATCTTGACTTTTTCTGGTTTAATTGCCAAAACCTGAATGTATGCTGGTAAATGATAACGCTTCTATGTAAATAAGGATTACATGATATATTTTTTGACAGGCAAGAAATCTAGGCTCTTAGGAGCTTCTTGGTTTTATATGTAAACAAAATAATAGGTGTTTCTATGCTATCAAAATAAGAGGTATGAAGTCTTTTACAGTGGAGTCATTGAATAATAAAAGGGTTCAATAAATGAATAACTCTGTTTATGTTATTTTTTTTAATGCCTCTTATGATCTATAATGTTATCAATACGTAGTATCGACCAATGGTGACAAAAAGAGGTAATGATACATGTACACTCATAGAGTGGAATGAAGAACGATTTTTTTTGTATCACATTCAAGATTATGTAGTTTACTCATTGGTATTTCACTTGTTAGCATTATAATTGATGCAAACCATTATTCTTGAATATTGTTCTTGCATCGGATAACACATAGTGCTACAAAGGTAACACCACAAATTGCATTTACTTTGTCTGAAATTTAGCCAAACAATATTGGGCTGTATATATCATTTTTCTATGACTTATAATTAACTTAATATTTTCACAGATGTTTTTTGAAAGCATCTTCAGTTTTCATACTTTTAATTTGAATCTGTTGAATTATGCCAATATAGAAGCTCTGTCTACTGGGTTGATGGTACGTTGATAGTTCCCCAAAAGCGGGGCAACCTAGTGTTAATGAAACAATAGGCAGAAGATACCAAAGGGTACAAAAAAAACAACAATTTGTAGAAGAAAAACAGAAAGACCATGACAATAAGAAAACAATTGAAAGACATGTCCACAAAACAATTTAGAAAACTAAAGCTCAACCCCACGAAAATCCTCTAATGAACTCGGGTGCTCCAGAAAGGTAACCGTTCCATCCATGTGTTGCTCATGGCAAAGAAAAATTCTTTTGTTACTCAAATTCGATGTCACAATTGAGGAAATGAGGGCGTTGATTTAAAAGAAGATTATATCCTTGATTATCTGTGACAGGTATTCTATAAAGAACACTTCTGAAGGGTAGACTGCATTTTTCCATTAGGGACCCTTAGTTCACTATCAGAAATTGAGAGTTCACAATGGGAAAATATGGAAAATATTTCTCTCAGTTGATACGATGTTTCAGAGCTTGAGTTTTCTATCATGCTTTCATTGATAGTACGAAGCTTCTTACAAGGAAGCTATTAAACCAAAAATTCCAACTGGTAAACTTTTGGTCATCCCTTCGGATGTTTAACGGACGCCATCACGAGTTGATTGAACATTAGGGAATGCCAGCGTCACAGATGACCAAGAATATGTTGGTGGGGTTCGTATTGCTCAGTCTTCAGTTTTTGGATGTTGTGTTTTGTGGACTTCTTATTTTTATACGACCGCAAAAATTTTTGCGGTCGTATATTGGTATGACGTTGGCGTCGTCGTCTTCGTCCGGCGTCGTCCTGCGTCGTCCGAAGACACATTGGTTTTCGCACTCTAACTTTAGTTTAAGTGAATGGATCTCTATGAAATTTTACCATAAGGTTCAATACCACAAAAGGAAGGTTGGGATTGATTTTGGGGGTTATGGTACCAACAGTTAAGGAATTAGGGGCCAAAAATAGCCATTTTTAGCTCACCTGACCTGAAAGGTCAAGTGAGCTTTTCTCATCACTTTGCGTCCGTCGTCCGTCGTCCGTAAACTTTTACAAAAATCTTCTCCTCCGAAACTACTGGGCCAAATTTAACCAAACTTGGCCGCAATCATCATTGGGGTATCTAGTTTTAAAAATGTGTGGCGTGACCTGGTCAACCAACCAAGATGGCCGCCACGGCTAAAAATAGAACATAGGGGTAAAATGCGGTTTTTAGCTTATAACTCAAAAACCAAAGCATTAAGAGCAAATCTGACATGGGGTAAAATTGTTCATCAGGTCAAGATCTATCTGCCCTGAAATTTTCAGATGAATCGGACAACCCGTTATTGGGTTGCTGCCCCTGAATTGGTAATTTTAAGGAAATTTTGCTGTTTTTGGTTATTATCTTGAATATTATTATAGATAGAGATAAACTGTAAACAGCAATAATGTTCAGCAAAGTAAGATTTACAAATAAGTCAATATAACCCAAATGGTCAGTTGACCCCTTTAGGAGTAATTGCCCTTTATAGTCAATTTTTAATCATTTTTAGCTCACCTGACCTGAAAGGTCAAGTGAGCTTTTCTCATCACTTTGCGTCCGTCGTCCGTCGTCCGTAAACTTTTACAAAAATCTTCTCCTCTGAAACTACTGGGCCAAATTTGACCAAACTTGGCCACAATCATCATTGGGGTATCTAGTTTAAAAAATGTGTCCGGTGACCCGGCCAACCAACCAAGATGGCCACCATGGCTAAAAATAGAACATAGGGGTAAAATGTAGATTTTGGCTTATATCTCTGAAACCAAAGCATTTAGAGCAAATCTGACATGGGGTAAAATTGTTTATTAGGTCAAGATCTATCTGCCCTGAAATTTTCAGATGAATCGGATAACCTGTTGTTGGGTTGCTGCCCCTGAATTGGTAATTTTTAGGAAATTTTGCCGTTTTTGGTTTTCATCTTGAATATTATTATAGATAGAGATAAACTGTAAACAGCAATAATGTTCAGCAAAGTAAGATCTACAAATAAGTCAACTTGACCAAAATGGTCAGTTGACCCCTTAAGGAGTTATTGCCCTTTATAGTCAATTTTTAACCATTTTTCGTAAATTTTTGTAATCTTTTACAAAAATCTTCTCCTCTGAAACTACTAAGACAAATTTAACCAAACTTGTCCACAATCATCATTAGGGTATCTTGTTTAAAAAATGTGTCCGATGACCCCGCCCTTGAACCAAGATGGCCGACATGGCTAAAAAATTGTACATAGGGTAAAATGCAGTTTTTGGCTCATATCTCTGAAACCAAAGCATTTAGAGCAAATCTGATGAGTATAAAATTGTTCATTATGTCAAGATCTATCTGCCCTGAAATTTTCTTACCAATCAGGCAACCCGTTGTGGGGTTGCTGCCCCTGAATTGGTAATTTTTAGGAAATTTTGCCGTTTTTGGTTTTCATCTTGAATATTATTATAGATAGAGATAAACTGTAAACAGCAATAATGTTCAGCAAAGTAAGATCTACAAATAAGTCAACTTGACCAAAATGGTCAGTTGACCCCTTAAGGAGTTATTGCCCTTTATAGTCAATTTTTAACCATTTTTCGTAAATTTTTGTAATTTTTTACAAAAATCTTCTCCTCTGAAACTACTAAGACAAATTTAACCAAACTTGTCCACAATCATCATTAGGGTATCTAGTTTAAAAAATGTGTCCGATGACCCCGCCCGCGAACCAAGATTGCCGACATGGCTAAAAAATAGTACATAGGGTAAAATGCAGTTTTTGGCTCATATCTCTGAAACCAAAGCATTTAGAGCAAATCTGACATGGGGGTAAAATTGTTCATTAGGTCAAGATCTATCTGCCCTGAAATTTTCAGACCAATCAGGCAACACATTGTTGGGTTGCTGCCCCTGAATTGGTAATTTTAAGAAAATTTTGC